TTTATTTGTAAAGGTATTCTTTCTTTGAAGTGGTGGACTTGGTCTCTGTATGAGGTGATTAATTTCACAGGGCAGTACTTTTGGTTGGGGGCTGGTTCGATTATGATGGATCTTTATCGGTTTTGTGACCTGAATTAATTATTTGAAACCAACCCTTCATTGGTTTGTCCCAGGTAATGTCACACCATTTAATAGAAGCAATGTCTGAGGTACGTTTGTATTATTGAGCTGTTGGTTAATTTCTCTGGAGATGTCTTCCATTGTGTAATTATTCTCAGCTGCGCAGTCAAGGGCATTGGCTATTCTGTTTGATAGTAGTAAGCCCAACGCAAGTAATTCTGCTCGGGCAATGAGATCTGTTGACATTGCTGAACAGTTGAGTGCTTTGCAGGTAAGGCCGCTGCAAACTAATACTGTGTTAAGGATTGGAAGGTTTAATTCCGGACGTGGTTCGGTTTTAACATGAGGAATGTTTGTGTTTTGAAGCAGTTGTTTGTATTTTCCAATAAGGTAGGTAAGAGTTGTTCCAGTTGGGGTCATGGTAAGGAGCTTTCTTATAATACTTTGTTGGAGAAGTTGAGCAAGTTCTAGCCCGTTGAGTTTAGCGAGGTAGTCGGGGGCGAAGTTCCAATTGTTTTTCAAGTATGAAGAGGTGTAGAACTTTAAGGCTTCATCTGATAAACCATTGAAAGGTGTGTTTGTAGTAGTGTGGTTGTTTGAAAATAGGTTGTAAGTAGTGTCGTTAATATTGATCCATCTGCAGGTATGAGGGGCGACGGGAGCATTGTCAGACTTGTTTTGGAATGGGATGTTGAACATATTTGTAGATTGTGGGACATGCATATGGTTTGGTACTGAGAAGTTAGGGTCGAACGGATGGTTGTTATTATTAAATTGATGTGGTTGAGTTACTTGTTGAAGGCGAGTTTCAAAGCCTTGTACCTTTGTGGTGAGTCCTTCTATCTGATCCATCATGGAATTGGAAAAGTGTTGCAAGGAGTTCTGGATGATTTGTTCAATATTATAAGGTGGTTCAGGGTTTAACTTTCTGTGTTTAGGATGCTCGCACTCTGATGGTTCTTCCTCAAAGCCTTGTACTGGGGACTGTTCTAGTCTTTTCTTGGACTGTTCTTCTTCTTGCTGAGAGGAAGCTGTTTGGTTGATGGACATGGTTGACACTACACACTGTGTTGTTTAGGAAATTTTTCAAGCGATGTTTCCCTCTAAAAATTACAATTACCGTGTTGTAATAGATTTACAATCTTAATTGGCGAATTGCGATTATGGTAGTGTGTAATTGGCGGTTGGCGAAAGTCGCCAGTCGCCAAAATGTACCAACTCATCTTAGACTCATTCGTGCCACGATAAATACTCGTGCATGTCATCCACCAACTGCTTTGAATGTTGGTACGAAACGATCCTACAATCGAGTAACTGAAAATACTCAATGTGAAAATTGTGGCACTCGTACAACACCCATGTGGAGAAAGCATCAAGTGAGTGGAAAGCCATTATGTAACAAGTGTGAACTCTACGTGTTGAGATATGGCACCGATCGACCCTTGGTGAATCAACTCAAATGTGGAAAAAAACGTAAATTCGTAAATTCCATGGTGGGTTCGACTTGTTCACTACTACCAACCGCTACTGCTGAAGCATGGGTGAATGCAGCTAGTAATGGTTGTACTTGTTCAACAGGGTTGACAACATCGAATGCATGTTCTCAAGCATGTCTTACTAAAAAGAAGAAACAAGAAGAGGAGAGAGATCAGCCTCATGGTAAGGAGCAGAAGGTTGCTTCTATCACTGCTATGACAACGAGAAGTGGTGCATGTTTGTCCTCTACCCCACAGCTATCTGAAATTATTCATGGACAAGAAAGTGGTGGATGGTCCTCATTGTCTGCATTGAAAGATCGTTTGCAAGAGGCCGCTGAAAGATATCCTGATATTATTCATACCTTCATTTCAATCGTTCGAAAACATGTCCTAACTCAACCTCAGGTAGTGTCACGTTATATTATCGCCCAAACTCCAGTTCATGAAGAATTCACAATGGAGAATCATTCTACAGATCAGCCATTGATGGAAGAGTGCTTGTTGCGTTTGGACAGTTCCACACCCTAAAAGATCTTGGTTGTGAAATTGTGTCTATACCACGACAAATAATATTATCATCCTCCACAACAACCTTCATGTAAAAATAGTTTACAATTTCATTAAAAAATTACTATTATTGTTTCTCTACTACACATGTTTTGCTGCATCTATTGCTTTGCCTCCTTTTTCTTGTTGTAAATTCTTTGAATAATTGTTAAAAGTGCTTTTTCAACATTTTTGTCTTCCTTAGCACTGGTTTCTATAATTGGGATGTTAGCATCATACTTTCTAAATTCATTCTTTGCCTCTGGCTCGGTCATTACTCCTAATTGTTGCGTACGCAGGTCAATCTTGGATGCAATAAAAACAAATTCAACATCTGAAGAGCAATTCTTTTTGCCGTCTTCAAGAAAACCTGGAATTCTATCAAAGGACGATTTTTCTGAAACATCAGCTGTGAGAAATACGATGCATGATAAATATTATTTTTGAAAATCAGGTGTGGTGTTTTGAAATATGATTTACGTTTAACATGAAATTTCAATTTCCACTCCTTTGAGTTTTCAAAAAAGTTCAAAAAACCTACCAATCACAAATATACCATCGGCACCTCTGAAAAACGAACTGGCAAGAGCCTTAAATTTTTCTGTTTGTAGCACGTTTGGTTGTAGTAGAAAAGAACAAGATATTAAGGAAATGAGCTATTCTCTTGTGAATAACACTTACCTTGACCTATGTTGTTATCATGGAGGTGAATTACAAAAGTGTTCAATTTCAAAATAAAGTAATTTAAACAGCTCAAAAAGCAGTAGTAAAAATCATACCTGCAGTATCCCAAAGCTGAAGACGAACTATTGGTTCACAAACCAAAACGTAAAATGAGTTCCGTAAATGTCATGATCATCACAAATTGACATGTTTGACAATTAATGGGAAATTATCGGTTGAGAGACAAGCCTTCCCTTGTTACTTACCAGTCTCTTTGGTATTGAGAACCAATGTACAAACTACAAAATCAATTCCAATCGTTGGTTGATGCTGTGTGGTGAATCCTCGTTGAGAAATTTTCTTAGCAAGACTTGTTTTGCCTAGAATGATTCATCACGTATACGAATTGAGGACGGTTGTGATATTTCCAAACAACATCATCACATGTGGTTTCATTTTGTCCAATTCCCGTGATGATTTCAGAAATTTCAACAAGTATTTCAATATCATCATATCATCATCAAACGATCTCTGAAACTGAAATGTTACCTACCCACTCCGTAATCGCCTACAAGAACCACCTTCACCAAGAAATCATATTCATCTTCATTATCCTTCTCAATGGAAACAATTTGTACGGATTCGTTAATTTTGTTCTTTGAAACGAATCCGGAGGATGAAGTAGTGGCTCCTCCCTTTCCACCAGTAACAGTTTGATTGGATTGTTGTTGTTGTGGAGCATCGTCATCTTCTCCAACCATGATTGCAGAACCAATAGTTCCTTTCTCTGATGATGAGTGTTGGCCCATAGTTTTTTCAAAAAGAAATGAAATGAAGAATTCTGAAAGAAGACGATATGGAATTTTTTTTGTGAACCTTTGCGAATTTTATCTTGATCAACAACCCTCCTCTTTTTGATCGAGTTAACTTGATAAAGAGACATAAGGTAGTCCCAAATTTTGATTGTTGCATTAAATTTTATTGTTCTCGGAAGCTTGTGCTTCTATCATTCGACGACTTCGAAGATCAGCTTGTCGAATAGGTTCTGGGTTTTTATGAATACATGTTTTGAGGACAACCTTAATGCATGATTCCAAACTGATTTTATGACCAATACTGAGAAAGAGAGGTCGACCCGTCTTTTGTATTGGCTGAAAAACAACACCATGAGTAATTCCACTCTTTCCCACAAGTTTGGCATGGTCACCTTTGGCTTTGAGTTGTTTCTGAACTAGCTCTTTCACTGTTTCTCTGGTAATTTCATCCACATACTATTCAAATCAATCGTGTCACACGGAGCGCAATTTTGCAATGACTTACCAATAGCTTTTTTGCTACACCTATTGTGGGAATATTGAGAACAACTCCTAAATGTGATGCAAGACCAAATCCACGTTGATGCAATATTCCATTTCCATCAACAAGAATTACTTGTGGCACAAATTGTGGACAATTTTGTCGTAAATCATTAACCATACTCTCCAGATGTGGAACTTCTCGAAAGGCCAGGCTATCCATTTGTTCGAGACCCACCAATGAGATTTTGAAATTCAAATACAATCATTCAATATCATCCACTTACAATCCTGGAATATAAGGATGTTGCATGACGACTTTATCATACTTTTCATAAACAACTTTCAAATCTGGAAGTGATAACACAATTAAACTTGCAATTGCATTCACTGGATTTTCCTTATCAAAACTAACTAATTTTCCAAGACATTATATTTTCAGAATTCACTTCCCTGATAACACCAAAAATCCAAACCTACTATCTACACCTCCAACAAATTTCAATGTTCCATCCAAATCATCGGGATCAAAATCAATATCATCTTGCGTAATTAATTGTTTTTTTAATTCCTCCTGTTCAACGGTCCATTGTTGTTTAATACGTTCCAATTCTTCCTCCGTCATATCTTTATTCATGGTAGCCATTATTACTTGATCCGAAACTCCATCCTCTGACGCGTCCTGATCACTCGCAGAACAAGACGATGTCGTGGTCGTAGATATCATTACGATTAATTTTTTTTAAATCATAAAAAAGTATGGAAATGCAAATCTAAACTTGCATTTCAAACTTAATTCAATGAACAAACAGTCATAGAAATATATCATCACCCCAAACAATGCACATATTCAAAAGAAGGTCATTAGCATTTTGATGGTTCAACATCAAATTGGATTTTTTCAATTTTAAAAAAAATGTCTTGCCTACGAATGTTATGTTTTGGTGATAATATGGATCATCAGCTGGGAGTTCATACTTCAACAGATTTTGCTCGGAAGAATGTAATTCTCTCAGCAATGCATCCATCATCGCTTCGGATGGCTGGTAGTCAATTAATAGAGCATGATCATAATTCATTTTGGACGCGGGAAGAACAAGAAAAATGTAAAGTCCATGTTATGAATACTACCAAAGTTTTTAATGGACAAACCATTCGGAAAGTAATATGTGCCAGTAATAGAACATTTTTCATTACAGATTCATTTAAGGTGTATTGTTGCGGATTGAACGATTTTAATGTCTTGCCAGTTTCTGGAAACACAACAAGAACCACAAATGCTTTTGAAAACTCGAATAATGATGGTCATAATATTACAACGAATTCCAATCCAAGTAATACTACCATCAACAATACCTCACATTTTAGGTTAAATCAAACGAAAAATCGGAAAACACACATCACGACACCAACTCTCTGTGACCTACTCGAAGAAGACATTGTAGATATTAGTTGTGGAATATTTTACAACATTTTTATTTGTAGAAGAACTCTTACCATGTATGCATGTGGAAATAATAGCTATGGACAGTGCTCTCAGCCCGTCGAACAAGGTTTACAAAAATCAATTAGAATTCCACAACTTGTAGATTTATCCTTGTTAAAGCCAACCAGTAAGGAAATTATTCAAGTGAGTTGTGGATTCAATCATACTCTCTTGTTGACCAATGATAAGAGAGTTTACATTTCTGGCTCGCCAGAAAATGGAAAACTTGGCTTTGATCCTACCGATAACGCCGTACAGGACATGTTAGTGGATGGCGTTGTGAGCAATTTAAATTTACTTTCTTGCAAGAAACTTGACTCGAAAACAGTGCAGGTAGAAGCTGGAGCCAATTGGTCCCTCTTCCTAACACAAGAAGGACATGTCTATTTCTGTGGCCAGAGCAAGCTATTTGTTGACCAAGTCTTTACACCAACCATTGTGACGACGGTGAAACCTGTTTCAAAAATTGCATCAGGAAATTATCATGGTTTCTTTGTGTTCCGTGATGGCCAAACAGAGTGTGGTTTGGCTGGTTTTGGTCGCTTTATCGAAGGTCAACTGGGACAAAAAATTCCAATTTCCAGAGACAAAATTGATGGAACCTCTCTGAAAGATGTCAATATTCCAAGTGAACTCGTTCATGCTTTTGAAACTATTTCAGTTGGAGATTTTCACAGTGTTTGTACCACCACTACGAACGAAGTATTTGTCACAGGCTCTAACATTTCCAATCAATTGGGGTTCTATGAAGATAATATGAGAGAGACAAGTCTAAGTGAGCCTGTGTTGACACGTTTTACGAAATTACCTCGTCACTACACGTATCAAGATCTCAATAATAGTAAGAATTTTCGTACTCGAGTCAGCTGTGGAAGTCTGCATACTTTTATTTATTTCATTCCACACGAGAATGATAATTTGAATAGTGTGATGGCTCAATTTACAATGGGACTTTTTGCATCGTCAGCCTTTCAAGATGTTGACTTGATATGTTCTCGCAAAACAAGCAAATACGACGAGATTTATCCTTCCACTCGACACCCTAACGAAGGACCAACGAAAAAGAAGAAACGTTGAATAAAACAAAACCAAAAATGAAAAGAAAATTTTTGACTTCAATCAAAACGTTGAGCGCGGCGTTGGAACGTATGAATGCAAATGATGATTTTCTTTATACCTTTGTACACCTAATTAATCATATATGTTTAAAATTCAAGTTATCACGACTGACTTTAAGGAATGTGCTAAATGTGTTAGACTTGGACACTAAAAGCACCAATTTTATTCTTGATTGCAAAATCAAGTGATGTTTTGAACTGAGGCTAGTATTTAAAACACCTTACATATGACAAGTATATTCCCAATTCAAACCTTAACGCGTGTTTATTTACCTGGGCCTTTTGGTTTAACTTGAAGTTCTTCTACAGGATGCAAATAAATGTAGGTATGCTTCTTGTAAAATTCATGTCCCTTACTCCAGTCATATCCAGCTGCGTACGCAAATATGGTACCATCTCCGTTGAAAGCTGTTGAAACTACTGTCAAATCAGCATTAAGCTTTTTAAATTGATGCAATCGTTGCTTGGAAGTATGATCCCAAAAGTGGAAAGTACCATCTGCACCAGCTGTCGAAAACGTTCCAAATACAGGATGGAATGAAATGGCATTGATTGAAAAAATGTTATTGACCTCTCTGTGGCACTTGAATGCAAAGTTCTTCTTCGAAGCAGTCTCTTGTAAATAATTGATACCAACTCTTCCTTCGATGGATCCAATCGCGAACCCTGATTGATCAGGGAAACATGCTACGCATCTCGTTTGTTCTCTCAATGGAGATTGATATTGTTTGTATGGTTCTTGTGGTTTTCTTAAATCATAAACTAGTACTTCCTTATTTGCTAATGCTACAACTGCCATTGGTCCAGAAACTGAAATGTCATAAATTCTGTCTTTTTGAGCAACAACTCCAACAGGTTGTCCGTTTGTGTTTCTAATATCCCAAAACTTGATATTCTTATCCCAACTTCCAGTCATTACAATTGTCTGCATATTATCAACTCCATCCAACGATCGGATTGCTTTTATGGGTTGGTCATGAGCACCAAATGTAACATCGCTCTGTGAACCAATTTGAAAGTATTTGGCCTTGTTATCACATCCTCCTGAGAATATCTTTCCGTCCCGAGACATACAACAGCTCAACACTGGTGCATCATGTTTATACTTGGCTTTTCCCATGGCAGCGAATTGTATCTTGCCCATTTGATTTGCAGCTTGAACTTCCCATGCGCTCACGGTACCATCCCAACTACTAGCTACAATGTAATTTTGTGTAGGACACCATGAAATCATGGAAACTGTATCCGAAGGAAGATCAGGAAGACAATAATTTCCATTAGGATTAACATCGCCAATTCCTGCTGATCCCATTAATGGCACTCCGGTCGTTGCCTGGCTTGTTCCCCACATGCTGTAATGATATGATGAATAGTTTTGTTAGCGTATTTATATTAGTGAATTAATGATGATGAAAAGAAGCTTCTTTCCAGAGTTTGAGGGGCGAAAGAAATGAAGAGAGAGCTTCCGCTGGTGTGATGATGCTATTTTTTTTAATTTCTGAACAAATGTTCGAAGAGAAAGCATTTTAAATTGTCTTCCAAGAATTCACAAGAAGGGAATTCAATAATGTGATGAATCGAATTCATTGAACCTTGGTTCTTGTTGGGAACATTGGATCCTTTTCATTAGGTAGAACGAAAGTTTCGGATTACTCCAACCTGATCACAAAAAAATGAGCAAACAACAAGACTTTAAATTTCCTCTCTTCTATTCACTCCCTCCGTATTATTCGTTTCAACACATTCTGGAGACGAGAGCAAAACAATATAAAGCATGGAGTTCTTTAATTTTAAAATATTATGAACATCAACGGAAATTTGTGATGAATGTAGCGGAAGAAGAAATGAATTTTTTTAATAATAAAAACATTAATCGGAAAATGCAGAAAGACACAATTTATGACTTGTTGGAGGATATGGTTTCAAAAGAAAGAGCTGAATGGGCTGATAAGAAAAAAGAAACCATTTTTATTTATTGGAAAACACCTGCAGAATGGGCAGATAAGATACAGAAATGGGTTGACGACAATGGACTGACAAACACTGTTTGTACATTCTTTGAATTATTAGAAGGAGAAGCCGGTGAAGGATCTGAATTTTTTGAAATGAATCCGGAGGTATTTAAAAAGGCACTCAAAGTGTTGGAAAAGAGAGGAAAGGCTGAAATCTTTCAATCTGGTGACAATGAAGGTGTCAAATTTTTGTAAATTAATCTTGTTATGCCCAATGACACTGTAACCACACGAATAATTTGGATATATACACATTCAGTTTTAATTTTGAGTATTGACATTGTGTCAATATAACTGTGGATGAAAAGTACATGTGCAAGGTTTTTATGATTCGTGTTTCAAGAGTGCCATATTTTATTGGCCAACCTACTTGTCCCAGTAAATCATTTCACCTGATTTACTGCCTGTGATGACACTTTCTCCATCTTCGCTGACATTAATACAAGTTAATGCAGAATTGTGGGCGTTAATCGCTTTGGTGAGAGATCCATCTTGAACATTCCACTTGTACAACTTTCCATCTTCACCTCCTGAAAGCAATTCGAATCCATCTGAAGTCAAACATCTCCATGCCTGACATACAACAGGACTGCTGAATTGAGCAATCTCAGTGCCCGACACATCAAACAGCTTAATGGATCCATCTTTGGAACAAGACACAAATCGTTGTGAGTCTTCTCCACAAAAACATGCATCAGCAACAACGTCATTGTGAGCATGGAATTCAGCAACGGCTTTCTTTTGACGTAAATCAAACACAATCACTAAACCATCTTCACTTCCTGAAACAATCAAATTTCCAGATGAATCAACGCTCAAACTATGAACTGGAGATTCGTGATCTTGAAAGGTTAACATTGGAGTGGATGTGACAGAATCAGAAGTGCATTTCCACACCTTGACTGCTGAATCCCATGAACTTGAAATTAAGCTGTCATTCTTAACACAAATTCTGGAGATGGCGTCCTCGTGAGCTTGAATCGTGTCCAAAACTTTTCCATATTCGATCGAGTACACATAAATTCTATTATCCCACGATCCAGAAACCAAAATCTTTTGTTCGGCAGTCTCGTCAAGAATAGCGCAAGAAGAAAGTGCCATGTCTCCCATATCTGCAATTCTTCTCAACTGACGTTTTGATTCTTTTTGTGAGTGCAATCAGAATATATTGCAGAATGTGGTATCGACACGATGTCAAAAATTTCACAATTATTCAAATAATTCAAGAAAATAACAAGAACAGTCCCACATACCTAATGAGTAAATCTTACATGTACTGTCGTCACTGGAAGTGTACACTCTCGATTTGTCCTTACTAATGATGGCCGAAGTGATACGATCTCGATGAAGCTCCACTTTGAGTGTTGGCTCGTCTGTGGTGGTCGTTGAAAATTTGGGAGCGAACGAGCTCTCATTTTGTTTTTGCTTTCTCAACGTAGATCTCTTTTTTCTTGTGCGGTTAGGACTATTGTCTGTTAAACTATCCAATGAAACTGAGGAAGAACTAAATGAATCGGCAGATTGGAGTGACGAAGAAGACTCCAAGTCTTCAAGTTGCTTGTTGAAAAAGCTACTTGGACGATTAAGATCTGATTTCAACAAATCATTCACGTCAAAGTCGTCATTGTCTTTGGGTGTAAATAATGGCGAAGAAACTGATCTAAAAGAGCTTGTAGAGCTTAACATTGGAGATGACGTCTTGGAAGAGGTGCTAAATCCTGATTCTCTATCCATGAATAACGAAGATCCAGTTCGAACGACGGATGGAGATTGTGGAACATCTCTGTTGGTTGCTGAAATAATATCTAAAGGAATTGTGTTTGAGGAGGTTACGGAAAATTTGGTAATATTGGAAAGATTTGTCTGACGTAGTGTGAAATCATACATAGCATATTTGATGGTCCATTAAAATATTGAAAACATCAAATCATGTACAAATTTTCAACTTAAGGAGAAAACTTACTGATGCCTTTCTTTGAGGATGTGGAGATGTGAATACTTGTCTTGGTGTTTGACCAAATTCTCTAATTTGAATTTCAATTCCTCTTCTTTCAATTGGATCTCTTATTTTTTCAATGTCGACTGCTCCTTCATAGGTTAAATAATAGAACAAGTTATCAGCCTTGACAGCTTCTTCTCCTCTTTGTTTGTAACCAAATATTAAATCAATCCAGTGATGTAAATTTTGTGAAACATAATCACTTTCAAGAGCCAATCTACATTTGTAAATAAAGTCCTGCTCGTCTTTAGCCCATGGAGGTAAAATAACGTTATTTACCCGTTGGCCATTATTTCTAACACCTAAATCTAGGTTCAGAGAGTTCATCAAGAAACTTCCTGTGGATTGATAGAATTCAGGTATTAGTTCTTTCAAATCGGTAGTGTTGGTCAGCACTGAATTATAGGTTTGTTTGATAGCACAAAACTCTCTGTCTGGCGCGTCAAATTTTCCATTCTGAAGTTTGAGCATGTATTCAGGTGCTTGTCTCACTAGGAAATAGAGAACATAACCAGGTGTTGAATAGTGTGTACCATATAAAAATTTTGGCTCTGGCATTTGGTAATATCGATCTTTGAAATATTTCAGCCGGTCTGGGCTAAGAGCACCAATGGGTTTTTTCAAATCTCGGAAAGTATTTGGATCTTGAAGATCTAGAGTCTTACTTGAGTAATCAGCAATGACCCATGGAAATACTGGATACTGTGTCAAATCGTTAAATGAGCGATCTGCAATAAAATTCAAGTACAGCAAGTAATCAAAATTGCTGATCAGACCGCTTTGCCATTTAAGTGTCATATTGCCTTGATCATTCATCGAAATGTTGGATATTACTGGTTGCTTTAAAATTGTATTGTAAAAGTTATCACGCTCTATTTGGTTTTTAAAAGAAAAGAAGATGCTCTTGTTGTTCTGTAAAAATATTTCTACACCAATTTGACGCAAGTTGTGACGTCGTTTGACAATTCTGTTAATATCCCTCAAGTTATACTTTTTAACTGGTTTTGTGCTAATGTTGTTGAACGGTTGGAAATAAATTCGTTCATTGGTCAATAAAATACATCCGTGGGTGTCGACAAGCGGTGTAACTTTTGTACCATGAGTTTCATATAGTGTTTGTTCTCTGAAATCTTCTAACCATGTGATATCAAAAGAAAAACCTTTGGCAATTTGATCTTCATAAATTTGATTCATCTTTTCAGTGGAAGGAGATCCAGAATTGTTTTGGAACAATTGATAGATTGGAGAAATTTTTTCAACAAATTGTTGAGCTGTCAAAAACGTGAGTCCAATAACTACTGTATCTGGTTGCTATACGTTTTGTTGTGGTACAAAAATTGTCGCCAATTTGAGGTCTTTTACACCCTACTTTTGAGACACTTACTTTTTTGAAAATATAGGGATGGTCCTTATTTCCCTTTCGGATCTCTACAAATTCTGTGCATGTAAAACAAAACATATTTTCCTCGCTGAATGATGTAAAGAATGGTTGATTATTTGGGGTTGGTCTGAATTTTTTGAAACCTCCCTCTATCTTCTCGAAGGGATGTCTTGTAATTGAATATCGTGTATCATCGGGAACGAATACCAACGAGTGAGAGCAAAAGTGTAGCCTTCCTTTGTATTTCTCTCTGGAGGTGTTTGATTTTGCCGCATGATGATCATTCATCAGAAATAATGTTAATAAAATGTTTGAATAATGGTCATCATGATATCACAACAAACACACACCTTCCTCCAACTCCCATAAAATAAGTACATGAAAAGTCCTGAAAATATATTTCATCCTCTTTCAATAAGAGCATATTAAATCTCTTATTATTTTTCTTTCGGAGCATTTTCTAACGTTGTAAATGAACGATAAAAAGAAATGTGTCTGAGTTTTATGGATGATTATTCGGAGTCTATCCGTGTTCAAAGCGTTGTGAAATTCCAACAGTGTGCTGATATTTTTTTTATGATTGCAATAATGATCGAAAAACAATATTTATACTATTCGTCTAGTATTGATTTATTCTGAAGCCTCATCTGCTTTTATATGATGATGGAATGTGAAGTAAAGTCTCATCGATATGTTCGCTGTTATCATTATAAAATATTAATAAACACAACTTATAAAAATGAATAAACCACTATCGCTGGCGGAACAACAAAAAGTAAGTGAAGAAGAAAACGAGGACACAGCGCCCTGATGATGAACTGCTGTGTGGGTTGCGATGATGATGGGCGTTTGGGATGATGTTGGATGAATTTTCTTGCGTGTCCGATTTTAAATTTATTATGTGATGATGATAACTCATTGTAAAAACATGTTTAAAAACGATCAAACCAAATATTGTGCAAACAAATATTACTTGTTGATGATATCATATCGGATCATTCAACAATATCAAATTTAACCTTACGGCACAAATTTCGTTGTGAACACACCAATGATATCATTCTAATTTTAAAACGAAATATTCAACAAAGATTGTTGCAGAGGCCGAATACGCTCAACGATTTTTACTTTCGTACTACTTTGCATGGAATACTGGGCGTAAAGAATTACTCCATCGATTATATTCTCAAACTTCAAAGCTTCTTTGGAACGGCCTCGTTTATCAAGGCGCAGATATTATTAACTTATTCGACAAGATTTATCAGCAAATGTGCTTTACCTCTTTTGATTATCAAGTAATTGGTAGGTTCACAATGCAAGAGAAATCAGCAAACTTACTTTTACTGACGAACCCTGTGAAATGGATGCACTAACATTTGCGAAACACACCAATTAGACGATACACACATGTTACTGACTTCATTTGGTATGCTCGCTCTAGATAATGATCCAACCACTGCAAGAATGTTCTCTCATCAATTTGTCATTGAGGCAAGCAAAGCCAATCCACAACAGCAACAAGTGACAACGATCATTCTCTCTGAAAATTTTCGGTGGGTCGTTAAAGTCGACTCTGAATTATTCAAACAAGAATTTGGTAAATACGAAAATACTCAAAATAATACAATGGGAAACATTGTGTAAAAGAAATCATGATGGCTGCACCCTCTAAGAAACTTGTAAATGGCAGCAAGGAGCTCTATCCGTGTCTTGTTCTTTGTGAAACCAATAAAATGTGAGTCACATTCTTTGTGAGACAAAACATCAAGTTTAGGACTAGTACGAGGAATGTCTTCTCGTGAGAGAGAACCTTTGTTTAATTGTTGGTGTTTATCTAATACTGCAATTGATAACTTCTACTTTCGATAGGCCTTACAAACATCGGTCATACACAAGTTTTCACAATTTTCTGGAGGTCCCAAATATTTCTTGAAATCAAACTCACCAACCTTAAAAGTCTGAACCAAAAATTCCCATTGCTTAAGAGTGTGTTGAGGTCCCCATAGTTCGTTAAAAAGAATAGGCATTCTCTTGTCATCATTGGTACAATAATAATGATTCAAATACTGTCCCCATTTGGTCCAATGTTGAGTTTCATATCCTGTCCTCTGATCTCGCACAACACCTGCAAAGGTTGAATTTTGCATTAACCAATCTCCTCGAATCGCTCCAAACGTATTCTCACATTTACAACAAAACGATTGTTGAGGCAATTGTAGATAGGACCAACCATTATACGAGAAAATCACATTACATTGTTGTGAGGGGCTTGCATTGGGAAGATCCACGCACATCTCATCATATTGAGGTGGAAAATGTTCATAGCGCTCAGCCCTCAATGAACTTGAATGATAATAGGCAAAGATCCATTTCGCGATTGGACTCGGATTCGTGAGATTGACCAAGACACGGAAAGCATCTGCCCCTCCCCATAACGGAGGTGTTGAGGATTGAATTGATTTGGTTCCGTTCACACCCTGGAAACTTGTTGAAAAAATCAAACACATCACGATTGTTAGAACAAGGCCACAACGACGCAGGAGTGAGCACGAGCAAAACGACATTTTTTTAAAATAGTTTCAATCATTTATTTTGACCTTCCCCACAAACAAACTCCGGAGGTAAATCTCTAAATCAATTTGACACATGCCACAAAATTTATTCAAAATCTTACACAAATTTTGATGTGACATTATATCCAGTCGATATTGTGATGAATAATTTATAATCGAAGAGTGGTAGCAGTGGTGGTGTGAGTGGAAGAAACTTGCTTCCTAGTTGTTGTGAACGAAGAGGTCAAACCAGACGCATCTTCTTTTGAGGACATTTTTGAAAGTTCTTCCATTCGACTCTTGAATTTAAATTGATAGGCTTGTCCTCTCTCCTCTGTTCTCAAATGAAAAGGCTCCACATGAGTCACATCCATATTCCGTGAGGTTTTGTGTTGAATGGAAGTGGAAGGATTTGAATGATAAAAGTGTGGCATGGGTCGTGCTCTAAAAGTTGACGTATTTGGTAGAGAAGGTCCAATAATGACACTTTTCAAAATCGAGTCTCCTTCAGAACGAGCTCTATTCTTGGTGAGAAGTTTTGGAGACACAGGAATTGTAATGGGTTTCGTAATATTCGACCGAACACTACTACTGATACTGCTATTGCTGGCATCACACAAGGATCCATTCATGACTGACTTTAAAATAGGTCTTGCCTTAAATTGTCGACTTTCATTTTCCTTTTCTTCCTCCTCGATCATTCTTGATTCAAATTGTTTTCGATACATGAATCCTCGTTCTTCTGTTTTGAGATGAAAGGGCTCAGGTACAGTGGTGACGTGCTCATTCAATGTTGGTACAAAGGCGCACGAGTTTTGAAAAGTGGTGGCTGGTAAAGGCCTCGCACGAAAAGTAATATGAGGAGAGTTTGGGGTGGCAGGTTGAGGAGCAGTTCTATTGTGTAGTGCAGCTCGTTGCTTGGTTCTTAAATTGGGTGACTCTGGAATGGTCGGTGGTTTGACACTTCTCGACGTCTGAAGTAAAATACTTTGTGTGGAATTTAGAGTATTGTCTTGAAGTTTTCGAGTCTTGATGGGACGACGAGAACAATCAGAAGCAGTCATGGTACTATTGCTACAACTCTCATCATCGAGTGCAATCTTGCTCTGATCCAACTTTCTCTTCTTAATTCGTTCATCGGTACGAAGATTAAACTGTTCAGGATGAGTGACCTCTCGTTTCACCACTCTTCCGAGTCCCATTTGACCTGAACTTTCAAAGATCTTTCTATTGAGAGGTCTTGCCTTAAATTCAACACGAACAACATTGTCAAGTGTTGTTTGAGCTGGTTGTGCTCTCATTCTACTTCTGAATTTGGTTCGTAACTTGAATGAGCATGGCTTGGTAATCTTGAGTGGTTTACTTCTTGACAAGGGAGTTCCTGGTGTTGCCAATGACGATGATTTCATCACACTCGTGTTGCATTTCCATCGAGAAGGCATCTTGGTTCTCATCTCATTAATTTTCTGAAGCATGCTCTTATTGAAAGGAGAATGACCAGGAGGTAAGATGCTCGTGTTGTTGTTGTTGTTGTGATTCTTGAGGCCAGCTCTACTCTCAGTTGCAAACTTGAAGGGTTTTGGAGACATTAACTTGGGTCGGGTGATTGTCTTGAATTTGGTCAAATTCAAATCCTTATTCTCCACTTTGAGTGTTGTTTTGATCATTGTTGTTGAAGACGCCTTACTTGTATTTGGGTTCATGATCATTTGACCTTTCTGCTTCATTCTCTGATCTGTCATGAATTTCAGAGTCTGGGGAATGGTAAGCTTTGGCGCTGGACGACGACTTGTGGGCTTCTTGTGTGCTTGTTGAGAGGCAAGAGCTGGTACGGAATGATAATTATTGGAGAAGAGTGATGATGATAGAGTGCCTTGTGGTTGGATGGATTGAATATTGTTGCTACCCGAAGAGTAGAGAGAGGCTCCATCATCGTCATGATGATGAACACTGAATTTTGAAATGGTGCTAATGTTACTGAGAGTAATGTCGGTATGATTCATCATGGAACCAGCACCGTTGGGGAACAAGATTTGTTGTTGTTGTTGTGGTTGGTTATTCAAATCAATGTATTTCGGATCGAGAAATTCCAAATGTTGTGCGTCTTCGGTGAAAAACCATTGATCAGTATGACTCTTATTGTGGGAATCTTCTGATGATGAGAACAGGATTTTATCAAAGTCAAAATATTTAGGAGCTTTGAATTCCCATTCTTCTTCAATGAGGGAAGTTTGCTCTTCATTGTTGGTGGTGAGCAAATTTGTGGAGGAAATGTTGGACATTTTTTCATGAATTTGTGAATCTAAACATTTTTGAAAATTAAAACGTGTAACGATTTGAAGTGGCGCTAAAAAATTGTGTAACGGTCAAATCCGCGGACAAAGACAAGTCTGAAATGTATTGCGTTGACCAAATACTGTCAAACACTGTTTGTTGTTGAAAATAACAGTTAAGAAGACTTTGTTGTTATTGATTGTGTGAAATAATTTAATAAAAGGACATTGTAAGATGGTAGCCCACCTCAAAAATTGAAATCAAAATCTTCTGTATCACCAAACAAGTCTCCTGTTTCAGGAAAATCAAAGCCACCGAATGAACTGCTATCCAACGCGCTTGTAGCATCCTGTTGTGAGGATGTTTGATTGTTGTGTGTTGCAGAATTACTTGTAGCGGTTTGTTGATTTAGAGAGGAAAGAGATGAGTCATTCGCTGAAGCACCTTGCTGTAAAGCATTAGATGCAGTATTATTACTGTTTTGTACTTGCTGTCGATTTGAGGCGTTGCTATTAACAGAAATTGTTTCAGGGTTATTACTAGTGGATGGTGCCATCATGGCTTGAGCAGCACTAGCAGGAATCATAACGGGAGGAGATTTCATGAAATTTTGAACTACTTGTCTCGGGTTAATCATTTGGTTTGTATCCATATTTGGTTGAGAATTGCCTGCAAAAGTTGTGTTATTCGAGGTAGCAGTATGGTCCTCATTATAAGCAGTATTACCCATTGTTGTCGTTGATGAAATATTCATGGAATCTATTGTTCGTTTTTGAGGTGAAGAGCTATTGTTGGGCGTACTGAAATTATTCTGAGATAGTTGCTGTTGAGAATTTGTAACTGTTTGTGGCTGTGTTTGGCTTCTATACATGTTTTGCTGTTGAGCAAAGTTCAAGGTGTTAGTTCCCTGTTGTAAATTAATGTTTCCTAGACTAGAGACGCTGTTGCTTCCCTGATTCTGCATTCCACCAACCATTGCTGTATTTGGACTTTGACTTGTGTTCATTAAATTATTTGGATAAACAAAACCTCCTCCTCCTCCAGTGTTCATATTCATGGGATTGGTCATGTTAGTACTTGCACCTATTGTTGTTGCCATGTTAGGAGTATTGGAGGGTGTTGTCACGAAAGTATTCATTGTGACAGGGGAGGAAGAGTAGGGATTCATTGATTGGGGAATATTTGAAGAAATGGTAAGAGGAATTTGTGGAGAGTTGTTCATATTTTGGCTGTTGGGCATTGCCATTTGAAATCCACTGTTTGCATTTTGTATCAGTAACCCTTGTTGTTGCATTTGTTGTGCTTGATCTTTCACTAATTGATTAAACTGCGTAATTTGATCCTTGATTTGAAGACGGGTGTTGTATGCTTTGAAAAATTCAGGATTTTGCTGCTCCAATTTGAACCACATTAAATTGATAAACGCAGGATCAATATGGTCATATCTACTACAAAGAAATTCCATTGTTTCCGTCTTTGACAGATACAACTTGAGACATTGCTCAATGAGTTGTTGTACTAGCTTGATGTGGTCGACAGAGAATTTTCTTGTTCCATTAGAAAACCCAGATTGTGTCATGGTCGTGGTGGTTGTGTTTGTTGATAATCCGCCGCTGTTGTTGCTTAGAGGTGTTCCTGATCGCTTTGGTTGATTGGGTATGTTCATATTTGTTCCATTCATTGTCATCATACCAAGTGGAGTTGTGGAATTTATTCCAGCTAGCCCTCCTAACATTGCATTGTTGATCATGGTATTATCACCTACCATACCAACTGATGATGTGGTTGGTGGTGCAGTACCGAAATTACCGTCACCTACAAGCATATTGTTGGTACTATTGTCACTTCCCATGAGTGTATTCTGTGTTTGAGGTTGTTGTGGGGTCATGGACATACCACCGCCTGCCATATTTGACATACCTTGTGGTTGTCTTCGAAACTGTACACCGCTATTGTTGAGTTGTGATTGTAAGAAATGTAAAAGCACGTCATTGGGTACATTAGAAGACATTGCTTGATTTCCCTGGTTTCCACTCAAAGAGTTGAGTAAATTTGGGTTCTGTTGGTAAATAGTTCAAAGAACAGTTCATCATGTAATTCATCAAGGTTATAGAGATGGTGTGTCGGTGACATTTTGAATGTTGTTGCATTTGTTTGTTGATTGATCAAATAATAACCACATTGTTGTTGGTGAACAAAGATTTCATCGAATGTCACATCGTATACGACATTGTCAAAGTCACAATGATATCATTTCATCATACAACTTACCTGTTGCAGTATTCTCAATAACTGTGCTGCCTGTGGATTGTTTTGGTTTGGCTGTAATTGTGGTTGTTGCTGTTGTTGTATCATGGGTCCTTGTGGCTGTTGTGTAATGGAGGGAGTTGCGATGGGTTGTCCTCCTCCAGTTGGATTACCAATTAACCGAGAAATTAAATCCATCACATTGTTGGTTGGAGTATTCATGGTGGTAGGATGAAGAAGATTTTGATGAAAAGTTACTATGTTGTTATGAAATTTGTGGGTAATTGTGATGATGAAACAATAAATATGGAATGATTGTTGAAACAAGTAGTAGTGCACGGGATAATGATAGCAGGGATGCAAGGAGAATTTGTTGTTGTTAATTGTGGTTGATGGTCTCGAGATGCTATAGTTTTGAAGCAACAACGGGAAGTCAATTCTGATGATGATGGCGCCGTTATGATAAAAGAAACAACGGCAATAAAGGATGTTGATGATCTCTAGAGAGCACGATAATCAGTGTGTTGAGACAAGTGTCCCGATGTGCTCGGTAACTTTGATGACGAAGAAAAAAGAAGCAGCACTAGCAACTATAGTCCGTACAAGGAAGAATTCGTTTGGACAAAAGGTGAACAATAACGGAAAAGAAGTGCGGCTTTTGGTTTTTTTTGTAAGTGTTTTTAAGTTTTTTTATTAGAGGTTTTGGCTGGATAGTCACAACCACTGAGGGTGAGTATTGGGGTGTCTGCTATTTTTTCATTCTTCCAAACCTTTCCAAAGTGCCATCCATCAAGAAATAAGCTGGAAGAAAGGAATCATCGGGCTGTCTTAGCGCCTCATTCCGTACAGTGTCATTCACACTGCCCAATGAGGTGTATCCCATGTCATACAGTGTACAGTATGGTATATGGAGGGTGAGAATGAATTGCCACACATCTTGGTAATCCCATTCTAAGATGGGTGAAACTCGCATCATTTCAGGCCAACCATCTGAGGTCTTTTCAAAGACATCAATATTACGCCCGTCTGGATCAATTTTTCTTGTGCCCATGAAGACAGCATCAAGTTTACTCGATGATGTTTCTATCAGCTCAACGAGGCCTTGTTTAAAACCCTTGCTAGCATCAATGAGCTTTAAAGTGACGCCATAGAGTTTGGAGGATTGTTCCAAAAATTGATCCATTTCTGGAAATTGATGTGGTATGGAGAAATGAAAGAATAAACAGTGTTGATTCAATAGAGCTGAAAGTTGTTGTAAACTTGAGCTAGCAGAATTTTCAGCTGTACACTGCTCAACTTTGAATTTTTCCAATAGATACATGATTAATAAATTAACAATTACAACAGAGTCTTTTCCTCCGTTAAAACCCAGTGCTATGGGTGTGTTGTACATTTCGAGAGTCTTTTTGATGATTTCAATTGATTTTTGAACCTTTTCTAACAAGGATGGGTGTTTTGAAAGCTCCGAATAACAATATTCCAATGATTTTTCTCTCAAAAACCATGGTGTTCCTTTTTTTGAATATTCTGTACAGGACGGTGATGTATTTGCACTTGATGTTGTTGGTATATAATCGTTTGAATCACAAATAATTGATGTTTGTTGTTCCGAGCTCGAGTTAGGGAGCATGATTTGTTCTACAACTAGTTGAATCAATAAGAATGATAATGAATGGAATGACTATTAGATAATGAGAGAGCTGCTCTATGATACAATATGAAAACAAGTAATATCGGACCCAATCCACACACTTTCTCTCGGAATGTTCTTGCCGAAAAATTCTTCAAAAATCGGATGATGCTATTTTTTTATCGTCATCCTTCGAAGATATTAGTTCATGAACCTGTCCATCCTTTGGAATCAAGGGTATCTTCATAGAGAGACCAAACACGTTAGATTATTTGTCCATTCAATGAATCAAGAGTCTTCAAGTACTCGAAAACTCTTGCTTTCCGATGGAGCTGTTCACAATCCAAAAAGATTCCGAAAAAATTTTCTCGCTGCTTTTGTTCAGACAACCTTTCGTCCTTGAAGTTTCTTGATCGGGTGCTTCTGTGTTCATGGTGTATGAGTGAATGAAAGGAATTCCTCTAACACGTTATTGAATATTGATCAACATATTCCATCAGCATTCTTTTTCATTACTGAAGAAGCCGCCGCTTAAATTTTTGCCGTTGATTCACAAATTTTATTATTTATTGTTATTTGAACATGATCGGATCATGGTTATCGGATCAAGGAACAGCACCAACAACAAATCCAGACCTGAAAAATTCTGTTCCACTCGCATCATCATTTGGAGCATTAATCAATAATAGTATTAATTCTCCTCCATTGATGATCTCTACAGTTACCACTGCATCCTCTGTTGGTGATGTAAGCCTCTATAATAATTATCAGTATTACAACAACAATAACAACAACTATCAGAGTAGCAACAACGCGAATCAAAACTATTATTATTATAACTACAATAGAGGAGGTGGACCACAATTTCCAGAAGAACTTAATTCCATGTGGATGACATGCCCATTTAACTCTAGATTGGAAGACGAAACATCACAAAACAATTCCCATAAGAGGAAATTTGATGAATATGTGAATTACCTAGAAGAGAACGAAGAGGAAGAAGATATCATTGAACAATTGACCGATGAGGACAACAACAAATTTTTTGAGGATGATCCTTCTTCATGCCTTTTTGAGTCTCTTCATGAGCGTAATTTTTGTAAACGAGTGAAATCTCAGCATCATCAAGATAGATTGTCGGCACAACTCTCTCATTTGCATGTTTCTGAAGAGAGCAATACTTCCAACCAACAACATCAGGTCGACAACTGGCTCAATAATAGTACCTTACATAGGAATGCTGCAAATGCCAACGACATGGAATTCAATGAAGGAGATTGGTGCTGTACTCAACTTGTGTGCTGTCCATCATCATCCTCGACATCATCATTGACTACAAATTCATTAATGACCAGTTGCATTCCAAAAACGAGAAACTCTCATTTCGTTAACGGAAAAACACTCAATGTCTCCACGGATAATCAAATGATGAAAAGTATGTGGCAAAAGAAATTATCCTCACTCATAAGCCAGTCTACTGGAAACAGCTCCAATCCAATAAGCACGTTATTATTGCAACAAAAAACTGACTCAACACTGTCTCCCCTAACGGACACAGCCCTTTTTCAATCTGTACTTGGTGACGCGTTGCGTAACTCCAGAAATATGGATGGCAACCCAAATGAACATGCAGTTGTACCTTACACAAGCAGTCGAGAGGAGATTTTGAAAAGACTGAGAACAAGGTTTGATAGCACCTCAAATGGGAAATACTCGCCAAAAACCATTGATGATCCTCATTCTACTGGGTCACTGCCATGTGGCAACGACGAAGCCACAAACGACTTGATGACAGATGAAAACTAATTTGAATCCATTCTAATCCTATTATTTCTAATTATTATTGTAAAAATGTAAATACACATGTTGATGTTATTTAAGATATTTCGAAGGTGCAACTTTTCTTGACCAATACCTCTTGGTCAATTTCATTCCAATCTCAAGAATACATGAGAGTTGTGTGCATGTCGTTTACAACTATCTAGAAAAAATTCTATTCAACCTCTTTGTGATGTGCTCAATGGTGATATCATCCAAATACAAAAAAGAGGAGGTAGGTACAGAGGGTGAAGGTGATATTTGATGTGACAGTTTACCACTGTCCAAGCTCAAACCTCCCAAGAAATAAACTGCTAGATAGGGCAGTAAGACCATTCGCAACGTTCCAGCTTGAAGCTGTGACATGGCCGTAGCAATGGCAAATGTACTAGCCACATGTAACCATCCATGATTTGCTTTCGCTTCTGTAAGTGATTTTTCAATTTTTAAAGTCTCACCCACTGCAGTAGGCAGTAGTAAATAGTAAGGCACTTTTGAAAGAAGTCTATAGTTGAAAATAAAATAGGAAGATCGGAATAGGAGGCCAAAAAGTGAAAGCATCAGTAATTGTTTGGCGTATTCTGTATGGTTTGCCAATTTCAATGAATGTTCTTCCTCTTTCAAGTAGGTGGTTTCTGACTTTTTTCCTTTTGCAATCATTAATCCAATGGAGCTGAGCTTTTTCACTTTTTCATCGTGTCCATATGAGTACATGTGCTGTAACATGTTGACAAACGGTAAGTTTTGATGTAGAGAGAGTGTTTTGAAAAGGGAAGAGTTTGAATACATTCTAGAAATGACCAATGCTGCAATCAACTCATTTTCTGGTTTCATTGAATCTACCAAATATTTGAATGTGTCTAAACGATGCATGAGAGGTTCATGAGAAATTTCTCTATTCGAAATTACATCTAATAGGTATCGAGCCTTTCTTTGTATGGCAGGACTCTTCTCGTACATGATCGAGTTGAATATTGGACCCAAGAGACCATTCGAACAAATTTCTGAAATGGCCTTATCATAAAACGACATGTCATTCTTGTCGCTTCCAATTGATATTTGAGAGTTTTCGCTCAACTTTTCGCTACTTTTCAAAATATTTAAATGAAAGTCCTTATTTTCAGTAACAGAAACGAGAGTTTCCAAACATGTGTAATGTATACTTTCTAAATTTAAACCCATTTGCCACAAGGCGTTTGGAAATGGACAAGAATGAAGAATGGTATTTTTGTTTAAATTGAGCAATAAAACTCCTCTAATGTTCGCTAACAATTGTGTGAGTAGTTTCTCATCTTGTACAAACCATAGGATTTAATACTGGCGTTAAGCTGTTTGGTTTTAGCATGGATGACAAGAATGATATGTCTGAGTTCATCATAAATTGAAGCATATTTTCTCTCTTTTGGTGATTCAAAACGGAAGTGAGAGGATGCTGCCTCATCGTCCTCAGGAATTAATCCATACATTCCAGGACCTGGTGGTATGTTTTCTGGTGAGGCTTCATCATCATGATCATTCATTTCCAATTCCATGAGTCTCTTTTCCCATTGCTTTAATTCGGACATGGCACTTGATAATTCATCAAGAATCTCCTTTTGATCTTGTTGTGTAGATGTTATGAATTGTTGATAAAGAGCAAATGCCGGCACAAGGTAAAGCCCTAATTGTAACATGTGTTTCGGGTTTGAGAAGAAGCTACTCGATTTTTCATGGTTGTTCCTTCCCGACTGTTGGTTTGATTTTCCTTGATCATGATGGAAATTTCTTGATGATCCTTTCCGATCATGATATTGCCTCCAATGTGCCAACAACATCATGGAACGCTGATGCAGGCATATCAGAGGGATGGTTGTTGGAGAATGAATCCACAACCGTTTCATCATTTTTTAATTCAAAAAAAATGATTTTATTCGACAATTCCCGATTGACAACATTGATCTGATGGAACGAACCCCTTCATGACGATGAGAAACAATGAATCTTTCATCACCGATTACAATTAACAAAATAATAATTTAATCTTGCACGCTAGGATTAATTCTCTTTGATCCTTGGTATCGAATTCTCTTGGCTAATACGATTGTGACAAACCCACCCAAATGCATCAACACACCAATTCCGAAACAAACAGCACCTGTCACCACTAATTGGAAATTCAGTCCTTTGCAAACACTGTTGTCCACAGTGGTAATGAAGGATCCAATAAATTCACACGGAACATACTCAACCGCAAATTCATTAATTAACTGATCTGCAAGACTCATGATGAAAGTGAGAGCGGTATTGGGGAAATTATGGATATATGTCTGAATATTTGATGTCATGGTTTGAATTTGTATTGCAACGTTTTGAGCCAGTGATGTCAAAGACGGTACAATACCATTACTGGCCAATGAAAAATCTTGTTGCAATCCATCCAAGTTACTATTGATCGCTTTCACAGAATTATTGAACTTGGTGACATCTGCTAAGGCAGCTGTATACTTGTTCTTTTGAGTACTTAATGCATCTTTGAGATTTTGGCCTTGAGTGTTATAAGGAGAAGACAATGAAGAAGGATCAAATGATTCAAAATTATCATAGGTATATGTACGTCCAGCATGTTGCTGTGTGAAGGCGTTGAAATCAGTCAATGCTTGATTATAGGTTGACGTGTTGAATCCTTGGAATCCATCCAAGCTACTCAGAGTGTTGGTAGCACTCAATAATTTGGTTCTAACACTTGCAAGACTTGAGGTATGGTCTGTTTTGATGGACCCTGTATTGGCACTTGCAATCACAGCATCCACTGAGCTCGTATAGGAGCTGATATTCATGGATGAGATGGAACTTGAGAAGCTGCCAGTGACACCCGAGAGAGAGTTTTCAATTCCTAAACCTTTGAGATAATCATTTCCCAAGAGAACAGTCACAAGGGAATTGTTCTTTGCGCAAGTGGCTATTCCTTTAATCATGAGCGAAGCATTTTGGAATTTGATACTACTTGCAGCATTGATTTGGTCTAGTAATCCATCACCGAGCATGCCTAATGTTTTGGGACCCTTTGTACAAGCATCTGTAATAATCAAGTACAATGGTATCTGAACAAATGCAAAAATGTAGAATATCCAAGCAGTGATGAAAGCTAACCAGCTTGTGGTTTGAATGAGGAACGACTTTCTGAAAATGAGACCCAAAAAGACAAAAATGTAAATGATGCAACACCAAGCAAAGAAGACGACACTCAGAGCAATACGCACATTCTCTGCAATTGAGGTATATTGAGTTGCTTGCTCAATAATTTTGTCATTCAAATAAGGTGAGATTTGAGCCTGTATAGTCATGATTTGACTCTTCACTCCGGTAAAAGTTGGACCGATAATAGGCGTCAAGTTATCGACCAATGTCGAGTTGATGACACTCTTCACATTTTGAATGCTACTTGTTACGGTAGATTTGGCGTTGGAAACGGTGGTTTGTGCTGTATCAAGATCCGTCAAACTCGTTGAGACAGCAGGAGAAATGTCCGGTACTTCAGAGAGAGTTGGAAGACCACTGAATTGAGACTGCAACACTGAGAGGTTTGAGTTAATGTTGGAAATTCTCAAAGAAATATCAGGAACTATTGCTGAATTGAATTGACTGAATTGATTACGTGTGGTTGCAATCAATGAAGAAATGGTATCGAGAGGTGTCGTCTGTTGCACTGCTTGATCCAGTAGTGGAGTCAACTTGTCAGGAACTTGAGCGAATTTCGATGTAATAGCTTCACCAATATTTGCAATTCCCATTATGGTATTATTGGTGGAGCTCATGAACTTTAAGGTGGCTGTGATCATGGTTCGTACGTCTGAGGAAGCTTGAGCACTAAATCCAATACCAACACCAGCCAATGCCACAAAGCCACCATACACAAGCAAAACTACAATGGTAGGAATTATTAAATCTTTGGTGGTGTAAATTTCCTTAGGTTTGTTGCCACCACACAAACCACAACATCGAAAACAGCAAAAGAGAGTGAGGGAAAAGTAACCGAACAAACCAATGATGAGAGGTATGATGGCAATAATTCCGATAAAGATTGCATACTCAATCCATTTGGCACCATCAAGAACTTCGTCCATCGTGGAGGGCCATGTGGTTCGGACGGTTTTTACCTCTCCTATTTTGAAGGTAATGTTATTGAGCTGAAGTTGAGCCTCCACAGGTTGTGAGGATATGAGGCAACCTATTGCTACAAGTATTGTAAAGAACAAGATGAAGAGTAAGGTGGGAGGTCGTATCATGATGATCGGTTCGATTTTGCAAGACCAACAATAACAGCAGTATTTACAGGAAAGAAGAGTGAAAATGAGGCGATGTTGGTTTCTAAGTCCCTTACAAGAATTGTGGTCGAAGGCTAGAAATTAAGGTTGAGGGTGCTCACAGCAATTAAGGTCAAACTGGCAGTGGTTCGCTAGCGGTTTTTTTTTAATTTGTCTGTTGCCGAACAACTGTTTTAACGTTCATCAGTGGGTGGCGGGGCATTGGAATGAAATAAGAAGGTGTGGACTTTGCAAGTTGCCAAAAGTCTCCACAATGCTGAATTTGCAACAACGTACGTTTAAGGTGAAAAAAATTACACAAAGTTGTATTTCATAGTCATTCAATGTTTATTGTTAAGGAAATTAATCGACCCTTGGATGCACTCTGTGGCTTGATTGGTATTTGACTCTCTTCGCAAGAACAAGAGTTGCTAAACATCCAACATTCAGCAAGAGGCCAATTGCCAAACACACGACACCAGAAATCAATAATTGCATATTAATTCCTTGACAAACGTTGGTTCCCAGGGTTTGAACAAATGAACTCATAAAGGAGCATTGTGCAACATCAGAAGCCAAAGAATCGACCAATTCCGTCGCTACAGTAAGTATAAAACTCATGGCGTCGCTGGGGAAATTTGCAATAAAGGTCTGAATATTGCTTGCAAGTAAATCAATTTGTGTGATAATGCTTGAGGTGAGAGTTGACAGGGAGCTCATCACAGAGCTGGCAGCAGAAAAATCTGACAATAGACCATTCATACCAGCCGAAACAGCATTCACAGAGTTATTGAACTTGACCACGTCGTTATAGGCTGCTGTATAGGTATCATTTTGATAGGCGACAGCATCTTTCAAATTTTGACCTTGAGTATTTTCTGGATTTGGTAAAGTGGAGGGATCAAAAAGTGTGTAATTGTAATAGCTGTACAATTTTCCAGTACGTGGAAAGGTGAATGCATTCAAATTGTCAATGGCAACGTTATACAAGGTTTGATTGAATCCACTGAAGCCATCCAAACTTCCCAACGACGATGTGGCGTTGGTCAATTTGGTCTTGGCACTCATGATATCTGTCGAGTAGTCAGTCTTGATGGTGGAAATATTGGCATTCTGGACCGAGTTTTTGGCCGTAGCAGTCAATGAGGAAATATCAAAGGAACTAATTTGTGACTGGAAGGTACTTGTCATGCTCGACAATTGCGCATCAATTCCCAAGCTGGTCAAATAATTCTTGCCAAGCACTGCGGTCAATAGAGAGTCATTCTTGCCACATGTTGCAATACTGTTCATAATGGAGGAAACGTTTTGGAATTTGATCGTCATGTTGAACTGACCAATCAATTGGTCGCCCACAAGACTCAATGTCTTGGGTCCTTGTGTACATGTGTCGGTAATGAGAATGTATGCAGGAATTTGTACAATGGCAAACAAGAAGAATACCCATGCACTGATAAATGCTAATACGGTTGTGGTCTGAACACAGCATGCCTTTCTGAAAATGACACCCAAGAACGCAAACACATAAATGATGCAAGCCCAACCAAAGAATATCACGCTCAATGCAATTCGAATATTCTCAGCTAATGATGAATAAGTGGAGGCATCCTGGAGTACTTGTTGATTCAAATAGGGAGCAATTTGGCTTTGAAGTTGATTCACTTGGACCTTGATTCCATCCAATGCAGGACCAATGGCAGGTGTCAATTGAGTGGAGAGGGTTGCATTGATTTGTTGCTTAATATTTGCAATGTTTTTCACAACATCCGCTTGGGCAGTTGCAATGGTGCTGTTGGCACTTTTCAAAGCAGAAACTCCACTATTGACAGCAGGCACGACAAGAGAATTAATGTCTGGAATGTCGGTGGTCGTTGGAACACCAGAAAAGTTCGCTCTCAGTGTATTGAGATTGGAATTAATAGCCGCAATTCTTGCATTCATGGTGACAATATTGGTCGAATTGAATGTCTGTAATTGATTTGTTGTGGAGGTAATGATCGATGAAATGGTACCCAGAGGTGAGACCACTTCTGTAGCCTTATTCAACAGTGGATCGAGTTTATCTGGCAATGCGCTCAACTTGGCAGTAATGGTATCTCCAATCGTGGTCACTTTCATCACTGTAGTATTGGCCTCATTCACAAAAGATAATGTCTCTGTGAATGTTTTTCGAATGTTGGCAGATCCTTGTGCTGAGAAGCCAATACCCACTGCTGCCAATGCAATAAAACCACAAAACAAGAGAAGAAGTATGGTCGTGGGAATGACAAGGTGCTTTCTTTGATATGTCGTGTCTGGTTTTGAACCACCACACACGCCACAACATCGAAACAAGTAAAAGATAATTCCAGCCATATATCCAATGAGACCCAGTATTAAGGGTATGATTGCCAAAATGGCCACATAGATACCATATTCAATCCATTTAGCTCCATCCATGATATCTTGTGTGGTAGAGGGCCAAGTTGTACGAACAGTTTTGACTTCACCGAGTGTAAAAGTCAATGGAGTAGTGGAACTGGAATTGGTTTGAGCGAGAATGGGAGTTGTTGAGATGATCAAAAGTACAAGTAGGGAGAGGAGAAGGAAGAGAGGTATGGAGTTGGAACATGTTCGTTGACCAATTCTATTCAAGTGAGGAGTTAGTATTAGCTTCATGATGTTTCTATATTTCTGGAAAGATTGTTCAAAACACAAAGTCGTTGAGTAAATGAGGTCGTGTGGTTGTAATAGTGAGATGGAGGGCACACACGTTGAGAACAGTTGTACTAGTTGTTTCAGTTGTTCAGAATTTGTTGTTCTCTCTATTGTTGGTTGGTTGTTTGATGTAATCACGAGGAATTGAATGGAGAGATTTGGTTTCAATCGTTTTCTTTGTGTTGTTGTAACAGGTTTTCAAAGAGACTTTGTGATTGCGGCGTTCTTCGTAGTTACACTCAGCGGGAAAAGTTCATTCACCACCATGAGCCGTTAACAACAGCAACTTCTTGAACGTTGTGTGATGCTTTGGAAGAGACAACATCATTGGCCATCACTTCACGGAACAAGAGATGAGTCATTTTGGAAAACTCTATTGAAATTAGGGAGAGTGCCTCAAACCTCAATGAATGTCATGTGTTTTGATGATGTGGCCATGCCACCTGGTGGTAGTGGGTGTTGAAAGCGCTGTAACAACTGTGTGTCACCGGTGTATTAAATTATCGAGTTGAAATCTCGTAACTTGTTCACCGGTGAACAAAACGCCTACAAACTTTCACTGTGTTCCATGAATGCATCGTTTCTTCCCCGTTCGCAAGATAATGAATTATTAAATCAACTGCAATTTTCTTCTAAATAATCATAACATCCCCATTATAATTATTATACTACCAATAGCTATTGTAATATTTTCTTCACCAATACAAAACAATCAGGAGGAGTGAGTCTCTTGTAGAAATTTTCAACCTTTTTCAGCACTGAAAATCCATGCCTCTCATAAAACTTGATGGCATCTCGATTATTGGTTTGTGTTTGTAAATAGACAATAAATTCGGAGGGAGCTGAACTCAATAGTGATGACGGACTCTGCTTTTCATCATTGGAAGAATTTTCCAACAAGCAAGTTTGACTTGTTAATGAAGCCTCCGAGTGATGAAGTGAAGATTTCAGTAATTCATCAAGAGCTTGCATCACACAATCCAATAATTTCGCTCCAATTCCTTTGGATCTATATTTTGCTAAAACTGCCAATGAAGCAATACAGAGTCCTACATGATCCGGTGAAGCATGAATGTCTGTTTTGAGAATGCAGCCAATGGCTCCCACAGGCATTTCTTTATCTTGGCCATGACTCACGTAGGCGATGAAGGATAACTGATCGGAAACCATTTGGTCATACACTTTGGAATGATACGATACAGGAAGTACAACCGAGTTGATGGAGACCATATCATTCACTCGAGTGGAATCAAGAGGACGAAGGATGAGCCGTGAATCGATTGAAAGGTTTGTGGACATTTGTTTGTTTTTTTTGTAACACTTTGTCGAACTCTTGAGGACTCGTAAATCGAGTTTGTTCGAGTTTTTGATAAATACACGTAATATTTCCTCCATTTCAAACAACAAGCACCACAAAATGCATGGCAGAAAAGTTGGAATTTAAGATAATTTAATTTTGGATGATCCAAGTAACACAACACTAAATCTAACATGGTCGTTTGAAATAAGAGCTGATACATATTGCTACTAAAAAGGTCGCCAACTTCTGTTTGAATTCGCAAAGTACATGTCATCAAATTAACCGCCTTATTTCTACCAAGCCAATTGCGCAAAAGAAAAATTTATCCGATGAGACGGAATCGAACCGCCGACCACAGGATGACTTGCTTGCTACAGTCCCATGCTCTACCAGCTGAGCTATCATCGGATTACATTTATGAATTACCATAATATGTTATCATCGTTTTTAGTCGTACAATTAAGAGATTATGTGATCATTCACAGATTTAAAACCTGCAAAGTAATAGCTTAGTAATTTCTGAGACCAACGTGAAATTCTATGGTTCAATCTTTCCTCAACATGAAATCATACAACAAAAACATCCTTCTCTTGACAAATGACATAACTTGTGAAGTCTAGAAAATGAATTTTCGTCTTTCTTTTCACCAAACAGACTCTCTCTTTCTCGTAAACTTTCAAAACCAAGTTTTCCGCTTTCAATTGTCTGACAGGAAAAAAATGCCCCCATCCAAAACATTTACGGTTTCAGATGCTCATCATTGCATTTAGAAAAACACATTCATGAAGAAAGTTATGACGATAGGATGGGCAAAAGTTACTAGTAACACCCCGTTAATGCAATCCGATGATAACATATTATGGTAATTCATAAATGTAATCCGATGATAGCTCAGCTGGTAGAGCATGGGACTGTAGCAAGCAAGTCATCCTGTGGTCGGCGGTTCGATTCCGTCTCATCGGATAAATTTTATCATTTGGCTGAAGAAAAGTTTTTTTTAATTGTTAAGAATGTTATTCAGCTCCAGAAGAACCTGACTGTCGTTAAGGTTGACAGAATCTTCTTGAAGCAATCTTAAAGGGGAGATGGTCTTTTTAGGGGTGGGTACTGAATTCTTTGGGGAGGCAGAATGGTGAGAGGGTTTGGAAGACATGGTTTTTAGATTCGTATTGGTAGTTATAGAACTAAGAGAGGAAAGATCAAGAGGCGGAATAGAGGAAGTGGGATTATCAGTCTCTCCTTGATTGTGGTATGATATATCATTGACGCTCAAGTCCTCTCTTTTTCTCATCATTTCTTTTTTCTTCCTTTTCAAATCATTGTGCAAACGATCAATGGATGCCTGTGTTGACAAGTTTGAGGTGATAAGTGCTCCCTTTTCTTTCGCAAGCAACAAGGCTTCTATTTCCTTATCCTCTTTAAAATCTTCTTGAAATCTTGCTAATACTTGTTGCATTCGAATAGTTACTGCATGGTGTGGCCCCAATCTGGTTTTAGCAATTTCTAGTGCTTTCTCATGAAAAAGAGAGGCCTTTGAAATCTAGGGTCGCACAAGAATTACATGTGTTGATGAAGCAAAATTAAATCAGATGTTCTGCTACTAACCTCCATTAAATGTTCCAACTCCACTGCAATATTGTTGTGAGCCACAACAATGCTCGAGTATAAAGCATCGTGTGATAATGATGGGTGCTTGAAATCGTTGTCTTCCTCACTTCCGTCTGCTTCTTCTTCTTCAGCTTCCCTTTCAACAAGTTTAGACTGTTGAAATAACAAAATATCAAGAGCTGTGTTCGCATGGGCCAACGACTGTTTGTGTTTTCCAAGTTTGGACAAAATTGCTCCAATATTCAAATAAGAGTCTGCTAGAGCTATGTCATTTTCTCCTTTCGGAGTCTCATATTCAATTGCGAATGCTTGTTTTGCGAAATCAAGAGCTTCCTCAAACATGTTTTTCATTCGGAAAGCAAAACTCATGTTATTTAAAGTCATGGAATGAATTCTCTTGTGATTGTCAAACTCTATTCCCTTTTTTAAATATTTAAGAGCTCGTTTCAAAATGTCGAGTCCTGCACTTGGATTATTCCTACAATTTAAAGTTGCAAACGTATTGCACAGAATAATAAATTTTTTGCTTGCATCCTCAACTTTCGGATCTAAAAGACCATATACATCAATAAGAAGGGCAAGTCGTTCTTCCCAAGAATCTAGGCTTTTAAGGGGGTCGCTTGAAGACTCTAACTCTTTCGCCTTTTCCTCTAACGAAACAATCTCTAACAATTTGACACGGGTCTCTTTCATCAAAGCTGCATGATTAATCTCATTTAAGGTTTCGTTAACGTCTTGTTTGAGAGCTTCTTGAAGTTGTAATAACGAACAGGAATCAGTTTGCTCTTTTTTCGATTCCGTAGTGTCGCTCTTATTGAGTATGGAGGAGTTACCATCGTGATCCGATCTTGTTCTTTGATGGATAATATCAGTTTTTCTTTGATATCTCCTTCCTGGTGTTTTCGGCTTTGAGGGCGAAAAGGAAACTGCTGATGATGAAGTATTAACGCTCTTATTCCGAATCTCCATTTCTTATACAACCTTAAATGAGAGTAACAAACGTCCTTATTTTAAAACTACACAAATACAAGAGCACAACAATTTTTTTGTTGTTAAGTGGCGCCATCCAACTACAATGAGGAGTTTTAAAAAAAACATGCGTGATTGAAATATTCAACACATCTTTTCAATAGCTATACATCATCCCATTACATTACAACAAGAATATTAATTATATAATCATTTTACTTGCCAATTTCATTGAATTGTTGTTGAAAAAATGTCTCAACCCAGACGAGCGTCATCAACATTGCTACTTCAAGATGATATGGATGAGCTCATGATGAATTGGAGGGACAACTCCTCTCCTCAACAGCCACACAGTCAAACCACCCGTGTTCCGAAATTTCATTATTCCGAAGATTATTTGGAGGACGTGTTTCCCAAACGACCTTCTTCTCATACCTATCTAGACAAAATTCGGGAAAAGCAGCGAGCCACCATTCTCTCCGATCCTGTTGTTTGGGCTAACGAAACCCGAAATCTTCTCAACAAGGACATGAATATTCCTCTCCCAAGAAAAATCAAACGCAGAAATATGGGTGGCATACCGACCAACAGCGTCGGAAGGAAAGTGAAAGGTACTCTCTACAAACGAGAATCAATTTTACCAAGAGAAAATCAGATGAATCCGAGCCTTCCTCTTCCTCCAATTCCTGAAACAGAGCTTGACAAGGGGCTCATTAATTTAATCAACAGAAAATTGGTTCCCTCGTTTATTGACCTATCGCCGTTAGTGAATAACAATGAGGAAAATACACCTTTTGTTGCACAACCTGCTGTCCTTAACCCCTTCCATACTCAGCTTATCAAGAAGCAAATTCAAACATCCGATGTACAAAAACCAGCACTTTTCAAAATGCAAAACTCATCTCAAAGTTTGCACGATCAAACCAGCAACACCCAAGAGCCTAGAGGTATGCGTAAAAAAGAAGCACCCACAGTTATTCCTTTTGGTAATCAAAAAATAATTAATGTCAAGAGTGACAAGGCATCCATTTACCTACCAAAGAATTCCATACAACAACCTCTCAACTCGACTCTCGACCCAAGCGACGACCAAAAACTGAATGCTCTCCTTGAGATCAACCATGAAAAGAAAAAACAACAATACTTAAGAACGTATTTGGACCTCATGGACGAATACAGTTTGCATCATGTCATTGTACGACATGGAACTTTACTCAACAACACACCAGAATACTTGTCTTTCTATCGAACGTATCAGTATAACTGGCCTAAAATTTATGGAATTCTAATGCTACTGGAGAGACTTTTGAAAGATTTTTCAGGTGAGTCAAATCTTCAATAATTGACCATATGTTTAGTGTTTGTTTAACCAATGTTTTTTCATGTATTTTATGGAATTAACAGTTCCTCTGGCTTATGTTGACGGCAAAAAAGTTGTATTTTTAGCTGAGAAAACTGTAGATCCCACCAATCAACAATTAATTGATTGTCTTGTAAATAGTGAAACTGTAATACCATATATTCATCTGCCAGACGTGAAATTTTTAGGTAGAAATGGGCCAAATCTGGCAGCAACAGCAATTCAACGAATTTGGAGAGGATATTCTCAACGAATCAAGTTCAGAGATCTTAAGAGAAAACATGAAATGGCTTCCATCATTCAAAGATGGTGGTTTTTACGGACTCGTTTGTTTCGAACTAAAGAACGGATACAAAAAATCCTCTACGACGAAGAGTTTAAATGGAAAGCGAAAATGGAAGATTTTAAGAAAAACTGGGACTCAATCAAGAAAGCAAAACGAACAATTGTTCATATTAATTCTTTAAGTTATGATGAGAGTGTGAGGAAAACATTTCCAAAATTCAAATCACACCAAAATTCACAATTATTTAGACTACTCGATCTATTGGACCCCAATGTAGATATAATATTTATTTCGTCCTTTCAGATTGACAGTGACTCCTTGTCCTATGTGGTAAAGTTGTTAGAGTACTATGGAGTAGAAGAGCCAATGAAACGAGTGAAATTCGTGACTCCTGAGAACAACAAACAGTACCAAGACCACACCTCCTTATCGACTCTTGTTTACTATTCGCAACGGACTTTAAAACATATCAAGACGCTTGTGATGGGAAAGGTAGCCTTCATCGTTCCAGGCCATATTGGTAAAGACGACTTAAGGTTGGCTATCAAGCTTCAGCTACCAATTTTAGGGGCAGACCCTTTGAACTCTACAATATATGGAACAAAATCAGGAAGCAAAAGAATATTTTCACAAGCTGATGTCAACACACCGATTGGAATTTATGATATTTACGAAGAGGAAGATTTGATCTCAAATTTAACGAAAAAGATTCTTGAGTACCCGAACTTTAATAGGTGGTTGATAAAAACTGACACTGAAATTGGAGGACGAGGCTTAGCATATTTAGAGACTTCAAGCGTTCAAGCTGTAAAGGAGAAGAGGAAAAACGAACCCCTTTTTACTGATCGAGTTCGAACGAAAATTATAGAAGAACTATCGGAATACATGCCTGAGAAAATTAACTTGGTTTCAAAATATGTGTATCCAAAGTGGATTGATTTCATTGCATCTCTTAAAGCGTGTGGAGGAGGCGTTATTGAGGCCGTTCCTAACAAAATAATTGGCTCTCCAACAGTGAATTTATTTATTGAACCAAATGGTGAGGTGCAAGTCCTGTCGGTACAAGAGCAATTGCTAAATCCACAGTATTGCGCGCAAGGGTGTGCATTTCCACAATATTCAGCACCATATGAAGCCCTTAGAGAAGCTTCTCTATCCGTAGGACATGTGTGTTATTCAAAAAAGATCATGGGCTACCTTTCCATTGATTACATTATCTTTTTAGATGAGAAGGAAAGCGCAAGAATGTGGGCCGTAGATTTAAAACTGCGCTTGACAGACAACTCCCTTATTCATCGGTAAGTAGTTCATGACCAGTCCCAGGTGACTCACTTTTGACACTTTCATTGCTTTGAATATCCTTGATATTACTGATTATGAATATCCTTACTGATTATTTGGAAATAGTGTGTTTGAACTTGTGACAAATAGTCAATTTGACATGAATAAGGGTGTAATGACGAGGAAAGATCATGATAGTGCAAACATCTCAATGGAAGTGAAACGCTCTTACATTTATAGTGGAATGATGAGAAACCCCTCCATAAGTACATGGCATCATTCGTCGTTTTTCAATGATTGCAGAATGAATGGTCATTCGTTGGATTGTGTTGGACAATTTGGAGTTGTTTTCCAACAAGTCGATTCTCTACTCAGAGGCCAACTTGGAGTGCTATGCATTGGAAAGAGTTCTGAAGAAGCCATCAGCTTCTTCTCCAGCCTCATTGAATTTATTTCAAGTTTAATTAACGATGAGGATCGTCAACCATTTGGATACGATTCCAACATGTGTAGCGTGGAGGCACTAGCTCATTGGTTATCCTCCCCATCCAATCGTGGTAGTAGTAGTAGCGGTGGTGGTGATTCAATTGGTGAATAAAAATTGATGGGAGTTGAAATTCTGTTGTATGATTTTAAAAAATGAGAGCGAATAAGGTTGGGAACGGAGTGGAGACATCTACCGACAAACTACCCTCTCCTCAAGTATTTGGAGACAAAAGTTATAAGGTTTGTATTCAATGATCATTATTGCGATCATGAATATCATGAATATTTATAACGGAATGAATTGATTAATGTCAATACAACGAAACATTGGAATTACGAACGATTATGAAATTCGATAATTAATTTATCATCATGTTGGATCAATGATGAATAATGGTAGATACTGAGAGAAATTGGGAGTGGATCTTTCGGAAAAGCCTACCTCTGCGAAAAAAAGGGTAGCAAGTATGTCATGAAGCGGATAAATATGAAGGAGTTGAGCGATGAAGAAAAGCAAGGAGCATTGCTTGAAGCACAAATTCTTCAAAAACTCAAGCATGACAACATTATTGCATATAAGGAATATTTTATTAGTTCAGACAAGTATCTCAATATTGTTATGGATTATGCTGATGGCGGTGATTTGTTTACAAAAATCAAAAACGCTCCAGGCTATTTTTCAGAAGAAGTATGTCTCAATATTGTTTTAAATTCTTTTCAAACTAATTGGGGAATTATTTTGACACTGTTTTTCTTTGTTGGAATTAGCAAATTCTGGACTGGTTTGCCCAAATTGCCCTCGGGCTGAAACATGTACATGACAGCAACATTTTACATAGGTAGGTGCATGCATGGGTTCAATTTTTTGTATTCGAATCATTTTTTGTTCGTCAGAGATCTTAAAACTCAAAACATATTCTTAACGAAATCGGGAAAGATTACAATTGGAGATTTTGGAATTGCAAAAATTCTAAACTCCCAAACTGAATTTGCAAACACGGTCATTGGAACACCATACTATTTGAGCCCTGAATTGTGTGAAGACAAGCCATACAATCAAAAAAGCGATGTTTGGGCCTTAGGATGTGTCTTGTATGAGTTGACAACTCGGAAACATGCTTTCAACGGTCAGAATTTACCTGCTCTTGTTCTCAAAATTTTAAAGGGTACTTATCCTGCTATTCCTCCAGTTTACAGTAGCAATCTGAGTGAGCTAATTTCTTCCATGTTACAAAAGGATCCTGACCTTAGACCAAGCATGAGTGAAATATTATCTCTTCCTTTCATTCAGGAGAGGGTTTTTAAATTTATTATGAACAAGCAAAATGCATCTCGATCGAATAGTGCTCTCGAAGGTTCCTGTAATCAAGAGGATTCCACTCCGCGACCAGTGGTACCCCAACAGGACTCGCAAGGAGCATTGGATCAAAAAGCACCAAAAAAAGATGCACGATGGTTGCAAGAAAAACAACGAGAAATGGATGCGCTTTTCAAGCAATTACATCCATCGAAACAAGTTCCTATTGATACTCTTTCCAAGCTCCAAATACGCAAACACATGCAAGAGCGAAGTGAACTCAAAAAAGAAAAACTGAAAGGACGAAAGGAATATTACGAGCAACTGCTGGACAAGAAGCATAACAAACCAGTCATAGTCACCGCCAGCGTACAAAATCAACCTGTAACAAACTCGCAACAGCCTCCACCCATTCCTCCTCGGGTGTCTCTGCCCTCAAATATTGTACCCTCAAAAGCACAACCACCACTTGCTCAAAAACAACCTCAACCATTCATCTCTGAAAAAAAATCTCCAAAACGAAATGAGGAACGATCAAAAGCGAACAAACCATCTCAAGAGGACAATGAAAAAACTGTATATACGCTGGAAGAAATTTTGAATCAACAAGTTCACCCGCATCATCAACCACAACGAAAACCTCCTCCACTCAAAACAAAATCCTCTGAAAATAATGTTGCGATCATGAACAACAATAGAGCCAAACCCTCTGAAAACGTTAATGCAATTTCAAAAGAAGAAGTCAGAAAAGATATCAAAAACAAACAAGACAACGACAGACAAAAGTGGCTCAATAATATGAATGGTAACGAAGCTGAAGATCGAAAAAAGAAATTCCTGGAAGAGAAAAAGGAAGAAAAGAGGAGAAAAAAAGAAGAAGAAAAACGATTAAAACTCGAGCATAAGAGAAAGATGGACGCCATCAAAGGACGGAAAAATCAAGTTCGTCAACTGTTTGGTTTGGATGAAGGATCTCCAACAAGCATGGATGAATCTCGATCATTGGACAACAAGAAGCAAGACGATCAGCCCAAAGTGATGGAACCCACGGAAGTTGAATTAATGAAAAAGAAAGAAGAAGAAGAGAAGGAAAGAAAACGAAGAGAGCAACTAGATAAACAGAGACAAGATTTTAAGGATTTCATTAAGAATCAAAAGAAGAAAAAGAAAGAGGAGGAAGAAATTCCAGTGGAGATTGCAATTCCTGCCATGTCTGATCATACTCATCTGACGCGAGTCAAAGAAAATCTCGAAGATTCAACAACCCCAGTGAGCGTCTCCATCTCGCCCAAGAAGAAGCCCTCTCCAAAACAAGATGTTGGGGTTGTCATAATCGAATCCAAGCCAAAGCATGAAAAGGTAAAAGCATCTCCTTCTAAAGAAGCCAATTCACACCAGTATGAAGATTTAGACTTGCTCCCTTCGAAGGAAGATAATTCAACACCACCAGCAATCTGTTTAACGCCATCCACATTGGATAGAAATAAGGGCACACCCGTTCAACTCAAGTTTCACACACCGACAAGGAAAAACGAAATTGACACATCTCAGCTCTCACCTACAGAGCTAGAAAATTTAAGAAAGAAACAAAATGAATTGGGTGTTAGAATTGAATCATTAAGATCGTATTGTGAAAACAAATTTGGGGAGAGGACCTTCATGGAGCTCTATAATTTCTTGAGAGACTTCGAGTTGAAAGAAAATGAAGATGAAGACAGTCAAGTGCATGACGGCATTGAGCGAATTCTTGGAGAAGAAAAGTCTTCAAAACTTCCCTACATCCAAAAGATCCATCAACTCATTTTCTGTGAAGATTTGTTTTACGGATGATTGGCATGGGTTTTGGTAAGGAATGTCAAAATCAACCCACAACACCAATTTCAAAAATGTTTTTAACTTTTATTCATCAAACAAATTCAAAACTTCCACATTTCGTCAAGATTGTGGTCGATTGATCTGTCAAAAACTCGAGAGTTCTCTCGAGGGCTGAGTGAAACCTTAATAAATTATTCATGTTGTCTCTCTGAATGTTAAACAACAAGCTTGGTTTTAAAAGTAGAGAAGGCTGCAATCCTCGGCTGAGTTCATCCATGAAGCGGATGACATATCACGTCCACCATCAAGGAAAAGACATTCTTCATTCTCTGCTGTCGATTCAAACAAGTCAGTCGTGTTAAAAGTATTGTCTTGACATGAATAATTTTCATGATTGCAATTACTCGTCAATACTGTAGAATCTTCAAGACAATTATCTTCCAATTCAAAGCATGAAGTGGCATCATTTCGTTCCACATCTGAGGCATCACATCCAATTTCGAGACCTTCTTCTTCCTTTGGTATCATGAACGTGGAGGTACTTGGAGTGTGTGAAGCATGATGATAGAAAGTGGTTGGAATAGCAGCAGGAGTTGTCGTATAAATTGGATACGAATATTGATAGGGAGATGATGTAGGTGATGGTGTTGAGGTAGCATGAACGTCACCACCATTCACAGGATAATATGCAGCAGCAGCATGGTGATGATGTACAAAGGCATATTGAGGATAGGAAGATGGAATGACAGGAATGACAGGTGTTTGTGGGAAAATGACACCTGCTTGTTGCAACGATTGGAAAAAGTCAATTTTCTTTGGTTGTTGACTTGTGGACTCTGAGTCCAGAGTGTTGGAAGAGCATGGAGATCTCTCGTCAGGAGTCATCATCTTTGGAGAATGTTGCACGGACATGGTTGGAGAAGTGTATGACGAATTGGGTTGAGGGGATAATGACGAACACAGATGGTTCTGGGTCGTCTGGGTCGTTGTCTGACTTGTCAAAATGGGTGAACGTAATAATACACGAACTGAAGAACCATTCAAATTCTTGTTGGATGGTGATTCAAGAAGTGAACTGAGAACATTCTTTGGCTCAGAAGAAGGTGTTGGAGTCAATGTCTCGGATGTCACAGACACCATCTTTCCATGATTGAACACATTGCTCAATGGAGTTGGTCTCTTCTTCTTGGCTTGACATGAAGAGTCCTTAGAGGCAGTCGATCTCTTTCGTTTTGGAGGAGCTGTGGAACAAGTATTTTCACAGTCTGAAACGGATTCCTTCTTTTCTCCCTTATTTTGTTTCTTGATGGAACGAAATGCTTGATTAATGTCAATCACAACACCTCCATCAATGACTTCTTGACCTTCTTTTTGCATCTTTCTCTTGTAACGAACTCTCTTGTTGGAGAACCAATTGTTGATTTGGAGAAGAGACAATGTCGTTTGATTGACCATTTCTTTCTTTTCCTCTTCACTGTACATTTGTTGTCGTTCGAAGAATGAGGTGAGATCATCAATGTCATTCAGAATGAGATCAAATGTAAATACATATCGAGAATGACACAATGATGTTTGTATAAAAACAATGTTTCTTCAAATGATAAAACATTGGAAAGATAAATACAAACCTTGGATATGGGTTTTGAAGATTGGCAAAGAACCAATCATTGAGCACTTTGGTAATCTCTTTCGAGTAGCCCTTTCTCTTCTTTCCATTCTTTGAGGAAGACTTTTCATCATGAACACTTTCAGAGTCACTTTCAAGTTGATGATGATGAGAGGATGACAATAATGGAGAAGAATCAAAGTCTCCCATCAAGTTCTCGTCATCACCACAGAGATCTCTGTGTTCAGAAAAGATGTTGGATGGTTGTTCCAATGTTGTTGTTGTTGTTGTTGGTGATGTTGATAGCATTGTTCAATATGTTACACGGATAGAAGTAATAGTTTGTTGTTGATGGAAGGACAGGGTTAATCTGTTTTTCCTAATGATGATGATTGTAAAACTGGAGAGAGATCAGCAGCAAGTACCTTTGCTCACACAACAGTTGTGTCCAATGAATGGGCAATGATGTTCTCTGAAAGAGCAAATAGGGATGTTGGTGGTCACTCACACACTCAATCAAGAGACAGAGAATATGATTGAAAATTATTCGTCGTTTTCACACACACTTGATACTCGTCGCGCAGTAAATGGTCGTCACCGCTTGTTGTGTTTTTTTCTTTTTGGTACTTGGCACACGCCTTTGAGAGGTACGCACCAACACACAAGCTTCATCACTGCTGCTGTTCAGTGCACTGAACCAAAAGCAACGGTCGTGATGTGCACTGAATGTGGCTGCGTGCTCTCTCTTCTCGAAACCCAGTTGCCTTCGAAACAGATTCGTGGGTAGTGTTTGCTTTTATGGACGATGCAAGCACGTTTGAAAAGTGATGTGCGTTGTTGGAGAAAAATTTGATTGGCTACTGCACAACCTATCCATCAAAGCGTGGTCCTTTCTCGTTTTGTCGCTGCTTTACAAAAAACTAAAAGTTCGAAAAGTACTTTGTTGTGCTAAAAAGGTCCAGCAAAAGCAATGAAACGTGACGGATTGTGGCTTTGGTTTGCCTTTGAAGATCTGTGAGGGATTGGGGAGTAAGGAATTTCTGTAGAGCTCTGTGCTGCACTGATATGTTTCCAAACCACATTCACTGTAATCATTGTGTGATTACATTCCCTACAGCACCACTACATTTTGCAAATATTTCCCATGAGGAAAGTTGAGTTTGGGAGTGTGTGGTTGGTTTGTGTGAGGGGTTTGTCTATCTCGTGTTTTGTGTTCAACTGAGCATCTTTGAAGATTCATGGATGCAAGTCGCGTTGAGGATGCAAAGTGAACTCACAGTAGTAAGAATGATTGACTTCAATAAACGCCTAATGCGGTCTTTTCTCCACCACTACGGTTTTCATGGCAGCAATTCAAGTTGTTTTAACTTGGAGTACTGAGTTCGAAGTTGACTCTTTTCACGCTCACTTGGTCTTATTTGCTTCAAACGGATGGTTTTGATCTTTCTCAATGCAACTTTGCGTCTACTTTTGAGTAATTTGTAGCATTGTTCAGTAAATTCCTTTCGATATCTTATTTCATCATCCTTTTTTGTCACATGAAAACCATTTCTGCTCAGGAATGCGTTGTATAAAAAGTCATATCGATGCACAATACTCTTGTTTTGCCGAGTAAATAATTCCCACTCGTATCTAATTCTATTCCGAATGTATGGAGGAATAGAGTTCGTTCTTCCTGTTGTATCAGTAAGTCTCATTGACTGTTGTTGTGAATTGAGTGTCATCATTTGGTAATCATCATCGTATCCCATGAACAATGGAGAGCCAGAGTGAAATGGGCCACCATACATTGATGCCCCCATAGATGACGAGTAGAGAACATAATGACGAAGAAATGGTGGCATCAGCTTGTAGTCAATATCTGTCAAGACCCAATAATAGGGTGCAAATGATGGGTCATTAAGAAAAAATGATGGAGGGATAAACCTCGAAATGGCCTTCACTTGCTGACGATACATCTCTGTTTTGAGTTGACACTTCTCTATGGAGTCATAAAGATCTCGTAGCAGTAAATCCTTTGCAAGATTGAACTTGTTCCGAAATACAATAGGATACATTCTCTTTTGCAAGGATGTAAGCTCAGTGATATTGCTCGGATCTGTGATTGATGATGTTGTGGATGAAGATGATAAATCTTCTTGATTGGATGATGATGTATTGCTCATTCCACTTGTTGCCAACTTGTTCAAATATCTTACGTAATTCTTGTGAAGAAAATCCATTCGTTTTGCAATACCATTGAGAAAATCGGACGTGAATTGATTCATGATGGGTGCTTGGGATGATAGATTGTCATCTGAAAAGATGCTCTTAAGGTTCATGTACGGAACAGGTATTTCCAATTGGAAATACTCTTCTGGAGTACTTATGGAAGGCACATCGGATTGGAAACTTGTAGCCTCCTCTTTCTGTTCGTATTGATCATGTTTTCCAATATTATTATTGTGTGTGTTCTTACGGGATGAATGGTTGATGCTACCACGTGGTGCTGAGGCAGACTGCTTGTTGTTGTGGTGATGATGATGACCACTTGACCTTCTCATGTACCACCTCATCACATCCCGTACATATGGAATTCCTCTTCCGATGGCATAGAGTAAGACACTCACAAACATGAATGCTTTCAACCAACTCGTTCCATGATTCAAGAGAGAGTGAATGATGTTGTTGTTATTAGGAGGAGTGATCGTCATTATTGCAAATGATGATAGTTGTCGTAGCGAGCGTGATGAATGTGTATATGCGTTGTTTGCGTTCAGGAGAGTGCTCGAACAAGCCTTACAGCATTTTTCTTTTGTAAACGCTCACGAAGAAGCAATGAGAATGTGTGATTTGAGAGAATGATAGATCCAAATACAGGGCGATCGTCGTATCATTCAGTCTTCATGTGGTGAATCAGACAGAGGCAGACAGGCATACGTCGTTCTGAGAGTACTCTACCTTTTTCAAAGATGACAGGGAATGATATATATCAATACTACACGAGCTTGTAACGACAATGATTCATTCGTGCACCAAGCAGTGTCTACTTTTGGGCCACTCAGACTGTTGTTGTGATTTCATGAAATGTCGAATCCATTCATAGCATGACCCAGTTCAATTCTCAACAGAGCGTTGATGACGAGTTGTTGTTGTTATGCTGCTCACACAATACGTCTTCACACAGAAGTAGTGAGCGGCTTTTTTTTTGGAGTTGAAAAATTTGACAAGTTTGTGGTTTCTTCTCGCAAAGGGTGTGACAAGTGGAAAGATTTGTTGAAGGGTGACAGACCATTCTTCGACAAGTCAATAAGAAGAAAAGGGGTCTTCAACTCTCACTAACACACATGACTGGAAGGCTCGAAGCTTGCTTTCAATGTGCGAGTATGATGAAGAACAGTGGGTTGTTGACAGCAAGATGTTGTTGGAATGAATTTTAAAGGTGATCAGTTTAGGACGTTAATTTAAACGAGACAAGAGGTGAGGGAATGACACCTCTCTGGGTTTTTTTTCTGTTCTCTCTTTATGAATATGCATACAAAAGTTGATGGAAGAAGAGATGAAAATAATTTAATGACATGTGAATGTGTCGTCGATGATTTAAATTCATATGCGAAGGAAGAGGGGCTTAATCAATGTGGGGCTTATTAATGGAAAAACTTGTAAAACAATGAATATGTGACGAGAGAGATGCAGAGCGAACCTAAACAATACTACTATTGAGAAGGATACATTTCAAGACAGATTATTAAGCTAGCAATTGTTGATGAAATGTGGCAGGATAATTTTTGGGTTCATTGAACTAGTAATTCTATGATTAAAAAATAGTCGAATACTCTCTCAATTAGACAGATCTGGAAGAATCTTCACCAGTTGTTGTACGAAGCAAATTTGAAATTTGAACTTGGAAAAAAATGTTACAACAAGACCCGCTGCAATCTAAAAAGAATCCACAAGCATCAGTTCCGAGCAGTGTTGTGGCTACTCTTGAATCTTTGGTAACAACAACCAACAGGTAGGATTGGACATTTTGAACATTAGAAATTGAATAATCAATGAAATTCATGAAAATACACGTGATGATGATGATTTATTCCTTCTAACAACAATAACGAATGAATATTTAACCTTGTTACCAACTTGAAAGCAAAGATTCGAATGAAAAAACTAATTTATCTCCCAATGCTTCACAAAAGAGAAAAAAGATTGAAGATCTTGATCAAGATGCTCTCATCTCCGAAGCTAAATCACAAGGACTCATTTCTCTCTCCGAATATAATACCATCATTAAGAAAAGAAAAGCATCAGCACATTCTTCTGGTGAAAATGCTTCAAAACATGAAGTATTGGATGAGGGAGACTTGAATCGAGAGGTTGAGCAATTACTCTCTCTTGAATTATTCGAAAAAGAATTTTGTGTTTGTTCTCTCTCGAAACGAGTGTTGAAACATCCTGTTTTAGCAGAAAATGGAGTTATATACGATAAACAATTTCTAGACTCGAGATTCAATCAAACGAATGGACTTGTTTGTCCAATCAAGCAAAAAGGAGATGTAACTTTTCAACCCTTTAAATATCCAAGCAATTTGATTGAGGTTGGATACATTAAACAACGATGTGAAAAATTAATAGAGGAACGTATTGATAAGATTATTCATCTCGTGTTGTCAGAACAAGGAAAAAAGCTACCTCCTGCAGACCGCATGAAATTAGTGACCTTTGCATTAGATTTAACTCCAAACATTGAAAGAGCGCTAGAACTGAAATCTCTTATCATTGATATTATTGAGAAGGATGAAAAAAGTTATCTGTTAAAGGATGAAGATACAGAAGCATTTATTGGAATGCTCATTGACATTTGCAGCATAATTTCAAAAAAGCCATCTTTGTCAGAAGAGGATAGAAACAAGTCGATCAAGTATTACAAGAAAATTATTGATCGGTCTAAGAATGGAACCTTGATTCAGAAGGTGTACATGTCAATATTCAACACTTGTCAAGAGTCTTTAGATCAATTATACGATAGAACTTTACCATATGGGGAGAATTTTTTTGAACAAATCGCATCCTTTCTGTTAGAACGAAAAATCCTCTCGTTTGAGACTTTGGCAAAATTTAAAAACTCCAAACTCAAAGAGAATTATCAAACAATATTATGCGACCAATTGGTGGACAGAATTCAAATTTTAAAGTCCAATCTTAAATTCAAGACATCACCACCTCCAACACAACAACATTCTGCAGATTTGACAAAGAAATAATTTTTACACTAAAAACACGAAATTATGCCAAGAAATGGTCAGGGAGAGAAGATACAGATTCAATTCTTGCAGATACACTCACACCATATGAAAAAGACTCTAAAGATTCATATCCCAAGCACGATCTGTTGGGAAAAAGTTAGCTCAAAGGATTTTTCTGATCTAGGTAAAATCGCAAGAGAAGCCATTAACGCAAACATTGGGAGTGTTGTTTACCAATACAACCAAGTCAAATTTATTGCTTGAGATTAAAATGAATTTCCACTAATACTGATCTAGAACTCTAAGTTGAATGAAAACTAAATTTCTAACATGTTTGCACATTTGTGAAAATTAAATAGTGTTAAAACTCATTACGAAAAATTTGATGGTATTCAAAATTTATTTGGCATGCACAATGGTTATATCTGAGAACAGATTATTGTTATCCTCACTATAATAACGTCCTTTTCCAATCACATGACAGACAATTTGAGAGAGATGACCAAAATGACGAGCAATCATGACATGAGTTGGCACACCTGTAAAGTAAATGATAAACAAGTCACGTTGAGCACTAATTCCAACACTTGTGGATGTGTCAGTAAGGCAAAACTCTCCAGTAATATCTGTTGGAGCTCCACTCGTAATGCCATAGATTTTACCACATCGTTCATGATTTTCCTGCATTTCATTGGTGACCCAGAGAACATAATCTCCAGCATGCATCGACATGATGGAATGTTGTTTGGGAAAGATGCTTCCTAAACATGCCATATCCTTGTGTGAAGCAGGAGCATAATAGTAATCCCCACTTGTCGTTTGGATGGCACTACAGAAATAACCTGCACTTGCCCATGTGACATCATCCTTTCCAAAGAAGACAGGTCTTAAATCAGAGAAATTTTCATGTTCTTGTTCCTTGACCGCAAGTTGACCACATGAATTGCAACCTATTCGTAGTATAATCATCATTGAACATTTATGAGTGATTTCCATATTAAAAAAAAAATAAGAAATTATTGATAGGTTCACACCATGCATGAAAAGATTAAAATAGAGTCATTTTCAATGCAAGAGATCCCAATATATATAAATAATAATAGACACACATTGTAATTGTTTAAACATTTGAATCACACCATTCGCACAATAAATTCACAAACGTACCAACTCCAAATACTTTTCCACTCTGACACACAATCACTGTATTATCATAACCACAAGTGATGAGAGTGGGCATTTCATTTCTCAGTAAATCATTCACTAATAAGAGAGGTCGATCTAAAGATTTTAATCCCACACAACATCCATTACTATTACTGCCAGCAAAATACACATGTCCACACAAGGTCAAGAAACAACTGTGAGAATCACCAGCCGAACATGCAATCACAGTTCTATGATCGAATTTTGATTTGACAACTTCATAGGGAATGGCTCGTTGAGAAAACTCATTAGTTCCTAACCACAAATGAATGAATGATCAGTTCATGATATAAAATCACATCAACAACAACAACAACACACAAAGAGGTTTCAATGAATGAATTACAACACAATGAAAACTTACCCAATTGACAACCACCATTGTTACCAACTGTAAATACTCGATGATCTAGTGTGAGAAAAATGGAATGATATCCTCCTTAACCAGTAAACCATCATTTTCCAAAAATAAAAATGGAAATTCAAAATTCATGAATAAATTTAAAAAAAAATAATTGTAACATATTGTGTTGAACATTCATACCAACCTCCAGCTGCATCCACAACAAACGTATTTTCAATGTCACCCACTGCTGGTACCACTCCATAACTTGTTGGAATACTTCCAAATTTACCACATCCTAATTGTCCATGATTGTTAGAACCTTTTCATTTGTTGCAGATATATACAAATGCATGTGTGTGTGATGAGTAGGAACATTGTTCGTTGTTGTCGTTGTCGATACATGAATCCATCACATGATTTAGTGGTGTGAAATGAAACCATCAAGAGCCATCATCATTGTCACAAAATAATGTACAACATTACAATGACCTACCAAAACTTAAAATCTTTCCATCATGAGTCAACAAATGAGTATGTAATCTTCCACTGCACACTTTGACAATCGTTTTCGAATGTAATACCAATTTCACAGCATTCTTATCAAAACTTCTTTCATTCTGTCGTGATGATGATTTTTTTGATACATCATCCTCTTGTAACACTTTTCCATCAGCATCGACAATTCTTGAAATTCCAATTCCAGGATTGATTCCATCTGAAAATAATGCAGGATTATAAGAAACGAGATAAAAGATCGAATCGGAATCAAGTGAAGTGAAACGTTGAGAAAGATCAAGGTTCATGATGGAATGCAAATTTGAAGGTTTGAAAGGTGTTGAAGAGTTATTGTTAGTCGAAGCAGTACGCTTAGAAGAGAGAGAGGTTACTGTGTGTTTTTGATTTTGACCCATTTTTTTAAATGTATCTTGACAAGTTCAATGTCCATGACAGGGGTTTGTTGTTGTTAGTGGTCACACTACACGATAATGATGTTTCATAGTGATGAAAGGATTAATGAAGTTTTGGTTGTTGTGAAAATAATTTTACATTTTTTTAAAACCACAAACCTCTCTGGTAACTTGATGTTTTTCATGCTTTCCCATTTGGAAAGGTCGAAAGTGGGAGAGTTAGTGAATCTTTTCTTACAATATTCACACCGTTTACTCACAAATCACCCAAATGATGAAGCAAAAGTTATTCAGGACATCTAAGAAATGTAGCCTTTGTGCAATGATCAAGCCAAACTTTCAACACTGATGAGTGTCCAAAGTGTTTTATTCGATTTTCTCTCTCTCGTGGTGCACAAACAACACCTTTCTAATTTTTTGAACTTCAAAAAAAAAAATGCCCAGAACAACTCGACTCACTCCACAAGAGAAATTACGCAAGGAAGCTCAAGAAGTGGAAGTGTTACGGCAAGCAGTGATTGAACATACTCCACCAAAAGGAATAAATCCATTGGCCAAGTCGGGCGGGAGTGGTACTTGGTCATCGGATCCGATGGTTATTCCGGGAACGTTTACGAAATTTTCAGAATTACCAATTTCGCAATATACGAAAGATGCTTTGAAGAAGGCTGGATTTGTGAATTTGAAAGATATTCAGAAGGCTTCATTGTTGTACTCTCTAGGTGGGAGAGATATTTTGGGTGCTGCCAAGACTGGATCTGGTAAAACCCTTGCTTTTATAATACCTGTTTTGGAATTATTATATAGAAAAAGATGGGGAAAACTTGATGGCCTCGGAGCATTGATATTGGCTCCTAATAGAGAATTGGCACATCAAATATTTGAAGTTTTGAAACTTTGTGGACGGTATCATCACTTTAGTGCTGGATTACTAGTTGGAGGTACAAAGAATTTGAAAGAAGAGAAGGAACAAATTTGCAACATGAATATTCTTGTTGCTACTCCTGGCCGGTTGCTTCAACACATGGACGAAACTCACGGATTTACTTGTACAAATTTACAAATTCTTGTTTTGGACGAGGCTGATCGATTATTAGAATTTGGATTTAAGAAGGAAATTAATGCAATTTTGGCAGGATTGCCAAAGAGTAGACAAACTCTATTATTTAGCGCTACTCAAACCAAAGACATTAAGGACTTGGCAAGACTTTCTCTCAGCAAGACCAATACAGAATATATTTCTGTGCATGAGGCAGAGCCTGTACCCAAACAACTCACTCAACACTATATTGAATGTGAGTTGCAAGACAAAATTGACATTTTATTTTCCTTTTTGAAGAGTCATCAAACGAAAAAGACTATTGTATTCGCCTCAACCGTAAAGCAAGTTGCATTTTTGTATACAGCGTTCAAGCAACTTCCAATCCCTGTTAAAATATTCAAGCTGGCAGGAAGAATGTCACAAGCAGTAAGAAGAGAAATGCACGAAGGGTTCACATCTTCTAAAGCTGCTGTTTTATTTGCAACAGATATTGCAGCACGTGGTTTGGACTTTCCTCGAGTAGATTTTGTGCTTCAATTGGATGCTCCAGTGTCTAAAGCATTTTATATTCACAGAATGGGAAGAACCGCCAGAAATGATTCTGATGGTAAATCCATTGTGTTCATTATGCCACAGGAAAAGGAGCTTCTTTCCTTCCTTTTTGATAAGGATAGCTTGGAAACGAGCTCATTGAAAGAGATGAAAATTAATCCAGACAAAATCGTCACAATTCGACAACAACTGGCAGCTCTTGTTTCACACGATCCTAATTTGAAGCAAGCAGCCATGAAATATTTCCAAACATATATCAAACATCTTTACAAGCACTATGGCTATGATTTGGATATTAAATCATTGAATCTGGATGGTTTTGCTGTCAAGTTGGGATTGGCTCTAAAACCAACATTGGTGTTGAATCCAAACGATCGAATGAAGAAAGAGATTCGTCTCAACATGACTGAAGATGATATGGATGACGAATCTGAGAGTGATAGCGGTGACGATACTGACGACGATGATACCTCCAGTGATTCTAGCGATTCGTCAAGTGACGAAGAAATCGAAAACTTATCTAAACTCGGTAAAGGAAGCGTGCTTGCAAAACAATTGTCACTTGATGAAAGCGACGAAGAGGATAACGGCGTGGACTATGACAGCATCGAAGGTGATGATCAGGAATCGAGTAATATGAATAACGACGAGAGCGACGAAGAAAAAGATGCAGAAATGCAATCAAAAATTGACAGCATTCCAATTGATGATGGCGACGATGAGGTTGAATATAAAGTGGAATATGATCCAAACGCACCTTCTGACGATGACTATGGTGACATTAGTAGTGATTCCTCTGACGACGATGCAGACGAGAGTGACAATGAAGCAATCAAAGAAGACGATAATGAAAATGCAGACAAAAAATCTAAAAAGAAGCTCTCAAAAATTGACAAATATTTACAGAGGAAAGCACAACTTGACAAACGATCCATTGTTATTGGAGAGGAACCATCTCAAGAGGAAGACTTTTTCTATGTGAAACGATCCAATCACAAACTGGATGAAAAAGATGACGTTCCAATCTATGTCAACAAGAAAAAGTTTATGCAACAAGTCGACAGTAAGAAACACATTATATTTAATAAGGACGGAAAGAAGACTACCAAGTTTGAAAGTATCATTAACGACATTAAGAAGAATAATTCTGAAAACGTTACCAAAGATCGTTCAGACTTTTTACATGAGATCAAATCCAGAATGAAATCCAAGGACGGCGAAGACAAACAACATGAAAAAGAAAGATTAAAACACAAGAAAGAAACACTTAAAAAGAGAGACCAGGAACTTGCAGAGCTAAGAAGAAAAGCTGATCTGTTGGAGGAAGACCCTTTTGATTATCAACGCGTGTTAAAATCCAATGCAAACAAGCATGTCACAGTGGATGACGCTCTTCCAGAAGAGGAAGATGTTGATGAATCCTATGAAGGTTTTGTGAAGGCAATGGAGCAAGCACCTGAAAAACCTGCATCAACAACACAAAAATTAAAGGAAAAGGAAGAAAAAGAAAAGCAAATTAAGGAACAAGTGGAAGAGAAGAAACGAAAATTCGACGAGCTTATGGCAACATCACAGCAGCGAGCTGAAAAGAAAGTTTCCAGTTCTGGTGCACCTACAAAGAAAAAGAAACAAGTTATTGGACTTGACGAAGCTGAAGAAATGGCTCTCAAACTCCTTGAAAATAAACTGTAGAAGTTGGGGTTTCCAGTCAACATGCTGTATTACAATTTCGAGAGACGAAAGATGTCTTGATTTCTGTTGTTGCTTCCACCAAGCATGTGCTTGATTCGTTCTCCAAACAATTCCATCACTCTTTCTCTTAAAACTTCATTATTGCCGTCACAAATATCAAAGTAAGATCCCAAAATCAAACACTTTTCAAAACTGGGTAAAATGGTTTGTGGTAATTCCACTTCAAGTTTTGTCACAGCAGAGTTTTGGCGTAACAAGGAAGAATACCATGAATTTTTCTTCAAGCCCACATTCTGTGATAATAAACTTTTCTGGTATTGCATTTTAACCTTATTAGAAACGTGTTGAAACAACTTTCTATTCATTTGCTGTCTCAATCTTCCGAAAACAATCATTGAAAATAAATTACTCTCTACAATGGGTGTTATATAACATCTCGTTATGGAGGGCCATAAATGATATTCAAAAAGAGATTCTAGTAAATCCAAATCTAATTGAAAAACACATTAAGACAATACATAAGAATGATCATCATACGTACTCACTATGAATCCACTTTCTTTCAACACACATGTTCGTTTCGCGAAAGTATCATGCACCCATTTCAAATCTGTGTCTATTTTTCTGTACTTGTTCGAATAGAGTATTGGTAATGGCTTTTCCTTGAAATGAAATGTGATTCGATTCATTTTAAGTGCTTGTGAAAATCTAAATCGAAAATCAAGTAATTGAAATTGGACACACTGAGCAGTGAGTTCAATTCTCAACTGTAAAAACTTGATCACTTCTTCCAATTCAATTTCTTGAATGTCACTGAAAGGAGCCAATGTCTCTAATTCATCCAACAAGGCCGAATACAAACAATTATCAAAGAAAGCCAAACCAATGACATGTTCTGTTCGTTCTCGTTTCTCAACAAATGAAAGAACTTGATGATAAAAATCAAACTCTTCTTTCAACTGAAGACATTTGGTAAGAGATTGTCGAATATCATCGGGCATGGTCGTTTTTGCAAATTTTTCAATTAATTCGCGCTTAGCTTCTGGATCTGTCAATTTTGCAGTATCGAACACAATATCTTGCAAATCTTGTAAAATAAATTCTTCTTTTCGGTTCTCCACACTTGAGAGTGGATCTAATTTTGGAGGCATTGGACCTTCAACAATCATTCTTGCTTCGTCCTCATTCATATTCACAAATTTCCATGGATTTAAAATTTGAAAACTGTAATCTTGCTCTCTATCATAAACCAATCTCAAATCTCTTACTACGAGAGGAGAGATGAATGCGTCCAAGTTTACAATTTGATAACAAAAAGGTAAATGATTCAGAATAGTTTGTGCAGCTGGTTCACAAATCACAGGTCCAATGGAAACTAATCCCAATAAATGTTTTTTAAAATCATTTCTTGAATTGGAATGGTTATTCCTCGAAGCGAGTGAATTTTTGACGTTTTTGAACATGTTGGATGTTGTCCAATCTGTGAGCAAACCTCGATATTCAACGCTATTCATTAGCTCTGATAAATGTGTGGTCTCTAGAAGAGGATTGAATGGTTGATCCATGTGGTGATGATTCTCCTGTAGATTCCCTCCAAGTAATAATCGTGAAATAAGAATATTCGTCGTGTGAGTATCTGTAAAAATAATATTAGGTTTCAATTCGTTCAATATTTTCACTAAATGACTCTCGTCCATAGTACTCGGCACAAATGAGAAAGAAAGTGCATGTTCAAAGCAAAAGGCCATTAAAAACGGTGTCATGTAACTAAACCCGTTGGAAATAATTACGACTTGAGCTCTTTGATTTTTCACATCTGATTTAGAGACAGCAGAAATCATTTCATGCATGGTCGCAGAAAGTGAATCCAAAATCTTCTCAAATATTGTATTGGTCATGCATAGCTTATCTTCTCTTCCACTAGTAGATGCTGACATGAATAAAATGTTTTCATTGGAATGTATGTCTCCTTGCCATTGTCTAAAACGATTGAGAGCATCTTCTCGAGCTTGTTCGAGTTGACTAGAATGAATACCAACAGTTCCAGAAAGCAGAGCTTTGAAATGATGTAATTGTATGGCTGTATCTACTCTATTTGGAACATATTCCCAACTCGTTGTTGCTTCAGAGTGTTGACTACTGGTGCTGCTTTTGTGATCATGTCTTGATGGCATTTTGGTGGGTTGTAAAATGTGAGAGATGGGATCCTGAGTGACTAATTCACCTCGATGAATGAGTTCTTCACTTGAAGATTCGTCGTGTCCGTAATATAATACATGCTTAACTTTGGAGTGGGTCACTCCCATCATTTGTGACACTATTCTATGATCGGCAGACATGACAAGTGGCATTTCACAATAATTAGAAATATCGTCAAGAGTATTCTCAATGTTCTTCACCTTTGCAAACGGAGAAATAAATGGTATTCCCATATACAAACACGCGCACAGGAGCATGATTAGTTCCATGGATATGCTAGAGCTATTGGAGTAGGTGTGAAAAATTCCTACGGCATGAAAATAGTCTGGAAATGGCTTGAAAGATTTTCCCAACACGAGTATCATCCTCGATAGTTTGTCTAAGAAATCCTCTCCAGTCACATTCGACAGCATTTCAGAATACGAATCGTAATACACAAATAAATTCTTATTCTTCAGTGAAGTGATGTTGCTACCAGTGTTGTGTTTCTGTCGTAGTAAATGTTTTCGAGTAAAATATGTGTGTTGAAATCTATTGAGAAATCCAACTGTTGGTAATGGAGGTTTTGGTTCAAATTTTGGAACTGTAATTGATGGTTTTCTAATGGCAGAGGCACCACTACCAGAAGACACGTCATGGAGAGGATAAAAGAGTCTTTCCATTTCATCCAATGACATGGGAGGTACAAACGTTGTTCTTGCGTAATGCATGGCCAAGCTGGGAAGTTTTCCATCGAGGTCGAGAGAAGGAGGAAGTCCATTCCTCACTCGATCATGAAAATCTTGATAGATCATGGTACGAAGAGGCTCATATTTGCTGACTGGAGTGTTGAAATGATAGGTATCTTCTTCTTTTCGTTTGTCTAAGGGAACATATAATCCTCGATATGGTTCCACGGAGCGTGTGGATTCTGGAGCCCAGAAATATGAATATTTGTGATAAAAGTGTAAATAGTATTTTGCATCCATCTGTGTTGCAATGTGATCAGATTGATTCATTAATTTTCAACAATTTAAGATAGATTCTGGGTGTTTGGAACAATCATGAATTGAGTTGTGAATTACTATTACGTACGAGATATTTTTCAAAATTTTCAATAATCATTGCTCGTGCTGCTTTGCTTGGAATAAATTTCAAAAACTTGCAATTTAGGGGTCATCCATTATCCATGTTAACATGACATCATTTAGACCACCAACCTTAATATTATGAATATATTTGAAATAATCTTTGAATTTGTTCATGTAACTGACAGCCTGCTGCAATGCTCGTTCTTCATCTGTCAATTCTTCATTTTTGTCTCCTCGATATGCTTCAATTTCCTTCTCAGAAGGTTTTTCCTCTTCATAAATTAATCGAATAGGTTCATTCTCCTCAATGTCATGTTTGTCCATTCGTGCAGTTTTTGAGTCTTTCATTAATAGCTTGTTCAATTCTTGCTGTCGATTCAACTTGTACGAATGTTCATATTTTGATTGATCAAATCTTTTTGATTTTGGCTTTTTCACAATGGTCTCTCGATTCAAATTTTCTCCTCCATAAATACTTTTGACTCGTGTGGTCAATACAATAGGTTCGGGCCTATCATTATATTCCACATCCATTTTTCTATTCGTACGAAGACGATTTCCTAATTGAATGACATCATTTGAAAAATTAATATATTCTTTTCCGAGCATGTGTTCAAGTTCTTTTAATACTCGTTCCTCAGTAATCACAGATTGGATAGCTCTCTTCTTTGGAAGGGATAATTCTGAATTCTTTTCCAATTGTTCATGTATATATTGAACAATTTTTCTTGCGCTCCGAATCGGTAAAGTTTCTAAAGAATCATCAATAATCATGGATGAAGTTTTTATTTCATTTTCTGGCAACGACGTGTTTTCATTGTTTTTAAATGTTGTTTGTGATGATGGAGAGTCTTCTTGCTTACTCATTTTTTATATTCTGAAGTACCTTTATTTCGAAAGGTTGCAACCATTGGTGAATACTAGTATTGACCATGTGAATCAATGTCCGCGAAAGATGCGGAAGACAAGCCACTCCGCAGCGTATAGAAATATGTCCCCTTCCAATTCGAAGAGTATTGGAATGGGGGTTTCAAATAAAGACATGGTTTTGGTATTAATTTTTTAATAAAACTCACAAAATAAAAATCCAAAATCACCAACAACAACCCAATCGAACACAGAGAAGCCATGCACATTCAGCAACAATCAACCCGACCAGAAACGAAGCAAGATCCAGAAGGACCTACTGCAGTCGTCGGCGGAAATATGTATCCGGTTGTTAATGAAAATGCATTATTGAATAGTTTCAATCAACAACAACAACCACCCATCATGATGAACCCATATTATTACTACAATAATCAACCCACACACATAACCCCGATGCCATCTTCCTCCTCTTATGTTTATCAAACGAATCCATATGTCAAGGCTTCAGCTCCAATCATGTTTGATCCCTATCATCAATATTATATGGTTCCAAATCCTTACCATCAACACATGAATCAATTCCCATCCAACGCCTCAACAACCACATGTACAACGACATTAATAGAAAATCCGAATGTACCAAAGAAGAACGAAGAAGAAAAACCCTACTTTGTACATACTTTGAACAAACATACAGACACCTTGACCAAACTTGCATTAAGATTTAATTGTACAGAAGAAGATATCAAAATGCTCAACAATCTCCTTTGTGATGATTTAGATTTGTATGAACACGACACCATTCTCATTCCAAAACGTGAAGTTCAATTCATTAAGGAAAATTATGATCTAGAAGAGACAAAGCGTGCCACTGAACGACAACGATCTCTCATGGTTTCTAATTTTGCCAAATTGCACAAAGTTTCCATAGATGAGGCTCGTACCTATCTTGAAATGCATGATTGGAAATCGAAAGAAGCACGAGAGGAGTTACTGAAAGATCAAGCTTGGGAGAAACAAACCATGGGTAAGGTGTTATCACCAAGTCATTTTGCTTCTTCTACCAGTAGTACGAGAGCAACCACAACTTCTTCACAAAGAGGCCACTCGACAAATTCAACAACGACTCGTCGAGCACCACCAAGAAATTCCAATTATGCCAACTACTCGTATGAAATGGCTGATATGAAGTAGTAGTTGTCTTAACATTCCAATTCCTTTTTAACATTAAAAACTGTAAAAACCAACTGTGTTGAACTTTTCACTCGAACACGTTCTGCATCGTTGGTTTATCTGATTCTACCGTTGAAATTGAGTAAAATTCGTTTGTCGAAAAAAAATGAGCAATTCCTCGTCAGAACAACAAGAAGCCTATGATATCACCCAAATCAATCATCCAACCAATACCGAATCCAAGGTTGCTTTGATTACAGGTATTACAGGACAAGATGGATCCTATCTTGCTGAATTTTTGTTGGAAAAGGGTTATATGGTGTATGGTATCATTAGACGTTCTTCATCCTTCAACACCGGAAGAGTTGAACACTTGTACAAGGATATTCATATTACTAAAGCAAGTAAGTGATAATATTGTGTTTAAGAATCATTTGGATGAATAATCAATCCGAATTGAATTCCAACTGGACATTGCTGTACCATGAATCCAAATGGTTGTTGTGCTCATCTTTAACAAATATATATTTGAAATATTTGATGAATGAATGTATCATCGGCCCCACCATCACAAACACACAACACAATATCAATGCTCATACAACAATATTGAATCATACGATTCGTATGACAATCATTTTGTTTGCTCTCGTGATGATGTAAATGGCAACCCTCCAATATTACAATTCTCCGAACAAACAACTCTCTCTTCACTCTGGTGAATACATATTCACTTCTACCCACTCCATCATCATACATCATCATCAAATGTAACAAATTGTACAATCTGCCTCCAATGAAAACAATGATAGAATTCAAACTTTTGTATGGAGACTTGACCGATACCGGAAACTTGATTTCTATCATTGCCAAAATTAAGCCGGATGAAATTTACAATTTAGCTGCTCAATCTCATGTGAAAGTCAGTTTTGAAATGCCTGAATATACTGCCAATGTTGATGGTATTGGTACTTTACGTTTGTTGGAAGCCATTCGTGCTTGTGGATTGGAAAAGAAAACCAAATTTTATCAAGCCAGTACAAGTGAATTGTACGGTCTAGTTCAAGAGGTTCCTCAAAAGGAAACAACACCATTCTATCCTCGTTCACCATATGCCTGCGCCAAATTGTACAGCTATTGGATTGTTGTCAACTATAGAGAAGCTTATGACATGTATGCATTGAATGGCATTTTGTTCAACCACGAATCTATTCGTCGTGGTCCAACATTTGTGACTAGAAAGATCACCATGGCTGTTGCCCGTATAAAACTTGGTTTGCAAGATTGCTTGTATTTGGGTAACTTGGACGCCGAAAGAGATTGGGGTCACGCTAAGGATTACGTTGAAGCCATGTGGCTCATGTTGCAACAAGATAAGCCACGCGATTTTTGTGTGGCAACTGGAGAAAAGCACAGTGTCAGAGAATTTGTTGAAAAGGCCTTTGCATGCATTGGTCAAACAGTGGAATGGAAAGGAGAAAGAGGAACCGTCGAAGAGCATGGTGTTGTTGACGGTGTTGTTAGAGTTCGAGTCGATCCTCGCTATTTCCGTCCAACTGAAGTCGATCAATTATTGGGAGATCCAACTTTAGCTGAGACAGTTTTGGGTTGGAAGAGAAAGGTCAGCTTCGACGAATTGGTCCGAGGAATGGTGGAAGGCGATGTTGAATTGTTGCAAAATGGTGATCCTCAAGTAGTTCAACAACAATATCATTAAGCTTTTTGTGACAACATGTTCGATAAAAAAGATGAAATATTTAGTGATAGTGTTATGTGATTTATTGGAATGGAAGTTCATTTTCATCGAATTGGAATTCTTCTTCGACAGTCTTTGGTTCTTCATGTGTTGCTTTCTCTTCCTGTACAATACCGTCCTCTTCAAACATTGTTCCTTCGAGTTTGAGGTCTCCCCTATCGGATCCACAACAGGTGACATGAAATTGAATGCTTTGCCCCGAAACTAACTCTTGAAACACGCTTGCGTTGGGAACAGAAACAGAGCAATTAAACAGACCCAGTACCTTGCAGTAGGCTTGTTTCTTTGCATTATTGAGACCTGTGATTGTTCCTCTTAATACTGTGCCAAACGTTGGAGCAAACAAAATAAATGTGGCAGCAATGCAGACTGAAGAAACTGATGGATTAGTCTCAAATTGTATCACTGAACCGTCTTCCAGGATTTTCACATTCTCGACGCCCATCACAAATCCTCTCAATTTAACATCATAACCATCCACAAGGTGAAAGACTCTATCAAAAAGCTGTTTCTCAATGAGCTTTTCCATCTCTGTTTGTTGTTCAGACTTGTTTTTGTCTTGTTTTTCTTCTTCAGTCAATAAAAATTCACTTCCACTTGTTAATGACATATGAGTTTGATAAATTCCACCATAATCATATAATGGATAGGTCATACGAACTCGTCTCTTAACAAAGAACAATGAATGATCAAATTCCTCTGGATATAATTTAGAAACAACATCTTTTTCTTTGAAGGATGAAGCAATTCGATGTACGGCAGCCTTGACAATTCCCGATACCACGCTTCTAATTTGTTTCTTCTTTTCTTGATAATCTCTATATTCAAAATGTGATTTCATAAATTCCGAATACGATGGATAATATTCCAGTCGATTCAACAACTCAGATACTGTAACTAATTGATGCAGAACCACTCTATTACATTCAAAGAATTCATCAACTACATTCCCGAGTTGTTTCAATTCTTGCTCGGAAAATTCAACCACGTTCGGTGCTGGTTCACCATGACTTGGGTTCTCCTTCTTTTTCTTGTGTTGTTTTGTTGATGATGATTTTCGGAGAGAGTCATCTTCGTGGTGCGAGGAAGACACAGCTGCAGCATCTTCTTCCATCGTCTTTCGTTTCTTCTTGGAGTGTTGGTCTGTTTTGCTCATTTTTTTTGAACCTCAAACGTTTCCTTTTCGGACCAAGTAATGTTGCAAGCATGTGAGAGAGAAACGATGAAGACCATGAGGGAGTGAGAGAAACGATGAAGAGAAATAATGAAAGAAGTTGAATGTATGAAATGAATTGTTGATAAATGTGTGCATGTCAATAACGAAAATAAATGATGGAATTATTATTATTTGAGTAGAATGAAATGCTGGTATTGACATCAAACTTGTCTCCATTTCTAGCGTTGAGAATGTACATATGGCGTGTGAGAGAATTCCTGGTGTGGCTTCATCTCAACTTACGCACTCACAGACTCTAGAACATTATTGTTCACTTTTTAAAAAGTGAAGATCCACTGCGTTAGGCAATAATTCCTTCATACTACTCTCAATACTTGATCCACTCTCTGAATTTACAATCAAAATTGGAAAGTCTTTTGAATTTTCATCAGCAAATTCTTGCAATACTTGTCGACAAGCTCCGCATGGAGTTACTCCAATATTTGTGGAGACTACTACAGCCTTGATAGATTTACATTCGTCCGAGACCATTTTAAAAACAGCACATCGTTCTGCACAGATAGTGAGTCCATACGATTGATTCTCTACATTACATCCAGTGTAGAACTTTCCGTTCGTTCCGAGAATGCAAGCTCCTACATGGAATTTTGAATATGGACAATAGGCAATCTTTTGAGCAGCAATACTCTTCTCAACCATGGTTTGCTTGAGAGTGGGATCTTGTTGAAAAAAGGAAGAATTTTGGGACATGTTGTATATTCAATGACTCTCTCCAACAACAGCAAAATGTATGATGAACAAAAATGAAACGAAAAAAAAAAGAGTCTCTCTGTAAAGCCAATTTTTTTGAATGTGGTGGTGTATGAATTTGAGATTCAAAAGAGGTGTCTTTGGCCTGCTTCAAAAAGAATTTTTCCCTCAACACGCAATTCGTACGCACTGAGCCGGAGATGATCTTTTGAACTCGATGCAATGCATGGAATAACAGTGCATACCGTTTTCAAGCTCATCGTCTTTAACAAGACTTTACAAAAAATAAATGGTTGTCGTGAACTGTTTGGATTTCATCCTCAGCGAGGAGGAGGAGGAGCAAACGAACAAGTGCCAGACCACGAGTTCATCTTCTCATTTGTTGCTTCTCCTTCAACAACAATTGAAATTACGACTCTTCAAATCATTTAAATCTTGGAAATATGCAATCACTACGAATAATAATAATAATAATACTGATAATAATAATAATAATAATAACAAAGACACACAACCTCCATTCACACCCATAGAAATCATTTCCGAAATCGAACATAGACCAATCGCAAACTTGTGTGATATTAAAATAAGCTACAATTGTCAAGCATTGATCGTGAGTGATTTTCGATGGGGAAAGATTCACATGTTTGATTTACTGACACGTAAATATTTAAAACCAATATATCATTATTCAGCCATTCCTCGTACACTTCCACTGTGTATGTGTGTTGAAGAGGAATCTTCACCAATGAATCGATTCAGAGCAAATACTGATACTCAAAATTACTTGATTTTCACAACACATAGTGCAGGAATGTTTAAAGTGCACTTGTCACGAGGAGAATGTATGACACAAGTTTGGAATCGTGAATGGGATGAATTTCAAACAGGAGAACTCACCATTCATTATTCAAAACAACAATTGGGAATGAATCGAATTTTGTGTTGTGTGAAAAATGTTGGAGTGGTCATGTTAAATTCCAATGATGGAAGTCTTTTGAGTACTTTTCATCAATTTTACATTCCCAATAATAATGGATTATACAGTAGTAGTGCAATGAAAAGTTACGATTTGAATACACAAACCATCCAACTCTTGGATCCTTTCAATCTTCATTCGAAAATCACCACTGCGGTGGTGTGTTGCAATTCGACCATTCATTTACTCGAAATGAAAGAAATAACACCCAACACAGCAGTGGTGAGCGGTAACAACACGACAACCACTCGAGTCCATACGAATGGATTGAAAAGAATAGGTTTGAAATTCCTCAAGATCATTCATCCCATGCAAGCTCATCACACACTCAAACCTTTAAAATCTTATTGGATCGTGAGTATGGTCATGTCATTGTTTGTTCTCATCCAGCTCTGGTTGTATCTCTTCAAACAGGTCAAGTGGTTGCTCATTTGAGAATGAATGCCCACAATGGATGTTTGGATGAGATGCATGGAGTTGCTTTTTTCAATATCGATCACAAGACGATTCATGTTTATGACTAAGTTTGCTGTGAGATGTCTGAACGAGAGTTGTTTTGGGTCTTTCGATTTGACAAACTCCAAACAACAAGTGGAGAAAATAGTCCAATAAAAGTACACTCCAAGAAAGAAGCACAAAGTACCAGTACAGCAGAGGAATTTCAAACAGGATTGGGATCTGTTGTCAATGATCTTCCAACATTTTATTCACAATCTATATCTACAAGCCTTCACTTTTGTTGAGAAAGGGCCCTCTGTAGATTTGATGAAATGGAAAATGGGAATTGTGATTGCAGATTTGAGGAGTATCGTTCTTAACATCGTACTCACATATACAACAGAATAATACAGACATTGGCGAATGGTTGTCAACCAAAATTGGAAATGTAAATTTCATTACTAAATCATGCAAAATTGGGAAATTCTTCATGAATTCAAGCATCGATGAATTATATTGCCCATCACGGGATGTTCTTCTCTGGACTCCACGAATTACTACTTGAAAATATCGTTATCGAATAGTATTGCTATTGATCGTAGGAGGTTCTTGCTGAGAAATTGATCTCGACCCTATTTGAGTCATTGCAACAGGGTTATCTTTTTCTGAATCACTCAACTCATCATCCATGACTGATCCAGAAACACTGCCTTCCTCAATTTGTGGGCTTTTGGTAGAATCAGAATTTGATTCAATGTCATCGTCGTTTCTTACTTTTTTACGTTTTTTTGTTTTGCTTTCATCGTCATGACCACTGGTCTTTTCATTGGGTTGACGCTTTTTGGCCTCTTCCAGCTTTTTTTCACGTACTTTCTTTTGTTCTCTGTCAATTTTTGCATAGTATTTTTGTGCGTGAGTTCGTACTTGGGTTGCATTTCTCGTTCCTACATGACTTGCAATGGCCTTGACATCTTTTTTACCATACTTTTCAATTCCTTCAAGAAAAAGTTTGTGCTCCTCTTGGGTCCAATATCGACTTTGTTTTTTTGTGTTCTTTTCCTTTTCTGACTCCAAAAATGTCACATATTCCTGAAGCTTATTGATATAGTCTTGAGCTCTTTGTAATTCTTCTTCAAGCTGATAAATTCTCTTTTGTTGCTCTACAACTAGAAGAATTACGTCTTGTGAGTAATCATCTTGTTGCTGTGATTGCATGTTATTATTTCCTCGAGAGCTATTATTGTATTGGTTGTTATTGGTGTTGACATTGTAAAAAGTTCCATTATTATTTGGCACATTATTTGCAGTATTGAAATGGCTGTTATTATTCACATTATTGCTGGCATTAAAGTAACTATTATTATTGAACGACAACGCATTGTCAAATGACTGCTGTTGTTGATGTTGCATTTGAATATTATCAGAGTAAGAGTTTGGTGTTTGTTGAAGGTAATTATTTGCTTGAAAAGAGGCATCATTGTTCAACCTTTTAGTTGATGGATGACCAGAAGATTGCATGTAAGATGATGTTACATTGCCTGTATTGAAAGGCACAAATGGTTGCGACGCTGTTCTGTTTCCTGTAGCTTCTTTTCGCACGGTCGTCATGTCAGTTCGTTGTTGTGGCAGCGCTTGTTGTTGTTGAGAAGAAGATGAGGTAGAGGTCATGCTACTCGTACTACAATCTCCTCGCAATGATGTCATCATTGAACTGGAGCTTGCACTGTTCGATCCAGCATTGATGGTGGATGAAGAACCAACAGCTGTCACTTCATGATGATTTGCATGCTGATTAATATTTGTGCCATTATGACTAACGGAACTGTTGGCAAACATGGCACTCACGCTCTGTGGGAGGTTGGGTATAGAAGGTAAACCAAGTGAGCCTGGTCCTCCATGCGAATTGAATTGTCTGAGTCGTTGTTGTTCTCTTTCAAATTGATCAGGATCTACATGATCCAGAATATGATGACCATCATGATGAACGCTATGATGAAAGTTAATATGACCTTGATAGAGATTTGGGTTTTCCGAGAGGGTCCCTGATGAGGATGATCGTACTCCCATAACACTCTCCAGGCTTATCATGGGAGTGGTTGTTGTGGTGTGGTGTTGATGATGCAAGGAAGATGATGGCGTCGGTTGGATGTAATTATCTGGCAGTTGGTCGTTCACTCCTCGTAAATCCAAAACGTTGCTTAATCTGTTGCTTGTCGTGGAGGTGGTACTATTATTATGACCTCTGCCATTGCCATTGGTGGTCGTTGAATTCAAACCATTGGCATCGTTTTCACTACCTCCCGATGATGATGAAAACTGTTGCTGCTGATGTTTGCTCATAACAACACAATCTGATATTCAAAAAAAACGCACACGCTCGTGCGAGTATATGGTTCAAATTGTTGATTGATTTGTTATTTCTTCAATCCACACACACCACTTGAAAAAGGTCTTTTATCGGAATTTTAACGCAACACAATGAAACACCTCTCCGCACAAGAAATTGTTTTCTTTTTTTTTGGATCTTACGAATGTTGATCGAATATTCTCTCTCAATTGATGGAATCTAGATTTTTCTCAAGCTGAGCCGCCAGCAACAACAATTATGAGAGGCCTGATGAGTTCTGCTGAAAACATTGATGGAACGACGCTTGTACATCACGTTAAAACAGCCTCACTCCGTCATACAGCTCAATTATGAAAATGAATTTCTGATCAGTTTCATCTAAACTTTCAGTTGATTTCAAACTCAAAACTGAAAAAAATGCACCCAAACAAACATGAAACCAACAATGTTGTTGCATTGTATTCCTCTTCAAAGCCTCCTCCTAACAAGATCCATCAGCAACAACAAGAATCAAACAAGCTCATTCCGATTTTAAAAAGTTTCGGAATTCAAATTGAGATGGATTTGAAATTAAGTTTTGGAAATTCGGAATCCTCAGGGTTGAATCTGCAACAAGAATTCCTTCAGAGAACTGAACATGAAAGTTACAAATATAAAAAGGGTACGATGGAGTCAATTAGGAGCAATAATATTTGTAGAATATATTTTCAATGTAGAGATCATTTGAAAGCCTATCATGTTGACATGAACGATCAAGATTTCTATTCCAACAATAGATATGATCGAGTCAACGAATCTGTGAATACCATTCAGATTTGTATTCATGGATTTTTCAAGTCCATGCGAGACTTGTTGGCATGTCCTTGGTATGCAAACAAAAGCAAGCTTGAAGAAGAAATTATTAATGGGAGTGTTGAGATTTTGGATATTGACTACTCTCGAAAACATGTATTAATTCGCTTGAAGAATGAATTGACTGAAAAACATGATTCACCAGAACATGATGAAAATGGAAAGCAACAAGAGGCAATATTAATGTTAGGAAAAATTGATCATTCCAATCATGCATTTTTGTTTAATGTCACACAGATGTCTGAAAGAATTAATGATGGGAAGTTGTCACACTTTAGAAAAATTGAAAATATTTATGAATTAAGCGTTCCAAAAATATTGAAAAACAGATGTTGCCGTGTGGGAAAAGACGGGAAAAAGGAAATGAAAGATGTTGTCACAGATGTTGGTATCAGAAGAGTGTTAATTGGTTGTTTCTTTTCGAGCATGACGACAACAGCGATCCATAGATACTGTTACACGCGAGGAAAAAAAGATTTTAGGGGACGCAATTATAACATTCCATCATTTATTTGTTCACCAAAAGAAAGATACTGTGGCGTTTTTATTAGCGCCTCAGGGGTCAATGGTGAAAGGTATTCTGGCGTCATTGATTGTGGATATTACAAATTTGAGTTGAAAAGTTGGAGTTTTGCTCTTCCCAATAATAATGTTCTGGAGTCGTTTACAAGCTATTTTATTCACGATATTATTTGCTGAACGAATTGATACTCTAATGGTTATATGGAACTATGGCAGAATAAAGATCTGAATAAGAATTTTCAGAGTGGTCAACACATTGTTTTATTCCTTATTTTGAGGTTTATGGTTAGGTCTAGGTTAATGTGTTAATAAGAATCACTGTGCTTCTTCTGATGTTGTTGCTCTTGAATGAACGCTCTAAAAGGATTCTCGTAATTCTCTTCCCAATCTTGCATATTTCCACTAGACATCTCTTCATCCGTGAGCAAACATGAATCCAACGTTTGTATCAATTCCTCCTTATTCATATTATTTCCAATGAATACAATTTCTTGTCTTCGATCTCCATATTCTCCCTCAAATTTAGTTTCCTTCATAATGTGCTCAATTTGTTCCTGTGAAAATCGCTCATGCTGTTGTTCGTCCGAAAGAGAAGCAAACCACACTGATTTTGGAGCAAACGAAAAAGTAGGACCCGCAGTAGACCATTCATAAAGTGTGGAATTGTCACTGGCAAGCCAAAAAAAACCTTTCGAGCGAATGATTCCTCTCAATTTTTCATTTTGAATACTGTCATAGAGTCTCGTTGGCATGAATGGTCTTCGTCTTCGATAAACAAAAGAACTAATTCCATATTCTTCAGTTTCTGGAGTGTGTTCTTTTTGTAATTCCTTGACCCATCCTGGTGATTTGAGTGCCTTTTCATAATTGAAAAGTCCAGTATTCAATATGGATTTTAAATCGATTTGAGAGTATTGACTTTTCAAAATTGTGGCGTCGGGATTTAGCTTTCGAATAATGGCTTCCAATTTGTGGAGTTTTTCTTCACTAATTAAATCAGTCTTGTTGAGAATAATTACATTCGCAAAATCAATTTGATCCAATAGCAAATCAACGACATTTCTATTATCACTCTCGTTAATACCCATATGTCTAGAGCTGAGAGTGTCATCACTAGAATAATCTTTCATGAAATTAAAGCAATCCACCAGTGTGACGAGTGTATCTAATTTTGTGTAGTGTGAAAGCATTTTTCCATAATTGTCTTGGAAAAAGAAAGTTTGAGCAATTGGAAGCAGCTCTGCAATACCAGTTGATTCTATAAGTAGATAGTCAAACTTTTTCTGTTTGGCAAGTTTTGCCACCTCTTGTAATAAATCTTCTCGTAGTGTGCAACAAATACATCCATTCTTGATCATACGAAAATGAGTTTTGTGGAATTGGAAAATATTTCATCATGAATGTGAATAATAATGAATAATAATTTGTGACACGAGATAATTCTATGACCAAAATACATACAGTCATTTCAACCATTTTCTCCTCCGTTCTAGAAAGTGTACTCGTTTGTTTGACCAATTCGACATCAATATTCACTTCGCTCATATCATTCACAATGACCGCTACTTTAAGTCCTTGCTTATTTTTCAAAATGTAGTTCAATAAAGTCTGAGGGTATTCCATTCAATCATAAAAATAAAAAAATTCATAATAAAATTTTCCAAGAATAATGAATTGGATGATCATCGCGAGCTCATCACACGAAACTTACTGTCTTGCCTGCTCCTAAAAATCCACATAAAATTGTTACCGGTAATTTTTCTTCTTCACTGAATGGTTCCAAATCTTCAACACCAAGAGAAAATGCAGACATTTGTGGTTCATGAGGATGATGATCATGTTCATCTTCATGTTTTTTCATAATTTCAATTAAATCATGCCTCAACTTGTTCATGGAAGCATGAGTGGGAGCAATTTCCAATCCAGCATTCAAAATTGCAATGGCTTCTTCTAAATCTCCGTAAAGTGAGAGAGCAAGGCCTTTTCGGAAATAGGGTTGTGGCCATGAAGGTTTTAATTCGATGGCTTGTTCCGAATCTCTAACAGCTTTTTCATACTCATCCATTAATATATAAACTGTGTGTATGCGCGTGATGAAATGATAAATCATCATGTTAATATAATAAATAAAATTATTATAAAATTATTATTAAATCATATCATTAAACCCAAAGATAATAAATGGATTCCAAATAGTACAATTCACATCCTTTAAATTCCGAATGATTTGTTCCGACGCATTACTCACATACCCGAAGCTCTCATATCATAAATGAAAGGATTATCCAGATCCAAATCAATGGCACGAGTAAACATTTCAATGGCTTCCTCATACTTGTTCTCAAATACTAATTGATTTCCTTTTTGAATGAATTCATCCAAACATTCTTGTGTGGCCATTTTTTTGGTAAATTTACAACCAGATCTGGTTGGACACATATTTATATTGAGAAACGGAACAATACCATGTAAAAACCGTTTGTTTAGTACCGATTGATGAGGCCGAACCAATATTTCTGGTCTTATGCAAATTGTTACAAAAAGTATTCAAGTTCCCTAAGAGCAAGTTTCGCCGTTTCTTTTTTCGCCATTAATGGAACACATTTGTGTTATAGCTATAAATGAGCGTCACAATTCCTCTTCTCACACCAACTTCACTATTCAAAAAGAAAGACATCTCTCCTGAGATCAGAACGATAAACCAAATGAAATCTCTTCTCAAGAACGTGCTGGTGCTGACACATCATCATCATCAGAAAGGAGCTTCTATGAGACGCTTGCTCCTCCTCTCTTCTCAAACACAACAATTCTCTCAATTTTCAACTAGTGCCATCTCCTCATACAAAGAAGTTGAATTCACTTCCGTTCGGGATTTACTCGAGACAGCTCCCAATATTCAAATTGTCGATGTGAGAACACAACAAGAATTTGAACATGCCGAACACAAATTTAGGAAGGGTTTCAATTTGCCAGTTCAAACTCTCGAATCGAATATGAGTTTGTTGGATAAAACCAAACCAACCTATGTGGTTTGTCAATCAGGAATTCGAGCAAAGAGAGCAAGTGACTTGTTGAGTCAAAGTGGATTTACAGATGTGATTTGCATTAAGGGAGGTTTCAATGATATTAAGAACACTTGTAAACCTCAGGATGATCCCATCGTGCAAGTGAAACCTGCAGGTGCTGCCGGATCCTCATCGGTGTGGTCCATGGAACGACAAGTTCGATTCACGGCCGGTGCATTTGTTGTTGCAGGTGTTGCTGGATTTGCTGTCACTGGAAATCCAGTGTTTTTGGGTTTGCCAGGATTTATCGGATGTGGACTCATGTATTCAGCCTATACCAATACGTGTGCCATGGGTGTGGCATTAATGAAGATGCCATGGAATAAGATGAATCCTCAAGCAAGTTGTGCCACTCTAAAGAAGTAACATGTTTGGAACACACTCCAAAAAATTGTTAAAAAATTAAACCTAATGTTGAGATGATATGAACGCGAAATTGTGAAATTAATTGGCTTTACATCCAATACATGAATATTACGAAATACATCATTATTGTTCCAAAATCTAGACCTGCAAATAATTTTTTCACTTAAAATCCTTAATATTTGTACTGAATACAATGTTTTGTTGAAACATCAATACTTTGCACTTGTCTCGTATCAATTCAGAGTTGTAAATAATGGATATTGCATATAGTTGCTCCACATTCTCCTCCGTAATAGTTTCACAAATTTTCTGTTCACAAAACTTTTTCAATCCATATAATAGGAATAAATCAGAAGCAACGAACACCTCCACAAGATTCTCAGTATACATGGTCATGTCTTCCCGTAGACCTCCATAAATAAATTGGAATACAATAAATAAGGTTGAAAGTGAAAAATTATTGATGTGACAAATGGGATAGGCCTTCGAGTCTTCATTGGATTTACCATCGTATTGCAGAAGCTTTTTGAAAAATTCACTTCTACTCGACAAAATGGACTTGTGTAAATAAAATCCTTTGCATTCCAGCACATTTGCAAACAATGGATTGTTTTCCAACTCTTCTTGTAAAATATAGTCAATTTCTTGTAAGTCTTCAATATCTGTGGTAATTTTGATGTCAGGATAAAAGGTGTCTACAGCTACCTCATTGATGATACCATCTCGTTCAAAGCATGTTCGAACAAGGTTATTGAAAAGTGTCGACAAGTCATCCTCAATACCATTTAACACGATAGCATGTTGTCTGATTTTGGTTTTTCTTTTCAGAAAGTCGGTAGTGTATGTGTTTGGTTTTGTTACTGTATTGGTCGGAGGCGGAGGAGTAGTAGTCATTGCAAAATAATAATAGTAAGTGTAATTCACGGGTTTTCCAAAGAAGAAATTCATTTCATCCTTAAGTAACTGTTCATCAAAGTCATCGAAAAGTGATTGCATGGCAACCACAGATTCGTCATTGGTTTCACCAAGAGATTCTAAACAGTTGGTAGCATTGGTTCGTGTCTTTTCATTATACAGAGTGCTGAGAAGTTTTGGAAAGCCTATATAGTAAAATTAGTTCATGTACATCGAGGATATTCATATTAATACGAGACAACTAACCTTCAGATATAAGCTTTTGTTCTAGAGAAAAGTTTTTCAGACTCTCTTCCTTTGGTCGTAGTGTTTTAGACTCCTCATAAGATGCAGACAACTTGTCGGAATAAATCACTTGCATAAATTTCAATACGGCATACCATGAAATTTCAGGATCAATCAGCAAGTAATAGCCTGGACCTGTCTCGTTTGGGCTTAATACATTTGTTCTTGGATTCCACTTGAAACAATTATTGGAAAGGAAATTTGATCGTGACGAAACGATGGCATAATGAACGCTCACATTGAAATCATTTTCTGAAACACTGGTGGCATAACTCTCAGAAAAACCAATAAAAGTATCTGGAAAACATCCGTATGACGTGTCTACAACGTATTCAGCCTCTCCATACACGCTGAGTGTTGATTTAAGAAATTCAACATCCGGAGAGTGCTTGTTTGAGTGCACTAAAAGATTTCCCAAATCAAATCCCATCGATATTGCACCTCCGAGTAGTTCCATCGCTTCATTCACATGAACAATGGTTGCCGAATTCTTACTCGCTTGAGCCACCAACCAGAGTGAGTAAAATACTCCAGTTGCAAGCATGACATATCGTGCCTTGGCATGCTCTGCAAATTTGTACAAGATAAAAGCAAGTTCGTCCACAATTTGACTGTACTCTTCACAATCATTCATCGCTGGTGCCATTCGTGACATCAATGTACAAAACAAATTCAATCCTTTGCATAAATAGAAAGCATTGCGTTCCTCTCTATTGAAAATTAATTTTGAAATTTTGCTCACTAGAACGACGACTGCTGCCAAGCTTTCACCTCGATCATACGAATGTTTAAATGCTTCATAATGCTTTGAAAGTTCTAGGGTCAATTTTTCAGCAGTGGATAGTGCATCGCCATTTGAGGAATAATTACTATTCGATATGACATTATTTAAATAAGTTGAATATTCACTGATCGATGTTTGTAAATTTTGTGGGGACAAGACATGTTGAGTGGTTTGTTTCGTGCTGAAAAATTCTTGTTTTTCATCTTCTGTTAAGGACTCTTTCAAAATATTGACATAATCTAAATTTGACATGGTCTTTTTCTTTGATTTTTTAGAGGGCGATGCTCCTGATGATGCAGAGGCTACACTCGAACCGTTTGCAGATTCTTCTTTGACTTTTTTCTTTTTTTGTTTCGCCAATGTTGCCTCTTGTTCATCATCCTCGTTGCTTGATTTCTTTTTTTGACAATATTGTTTTGGTTCATGATCCAGTATCGTTTGTTCCATGACTCTACAATCATCATGTAATAATTTGTAATAATTAGAATTGATATTCTTTTCAGAAGATGACAAGGAAGAGGAATGATGATGCTCTTCCGAATCATCATCTGAATCCTCTCCCCATAATTGTTTTTCCTTTTTCTGTTTCTCAAGCTTCTTGTTCTTCTTGTGTCCCATTTAAAGATGATGAGTAAAAATGTTTGATCGAATCAAGTCGACGATCTATTTTTTTCAACACAGCTTGTGGATAGGTTCATCTTTTTCCAATTTGAATCAATTCCAATCCTTCAATCTTGAAATCGAGTTAAAATTCAAAAAAATCAGTAAGCTGTGCTAAGACTGACAAATTCTAGTAAGCGTTATTTCTCAAAAACTCTTTCATGATCCTTTTCTCATGCCTCAAAATCTTGCCGCCAATTCAAAAATTCACAAAAAATTCGTTAAACATCCACTTAGGAGAATTTAATTCTTTGTGAGATGATCATTCAACAACAACCACCAGTTTCAAACACAACAACAGCACCACACAAGAAGGTGATGGGGCCTTCCGATTTGAATGATACCATGATAGCCTCACAAAAACAACAACAACGAAAAACGAAATTTTCATCAGAACCATCGTCGGAACAAGATTTATCTGAAACTTCTAAATCATCATTGTCGGATGTGCATGCAAAATCACCACACGGATCCATGGCTCAAGTATTTCAATCATTACGGGACAAGGTATCAACGGTTCTATTTAATCATCAATATTGGAATTTATTTTCACAAGCATCGACGTCGTCATCGTTGCATGCATCGAAAATGCATGAAAATGAAAACCATGGACAATTGATTGGACAAGTTCGACCACCGTTCATCATTGAAAGATTTGACAAACCTCATGTGAATCATGGAAAAAAAGTAATTGTACGAAAAATTGTACCACTTTTACAATTGGAAAATTATTTAAATAAGTGTTTGGTCAACCAGGAAATTGCTATCAAGACGATATGTTATTGCCTTTTGAGACAGTCCACCATATGGTCCTATTCATATCATCAATTATCTTCAACAAATTCGGAAAATTCTGAACCATCTCAAGATGAATTACCAAAGAAACCATTCATTCAAAAAACCAAAATTCCACTCTCCTTGTTTTTTATAGGTCCATTAGGAGTTGGAAAATTGTACATTTCTAGATTAATAGCTCAGTCACAGGGAAGACCCTTTGTTCTTTTTGATATGAATTATTTCACAGAAGAAGAATCTCTATCGAATTTGGTTCAATTTTCAGATGAATATCGATATAATAGACCTTTTAATTACATGCTCGGACAATTGAATGTGGTTCTGGAAACGGCACCAAATGCTGTCATCGTTTTCAATAACATGGAATATGCACATCCTTCCGTTTTCAGATTTTTACATCAATTATTCAGAGCAGGTGTCATACTGGAACAAAAATCTAGAAAGGACATCAGCTACAATGCACAACAACATTCAGTATCACTCACACCAACGGGTCAATCATCAGAACCATCTGTTAACAAACGTTTGGACAAAAAAACTGCTACTGCGGATATCAAAAAACCACTCGAAGAAGAACTCGTGCGTGTCATTGACGCCAGCCAAGCCATATTTATTTGCATTTCTGTAATTAGTGACCAGATGGTCAAGAAAAATATTTTGGAGAATGGACCAAACACTTTAATTGACAAGTATGAACGAGAAAAGAAGAATATACAGAGCACTAATCATTGGCAGTCACAATCTTTTAACACATCTCAATTTCCATATGAAGATCCTTACCTCAATAATGACGAAAACGAGTATTCAACTACTTCGTTTAAACCCATGAAGAAGTCGTCATCGTCGGTATTGAGAAAGTCGTCCGTGATGACCGATCGAACACTCTCCACTACAAATGCTACAGCATCACCCTCTTACCTGGAACAAGTGTCATCTGTGTATTCAGCGATTGATGCTCTTGATCGAGTCATTGAATTTCGACATCATATCACTCCATTTTTAGTAGATCATTTGAATAATTCCAACACGTCAGAGGAAAACAAAATGCCCAAATGTTTTGATGCATTTTTACATCAATTCAATGCGATTGTGCCATTTTTTGCCTTTTCAGATATTGAATTGTGTCACCAAATTATTACACAACTTTCCACCTTTGCCTCCTTTGCCAACTCACAGAAATGTTACAAATTGACTTGGAGTGAAGATGTAGTCATATGGCTCATGAAGAGATACAGACCTTCATTAACGGTTACAGGAGTTTTGGAGAATCATGTATTGACTCCATTGGCTGCGGCTGATCACTTGTTTTCATCCCATGACCACATTCATCTTGAGGTGTCTCCTGAGCTCGATCGAATTTCCATTAATGTTTTGAATCGACGAGATGACACACAGTTGAGAAGGGATTTGAGTTTGATTCAATCCAAACTGTGAGATACGACCCGTTTATTAAATTTATTTCACCCACACTTGAAAGCCTAAGAACGAACCATTACTTTCGTTGTATCATCTAGTCAGTCTTCGTTTTTGGAAGACCATGTTGTGCGAGAATCGTCTTGATTTCATCCAACACACTGGCATCTTCAATCGTTGAAGGAAATGCAAATGGCTCGCCATCAGCCATGTGTCTCAAAATACCTCTCAGTACTTTTCCAGAACGAGTCTTTGGTAGCTTTGGACATACAATGACAATCTTGAATACGGCGATTGGACCGATTTCCTTTCTAATAATTTCAATACACTTCTTCTCAATTTCCATTCTTGGTACATTCTTGTATTGTTCATTTAACACAACAAATCCCAAAGGTACTTGGCCTTTCAAATCGTCATGTACGCCCACAACAGCTGCCTCAGCCACCTGAGGGAGTGACAATAAAATTTCTTCAATCTCTGCCGTGCTTAATCTGTGGGCAGATACATTAATAATATCGTCGGTTCTTGTCATGACATATAAATTTCCTTGAGCATCCATATGGCCAGCGTCACCAGTTTTGTAATATCCATTGAAGGTTTTGAAATAGCCCTCAACAAATCTTTGAGGATTTCCCCATAATGTACTCATCACGCCTGGAGGCAAAGGACATTTTGCTACAATATATCCTTCATTGTGAGCAGCTAATTCAGATAACAGAGTTGCGTCATCTCCCTTGTCTGCCTGTTCAATAGGAAGAATCTTGATATTCCATCCATGAACTGGTTTGTTGCAAGATCCTGGTGCAACCTTAATCTTGGAATAATCCTTTTCATAACCAAGCATGACACTACAAATGGGTGAACCTGTCTCTGTTTGCCAGTAATTGTCAATAATTGGTCTGTTGGTATGTTGTTGCAGCCAAAACAAGGTGTTCGTGTCACATCTTTCACCTGCAACAAATAAGGCCCTCAAAGCGCTCAAATCAAATGATTTAATGTGTTGACCAGTAATGTCTTCCTTCTTGATAGCTCTTACACCAGTAGGAGCAATGAAAATGACATTGACTCCATGTTGTGAAATTACTCTCCAGATGGCACTAGCGTCAGGAGTACCCACTGGTTTACCTTCATAAAGAATGCTGGTACATCCTTTGAGTAATGGGCCATAACCTGTTGTGTGTTTGTTTTTCAAGTGAAAAAAGTGAGATTAGACAAATATAATGGTAGTACGGTAAACAATGTCAGAGTTTACGAAAATAACATCATTGTGACAACTTACAAATATAACTTGAACCCACAACCCATCCTAAATCAGAGGTAGCAAGAAATGTGTCACCCTCATTCATTCCAAATACTGCATTCATGGACCATTTAAGAGCTACCAAGTGAGCTGCCAATGGTCTCACAACGCCTTAATTTTTCATTAAGAAGTATCAAGTTCATCATTCCAATGGTGGAATACCATTCACATTTAACAATCGTATGATGAAATAAGTGTGATGAAATAAAAAGGTTAATGAACAACAACATACCCTTTGGTTTTCCGGTACTCCCACTTGTGTATAGCAAGTACATTGGATCGTCTGATGGTACTGGAACAACTTCCTTCATGGGTTTGTTATCCTTTGCATAGACCATGGAATCCCAGTCATAATCTCGTCCTTCCTTAAGTGTCACTTTTGGTAAAAATGTTCTCTGGTAAACGAGTGACTTTAATCCAACTGCAGCATTGCCTGCTTTCTCAAAGGCCTCATCAAGAATGACCTTGTAATCAATGACCTTATTCATACCTTCAAGGCCATGCGAAGCAGAAATGACCAATTTTGGCTGAGCATCTTGAATACGGATTGCAAGTTCATGAGCTTGGAAACCTCCAAATACGACCGAGTGAATGGCACCAACTCTTTGACATGCAAGCATTGCTTCCAAAGCTTGAGGCACCATTGGCATGTAAATAACCACTCTGTCACCTCTCTAGAGATGAATAATCATGTTGGAATTCAATGAATTTAAGAATATATTAATATATATACGAACAACCATTATTCGACAACAAGTTGTAAATAATAGTATCCATGAACATTCAAGCTTACCTGAATGTTAAATTTTGTTTTCAACACATTGGATAATAATTGTACATTTTCCAATAATTTAGCATAGGTAATTTTCTGAACCACTGGTTGACCATTGTTATGATTTGTAGAAACAGGACTATCATAAATGAAGGCAATACGATCTCCTTTTCCAGCTTCCACATGAACGTCCAAACAATTGTAACAAGCATTAATTTCACCTCCTTCAAACCATTTAATGAAAGGAGGATTATCATTATTCAACACTCGTTGATATGGTTTTATCCAAGAAAGTTGTGCAGCCTTTCATGAAGTATACGAACATTGAGTTTCATTGGATCAACGTATAAAATGTATTCATATTTCGTCAGTATCATCATCATCACATAGTCAACATGTAATGGCGCGTAATGATAAATTCATTCAATTAGTAATCCAACACATTGACAAAATATGCTGCTTACCTGTGTGGCCCAAAACTTTTCAGCTCCACCATTCACAAAATCAATGGACATTTTGTAACTCTCTTCAAATGATACAGGAATGTCATAGATTGGTAATTTGGATTTTGTTGTTGTGTTCACCATGGTATTGAAATGGAAATTACGGAATGAGGAAGACATTTTCATGGGTGATGATTTTCTGGCGTTTGATCTGTTCAAGCTTGCACAAGCCAACAGAGAACATGTCAAGCTTTTGTTTTCATTGTTGATGATGGCTTGAAGTGGTGGTGATAACCCCACGACGGCTCTTGACTTGATCATGATGATGAAATAAATATTCTCAAATTTACAAAGGAGTGTAGTTTTACAACGATTTTTTTCAAAATCTATGAGAAACTATAATACAAGGAAGAGAAACAACACGATCAATGTACCGACACGATCTCAATCTTCCGACTTCGAAAAAACAGCACAGTGTGGGACCAAACAAACCAGTTCGATTATTTTTTTTGATGAAAATGTAAAATCATTGATGATCAAGACTGAAATCAAAGGTACATTTTGGTTTGACTGTGTACTCACAATACACACAAATGGTTTACAGTACACTTTACAATTGTTGCTTCTTCTTTGCCTTGGTTCGAACCACTAACACGACCAAAGTTACCACTAAACATGTGGCCACACCCAACACTAAAAAACCACCCACCAATCCAGCCACTAAAGCTGCAATGGCACTTTCTGAGAGACCTCCAGCTCCTTTTGGATTACTACTCGATACAGGTACTTGTCGTTGAGAGGGTTGAGGTTTCGTGGCCGATTTAAAATTCTTATCAATGACTGCGAATGATGTCAAGTGAGTGGTGAGACATTTCATTTCAAATTCAATGAAACCAGAAGAATTTCGAAGAATGAGTGGAGTGGAGGTAATTCCATCTTCTTTCCAGTCAGCAGTCACTGTGTCCAAATACATGCATGAGAAAAGGAATTCAGATACATCTCGAGAGGGAATGGTCAAGTTGGAGAATTTCAATTCGATAGGAGTTGCCAAGTTTTTCACTTGAATTTTGCTACCATTCTTGAAAAGGAAATTCAGACTTAAAATGTTGCCCAAAATTCTTCCAACCTCAACTCCCTTATTAGTTACTGGAATCACTGACCCGGTGGTGTCTTGAATCGAAGACAATAGTAATGCAGAATTGCCACTTGTCAAATTTCCAACCTGTGAAATAAAATAAGAATACAATGTCGATGGGAAAGTCACTCCTACTGCTTGCGAAAAATTATAAAACCTTGTCGAATTGAAAAGATCCCAAGTGGAAAATGATTCCTGTGAAACAATTGTTGAGTTTGAACCTGCACCACTCGAACACATCAATGCATTATTCGTTCCAAACAAACCCTCACACAATGAAATGGAACAATCATTTCCTAACCACTGAGAGGAATGACAGGAACATTGATCTGGGCCAATGCAAGTTCCATTTCGATAATTACAAACAGCAGTATCGTTATTACGCAAACCTTTGCAAGTAAAGGAGTCACAATAAGGTCCTGAATATCCTGGAAAACAAACACACTTTAAGCCTGGAGTACAAACTCCATTTCCATAGCATGGTTGAGTGGCATTTCCGCAGGTGGTTTTACATTCTGGATCTGAGGAAGCGTAACATTGACAAGTGTCGGTATCGACACAAGTTCCATATCCAAAACACACAGTAGGATCTGATGCTAATTTTCCAAAACAAGTAATTGGAACGAGTTTGCTAATGAGGTCAATATCTCTTTCCACAATATAAATTTCTCCAGTCTTTTCATTCACATGCAGACTTTTTGGATTTTGAAAAGTATAGGACACAGTAGATTTGTTTTCCTCATAAAATGTCAATGTTCCAATAATTCCCTCTTTGGTGACATAACGAATTCGATCTTGATCCAAAAGATAGAGTTCACCTTTTCGAGTCATGTAAATGGAAGTTGGGGATAAGAAAGCTTCAGTGGCTAGAGAGCCGTCTCCATCCAACACGATGGAACGTTTGCTGTGAATGGTTGTTCGACTGGTGGTTTCCAAATCACTGCCATTGCTGTCCACACTTGCTGGAACATTTTGAACATTTCCTGCCATCAATATTTGTACTGTTTGATTCAAGATTCGATACACGGATAGAGAAGGATTATTCATTGAATAGTATAAACCAGGTAAGGCATTTTGAGAGCCATCTGTTCCTCGATCAGCCGAAAAACACATTTCCAAGACACTCGTATATGGTAATAATGGTAACACAGGAGTAGAGATGATGTTCGAAACCAAATCAACTCTTCGAATACCTGAACTCGTACTACCAATATAAAGACCTGGATTAAGGTTCACCGAAGACTCGGGTGGAATATAGACCATTGAAGAAGGACTTGCAAGACCCGATAACAATGCATTGACGTTATCCAGAATGGGAATTTCTTCTCCAGTTCCCACAACAGTGCTGACTGAAGAGAGTTGGAGATCTAATTTTCGAACTTGAAAATTTCCCCAATCTCCAATAAAGAGCAAAGTTCCACTTTCATCGAATTGAAGATGTTGAGGGTTGTTGAACGTAGCCATTTCGATTGCTTGACCATCCGTTCTTCCCCTTGCACCTGTACCGGCCATCGTGTAGACAGTATTCCCTTTGAGCATTCGAATTCTTTGATTTTGTGTATCTATTGAGAGAGAATGATAAAACCATCACGATGAAATATAAAAACCAAATGAAACAATTAATATGACATGGATTGAAAAGAAGTTATAAACACCTTACCTGCAATAAACATATCACCTTGTGCATTAAAGGTTATGGCAGATGGATAATTGAGAGATGCCAAAGAAGCCTCGACTGGATTGGGTCCCGCTGCACCACTTCCTGCCACCGTTCGAATGGTTCCATCTGGTTGAGAAATGGCACGAATTCTCTCATTTTGATAATCATTGATATAGATGGTTCCATCGTTGGGATTCACAAAAACGTCTCGTGGTGTGTTCAATAATGCTCCCAGTGCTGGCTTTCCGTCTCCACTGAATCCTGGAACGAAGGGAATACCTGCAACATCGATCAGTACACCTTGGATGGGATGTATTTTACGAATCATGTGATTATCTGTAGTAGTGAACATGCGATATGTATATTTCACAGCCAAATGACCAGGTATGATTGAATTATTGTACATGTGTGAAAAAAAACACCTATCATTATAGGAACAAAAACTTACTGGACTCGGAGAAATAAATCTCACCATTGTAATATGAAATTCCATAGGGAGCACCCAATGCTGCATTCAGACCACGAGTTCCATTTCCAGAAAATCCCATCGTTCCATTACCTGCCAACACTCGACTAGCCTCATTTTGCAAATTCACTTCATAAATTCTATTCATATCCGTGCTTGTGAAATAGGCAAAGTTTCCACTTGGTTCAACTACCATTTTAGAAATGGGTGTTGGACAGCCCAAAGAACCATACAATTTGGTAATTCTATCAGTGGTCTTTGAAAGTCTTCGAATCAAACATGCATTGTCAGAAAAGATTAAATCTCCATTTCCCATGACAGTCATGGATGATATTTGATTTAACATGGTTTCATTGGCGAATCCAGAATCTTGATTGTAACCTGAGAGACCAATCATTCCTGCCACTACTGAAATGGTTCCGTTATTTGGTCCTTTGGTGGAAATTTTACGAATGACATAGGTGTCATCTTCTGCAAAATAAATGTCTTCTGTCATTGCATCAAATGCCAAGCTCAAAACACGTCCCAAAGGTAGACTCAATGCGGGTCCAGGATCTCCTGAATCCAATCCCAATGTAAATCCTTTACCATTTCCTGCAATGGTTTGAATGGAATTATCAGGTAAGACTCTTCTCACAATTCGTCGATTTTGTTCTGCGAAATAAATTCCACCCGCAACTGGTGATGATGAACTCACAGCCAATAATCCACCACCTCTCTCAATTGACAATTTGTAGCAGGAATTCCATTTCGAAGAGAACTTCCCACAAGAGAAACCTTTTTGTGAAAAGCTAAGATAGGAATGGCCAAGCACCCTGGCATGGATTGGAAAAAGCAAGAAATGAAGATGGTTGTGGCAGCTACCAACACCGCAAGACATGTGGTCGGGTGAGTTGTTGGCGACGACAATCGTGCGTGAAAGAAGAAGGAAGAAGAGGTCATGATTTGCGTCGTTTGTCAATGACCTCTGGCGGATTTTTTTTTGAATAGCCAAATCTTAATTTCGAGTGAACGAGACGTTCGATTTAATGTCCATGACTCGCTCTTGTTTGTTGGCGGCACGTGACATAATTGAAAATGGAAGTTGTCGAGATCAAAGTCTTTGTTTTTTCGTTGAGAAGAGTTGTTGGGCGTCATGGCGAGTCATTGCAATAATTTGCGAAATAATGTAAACAAGATTCTTGTGCTTTTACAGATTGAAAATCCAATAACCCAACGACCAAAAACAATGTTCAATTTTGAGTTGATGACATTCGACGGTCGAACGTGATCACTTTGTTCTGTGCCGCTTGACGAGACACAGATCTCATCCACAACAAAAAAATGTTCCTTCGCTCGACGTCGGACCACCTCACACCCACGTACAAACTGAAACGATTGGAATTGGATAAAAATCATCACGATCATTCCAATCATACTATCAACAATGTCATCCTCATTCTCAACGGAACCTTTAATCCCATTCATAATAATCATTTATTGATATTGGAGGATGCTCGGAATTATGTAATGAACGAATTGAAAATGAATGTATTGGGAGGGTTCATTACGTTACGAGCAGATTGTAGCGTAAAAAAGAAATGTAAAGGAATTACTGGGAATATAAATGATTTTGTTTCTGCGGTTCATCGGATCAAGATGCCAATTGGCTGTTGAGAACTCGGATTGGATTGCAGTAGATGAATATCAAGCCCTTCAAGATCATCAAATTAATTTTAAACAAGGACAAGAACAGTTTTGGAGGGCAATGAAGTCTTTTTATGGAGAGGATTGTCAAGCATACATTAAAGTATTTAATGTGATTGGTATTGATAATTTGGAGAAGTGTGGAAAACAAATTTGTGAGAATTTAATATGTGTGGTGAATAGAGAGCGTATTGATTTTAATTTAGATCTATGGAGAAATGAATTTGAGTATCGTCGTAAAGTGCTTATTGTGAATGCTTCTATTATCAAGCCAATAAGCTCAACTTTGATTAGAAGTAAATTCAAAAATGGAGAAGTGGTATCAACGGAAGAACTTCCACAAAGCGTTCTGAATTATCATTTAGAGCATGGTATTGATTACAAACATTCAACAGTTCCAGAAGCGGATGAAAATCAAGATATTGACGTTTTTGAAAAGATTCTATCTCATTGTTTAACAACAAATCTACCATTTATACCATTTCAAGAATTGCAATCAGAGACAGACCTTATTCTTGGAAAAGGAGTTAAAGGTGAAGTGGTAACAATGATATACCATTCAAAAAAAGTTGCCGTCAAACGTGTTAATTTATCCAAAAAGCATGATCACAAATTTGGATTCAAACATGCACTGAACCAATTTTTAATGGAGCTTGAACTACTTGCCTGTTTAAAAGGCCATGAAAATGTTGCAGAATGTTATGGAATTACATTAGACGGCGAGTATGGTTGTTACGTTTTAGAATTGTGTGATTTTCAATTACAAGAATACCTTTCACAACACTTTCCACTCTCTCCCGAGCAATGTAGATCCATCGTACTTGACGTGGCGCAAGGAATGCAATTTATTCATTCACACAATGTTCTTCATAGAGACTTGTCTTTACAGAATATCATGCTTTGTAAAGTGCAGATTGCAGACAATGACACATCATCACCACAAACTCCAAAATTTAAGGCAAAAGTCATTGATTTTAGTGTGAGTAAGAAAGTTGATTGGAAAGTACAACCACCTCGTGGCTCCATGAGACGCTATGCTCCCGAAGCTATTCAGAGCAATACGGAATATCATTATGCAAGCGATGTTTACATGTTTGGAAATGTTGTTTACGAATTGACACAGGGACATCAAGTTTTTAAGAAGCACGGCAAGGTTGCTGATGTTTGTCAGCTCATCCTTAGAGGAGAACGACCTGAGATTTCCAAGAAAGTGAAAGACGATGCATTGATTCAACTCATGTTACAATGTTGGACTCATGACCCTACCAAACGTCCATCTTTTAGTGACATTATTCAATCATTGTTGCTTGAGTATGAAAATGATCAATGTTAACATTCTCATTGATAAATAGTTGTAAAAGTCATGTGTTCAATTTTCATGTGAATCGTCATCCCTTCACTTGTTCAGTAATACTCATGAAGAATGAACGGAAAAGGAAAATAGTATTTCTGCCAAGTCCGACACTCATGTGGTCGGCCATGACCACACCCATGTGTGTGTGTAGGGTAGGCAAGCTTTAGCCTCGGCATCGAATATTCCCTTGTAGGGTTCTCCTTACATTTGGAATGTCAAACCTGATGTGAAATAAAGCTGCCAAGTCCTGTCGAGCCATTTCCAAAAAAAATGTCTGTCGACGGCAGTAGGTGTGGTGGTGGCTTGAGAAACTCATTGATGCTGAGCCTCGTCGTCGTGCTGCTTCAGTTATTGCTCCTTCATCATTCCATCATTAATGCCATGAATTTATCCATAAACAAAATGATGAAAATCAGATCAGCAACTACCAGTACTACCACTCGCCAACAATTCATCATTCAAGACATTCCCTACCTTCATCAAATCACGGATTATTCTTGCGGAGATGCAAGCCTCAACATGGTATTGTCATATTATTACCCACAGAAAATCATTGATCAGAGAGCCATCATTGATGTTGCACGTACCTCCAATCATACAGGTACTTTGAGTTTGGATGTGGTTCGGAGTGCAAGATTCTCGCCTCTCAGTTCAACTCCAGCCTCACAGGTCTATATTCAATTTCCAGAACAGGCACCAACTTCTGGTTGGTTCAATTCAAAATTTGCAAACAAATCACAAGCTTCAGTACCAGTGAATATATTTGAACATTCTGGACTAGCGACCGTGTACTATCCTGATCGAAAGTGGCTGATACCATGCGAAGTGGCTCGAAATGATACCACCACGAAATGTTGGGTCGATCATTTAGTGAATGAATTTTTGAAAAATGACATTCCAGTGATTTGTTTGATGAATTTTAAAGTGGACTCTGGAGGTCACTATCGAGTGGCAGTGGGATATGAATTTGAAAAAGATATTTCATCGAATAAGGAAGTTCTTACTGGGATCATCATGTTAGATCCTTGGGATAGAAATAACAATCCTACCATGGTCACTTATGGCGTGGATTTATTTTGTAAAATGTGGAAACATGCTGAACCTAATGATGACAAGACATGTTTTAAACCCTATTTTGGAATTGCTGCGTTTCCTCTCTCTATCAGCGTCTCAGAAAATTCTAAAACAAATTTCAATATTAAGGTGACATATCCATGTGTTTTTCCACCCTCTAACAAGGACAGAAAACAAGCAGAAAATTCTCCAGATCTTCCCCTCACGACCACCATTCAACATTTAACGATTGAAATTTCAGCACTTTCAAAACCAAATTCTAATGGACAAGCAAGTATCATGTTCACAGAGAATATTCCTCTCACTAATACCTTTACAGCATGTGATTCACACATGTTGAGTTATAATCTTCCCAATATTGGCGCAGACTCGATTCGAATTATTGCTCGTGGAATGGTTTGTGACACCGTCTTGCCCACCGAGTATAACACCAATGTTTGGAGTCCAAGTTACAAGTATTGTGATTATGTTGGTGGTGCCATTATTCATCAGTTGTAATTGGTGAAATTGAATCGTTATTCATCATAAATAATTTATTTTCGTTTACACTAGATATTTAAAAAAGCACAGAAAGGATGGAAAAACCAACCAAAAAAAATGCCTTTTGGTTTTCATCTTCCTTCTCCGAAGAGTCAAACAAGACCACCTTCGCAACAAATTTCGGAAGAAGGAGCAAGGTCCTCGTGCTCTATAGATTCAGTCCATACTAAATCTGAAAATCATGAAATTATTTTTGATACATCAAAATTGGGGCAAATAATTAAAACTCCTTTAACATTACCAAATCAACAACAACCGAATAATATTATTGTGAATGGTCAACAACCATTAGAAAATAATATTTCCCAAGAGCCCGCCAAGCAACAGCTTCAAATGCCATTGAATACTCCAAAGAAAGATAATTTGCCAACATTATCAAAAACTCCACAATTAATACCCTCTTCGTTGGGTAAAAGAAAGCAATCGCTAAATACTGGGAAAAGTCAAGTAATTTTAAACAATTTTTTACCTGAGGATGACAAGGATGACAAGAGAACAGGAACACCATCAGGAAAAATGCAGAAATTAATACTTGATCAAGAGGAGGAATATAACATTTTAAAACCAAACAAATATGAAGATTATTTAGAGCAAAAGAGGAAAAGAACACAATCGAGTGACAATAATGAAAAGATGCTATCAACTCCTTCATCATCGACGAATTCTTTGGATAATGAAGATGATAATGACGATGACGACTTGTTGGCATCGGTTTCCAAAGTTGCAGCCTCCACTCCAATTTCTCAAACAAGTTCATTATCAAGCAAAACTCCATCATCTACTAAATCGCCAGGCATTATTTTCAACATTCCAAAGAAAATTGGCAACAACTCAAGTGCACTGTCGAATCAGCCTCAACAACAGGAACAAAATCGATAAGCTTAAACTGCGGATCAATTATTTGGAGTATTGATATTACACAATCACTGTGACGCTAAGTGATGGCGAGCTTTCAAAAGAATAATTCAGTTTCAACAAATCAAGTGCCAAGACATGGTCATGAAACTGTTCAAACTAAAACTCGAATGGATGACGACTTTATTCATGTAGCCACACCAAGAAAAACTCTCTCAAATATATGTTACAGTTTTAAAAATGGTTTTCTCAAATTTACATTACAAGTTGGTACAAGTCATTGACAAGTTGACTTTCACACACCTTGTACTTAGTTCCAGTCCATGTACCAATTTTGTCCAGTTTCTTCAAAGCAATATCAGCATCCTCTTTAGTGTGTGCTGCAGAGATACAGAAACGAACACGCGAGCACAAGGTATCACAAGCAGGAGCACCAACAACGACAACGGCAATACCATTCTCTAGTGCCATTCGCGAGAATGATGGCATCTTGGCTGGATTGTAAAGCATTGTAATAATGACAGGAGAGTCAGCATCACTAATCACTTCAAATCCTAACTTCTTGAGACCTTCTCTAAAGTAATTTGACGTCTCATTGAGTTGAGCAAGCTTCTTCTTTCCAATATCAGTTCCGTCTTCACCAGTAATGACCTTCAAAGCAGAGAGTGCTTGTTGGGCACATGGTGCTGGAATAATACTACCATAAATTAAACCATAGCAATTCTTTCTCAAATAACTAATCACATCCTTGTTAGCAGCAATATATCCACCAACAGATCCGAAACTCTTGGTGAAAGTTCCCATCAAAATATCAATATCAGCAGGATTAACACCACAATAATCACAGACACCTCTTCCGGTCTTACCCAATGCACCAATACTGTGGGCCTCATCCACATACAAATAACATCCATACTTCTTCTTCACTTCAACAGCTCTCTTCAAATTAACAATTTCTCCTTCCATACTATAAATTCCTTCAACAATGATGATAATCTTCTTCCAAGGTCTGTGTGTTCCTGGTTGACCTTCAATAATGCTCTTGCGAACAATCTTTTCCAAGTGATCCATGTCGTTGTGTTTAAATACAGTGACTTTGGCTCCGCTTGTAGATCTGACTCCGGCAACAATACTAGTATGATTGAGTTGATCGCTAATAATCAAACAATCTGGAGATGGGGCCAACAATGGAATGGTAGTACTATTGGTTGCAAATCCCATGGAAAATACGATTGCATCTTCCTTTCCAACAAATCTTGCTGTCATTTCCTCCAATTCTCTGTGGACCTTGGTGAAACCCAAATCTCCGTATGCGGAAGCTTGAGCTGCACCATACTTGTCAAGGCTTGTAAGAACGTCATCCAATACATGTTTTGGACTATCAGCAAAGCCCAAATAATTGTAACTTGCCAAGTTCAAACAATGGATCGTTTCATCGGTAACATGAATGGTCTGATTATAGTCATCAGAGTAACGTTTCATCACTTCAATGTATGCACCAGGTCTGCTAGCAATTGGCCTGTTCCAACAATCACAAATACGACGATACAGTCTTCTATTATAAAAATCTTCATAGGATTTTACAAGAGGAGCAAAGCCTTTAGGATTTTGATGGATAGAACCAATAAATAATTCGTAGCAAAAGTCGCGGACGTGTCCCAACATGATGAGGATGGCATAGTTGAGGTAAGTGGTTACCAAAACCCATGATGATATATCACAGTGAGTCATCTTTAAATGTATGATTTCGTCGTTTCCAAACTAATGTTGCTGATGATTAGTAATTACGTGAGTAATCAACTCTCCAACAATCGGATAATGAGCAGATAATGAACAAAAAGAAGGTCTTTCCAATAACAATCACCTCTCCAAGGCCAACAAACACAGAGGTGTGAGTAATATTTTTTTTTTGTGCGACCGCCAACGTTTTGTTGAGCGCAACGCAACGAGGACATCATCACCCACAACGGCTACCAGACCTCATCATGTTGATTGTTGTCGTTTCGAATCCAAGTGCCCTTCATCCAACATTGTAGGATTCATGAGATGGTTGATTTGTGTTTGCTTGAAAAGAGGTGAATTCGAAAGCCTGTTGAAAAAGTTGGAAGGAGGATTAAGGTAATCTTTGGGACGACTCAACACCAAAACTTTATCAACATGCTGTTGAGAGAAAATCATTCTGTTTCGAAACAGATTGCCAAATATTTGAAAGTAATACTCTGTTAAAAGGTATATTCAACGCGTTGCAAATATATATTTATAGTATTATTAACTTGAAAACAATAACACTGCAAATACAACACAAGCGCTCATCAAGTTCCACAACACAACATTTCTTCTCAATGAACTTGCCAAGCTCGAATTGGATCGTTTTTGAGACAAGTCCACCAAGAATAAACTTGCTTGTAAAGTGGATGGTTCTTCTAATCGATTTCTCTTTGAAAGTGGTGTTGTCGTTCCAACTTTTGCTTGTACAAAACATGAGCTTGCTGTTTGTGATAATTTTTCAGGAAATAGTGAACTTGAGATTTGGAATGAAAATCCAAAAGCATAATTGGTGTTGGAGAAGGGATGGATTTTGGTAGAAAGCTCAGCATTTACTGTGGTGGATGAGCTAATAATTTTCTTCCACACATCCATTGTATCAGAATTATATTGTAAACATCCAGTGTCTTTTGGAAGACTTGCTACAAATTGCTTAAAGCAACACAAGTAGGCATCCATAACAGTAAGGTGATTGTTTTCGAGTAGAGCATACGATGTTGATGAAACCTTTACAAAAACTCGGTCATTTCCAATGAATGTAGATTTTGGATTCCAGCTAGTGGAATCGGAGGCAAGAGTCATTTCTGCTTGTAGTGTGAAATTTTGATTGGGTGGAGGTGTAATAATAGTAAAGTCAATTACAACTGGGAAATAAATATCGATCACATCGAGTACTCCAAGTCTTTTCAAGTTGGATTTGAAGAAAATGGTTGCTCTAAAATCTGATAATGCTTTTCCAGAATTTGTTTGAATAAAATAGTAATTCTTTTGACCGGATTGCATCCACAAGGATGTGTCATTTACTTGAGAGTCAAATTAGTAGTCACCAATATAAAATTCACATTTAAAACACCTTCAATAGTGGTGGTCTGTGAAGAATAGAGAACAGCAGAATAGGGATGCAATGGAGAATACTCTAAAAATTGATTATCAATTAAGGAAGTAGTTTTCACATAAATGGTCTCAGTTGTTTTGAATTCAAAAGAAGAACAAATTCCATCTTTGGCTTGACCTGTAGCATCAAAATATTGCAATGTGAGTGGCATGGTGAGTTTGAGAATTTCATTTTGTTCCTCATCCAACATGTGTTGTTTTGTTACGAGTGGATGTGCAATAATTTCACTCAACTTCAAATACGTGGTGTTATAATGTGCCAAACACATTGTTCTTGTTTTAGGAATGGAAGTTAAGGTTAGCGAATGATCACCACTCACAGAGCAATTGGACAGTGAGAAGTGAGAATTTCCAATGAACATTAAATGTTGATATGGAACCGTTTGGTCATGAGAAAAACTAACAGAAAAGTAAATACCATCCAAAGTTGATGTGGAAATAATGGTTGGAGTTGGAGCATGGATTGAAACAACATTTCCATCCACATTTTCTTGATTGAATGTACATTCTAGTTTTTGACAATTGTCTCCAATATATCCAGGATCACATTGACAAGTGTTCACATCTAAACATTGACCTCTTCCTGTGCATACATGTGGATCTGTTGCTAGAATTCCGCCACACATTTGAATATCACAATATTGACCACCGTAATTGACACATTCACATTGCTCAGCGCTTGTACATGCACCCTTTCCATTACAGACGGAAGGATCTGTAGCTAACGTTCCATTACATTTTGGAATTTCACAGAATGGACCAGTCCATGATGGTATACATTGACATGTATCTACATTTTCACAACTTCCTCTAGCATTACATACGGATGGATCTGTAGCCAAAGTTCCGTTACAAATAGGAATATCACAGAATTGACCAACCCATGAGGTCATGCATTGACACAAATCAACACCATGACAACTTCCTCTAGAGTTACAAACGGTTGGATCTGAGGAAAGAGTTCCATTACATTTTGGTATCTCACAATTTAATCCTCCCCAATTTTCATGGCACACACAACCCACTGATTTTCCAATACATGTTCCATGACCACTGCAAACTTGAGGATTGGTTGATAACATTCCAGCACACTTTGGAATTTCACAAAAACGACCACCATAATTGCTTGAGCAAACACAAACATCGAATTGAGAACAAACTCCATTTCCATTACAAACTGCTGGGTTATTACTCAGTGTTCCATTACATTTTACAACAATATCCAATGGTGTGCTTCCAATTTGTTCACTTCTTCCCAAATAATAAACCATCATATTCACTCTTCCAGCAAAAACAGCAGATCCACTCAATTGACAATTCAATGTTCCAATACCATACGTGCTAGAAGGTGTTGCACAACTCATATCATTGGAAGAAATCAGTTGCATGTTGTTATTGTAAAATAACACATAAATCTTATTTGGTTGAATTTCTGGTGTGATGGTATTGTCATTATCAAATATTTCATAATCTACTTGGAAATTAGTAGTGAGTGGTAAATTGACTTGAAGAGTGGAGGAACCTTTAGGAAAGAGTTGAGCTCTTGTAGCAATTTTGTAAACTGTGAAAGGTGTATATGGACCAAAGTTTTGTGCGTAGGCACCAAAAACGTTATTTGGATTATATCTGAGATTGTAGGTAGCAGATCCCAATGTAGAAGGGAAGAATGTTTGATATCCCTCACCATTGGCAACATTGAAAGAGAAGGCATTTTCCAAGTTGGTCACGGTACCTTGTTGCCAGGTGTCAATATCATTGTAAACTGTGAAAAATTTAACACTCACTTTGACCTCTGTGTGTTGATAAACTCTTTGACCAGAATACACAAATTGAGTATTAATAACACTATAAGGTGGTACAGCACAACCAACATCAATATAATAACGAAGATTCGTATTGAATATCCAATTGGTAGATTCTGCCACGACATAGATACCTTGCATTGGAATTCTCATGGTTTGACTGCTGTCATGGGCACAAGTGACACCACTACTCGATGGCATGGATTTTGTAATGGTCAAGTAGCTAAATGGTTGTCTACCAATAGCCAAATGTCTGTTCGCCTCATCAACAATATAATACTTGAATCCATCACTAGTACTTGTAGAATCAATCGACAAGTAACCAATCGTGGGAATCTTATTACTGGGACAATTCGTTCCAACCAATTGAGTAAAGTAATACACCGGCAAAGGACATGTATTGCCATTACAGGAACAATAACCACAGTAACACGAGGTAGAGGCAAGTGGTTCCACAATACCATTACCGCTTCCACTACCACTTCCACTACGACCATCGGGTAATGTTGAATTTTCTCTCCAATGAGTATCATTCATGGAATAATTGGCAAATGAAAATGTTGGAATCACTGTGGAAATATTGACATCAAGAGTATACTCGATTAATTGTGTGGTGATGTCCGTCTGAGTGGTATTGTTGTTGTTGTTGTTGTCTGTCAAGATAATTTCATTGTTTGGTTCGTGGGTGGCTGTGATGATTCTTGGAATGGTAGCGAAGAGGATTACAAACAAGAACAGAGAAGAAATGACAACAGGTTGTACGTTGACATTCATCAGATTTGTTGTCTTCGTCGTCGTCGTTGTTGGACAATGACCTCCTTCACGTTTCTTCATGAGCTGGAAATTACTATTTTTTTGGTATTGTGTTTGTCTCACACAAAGATTGTTTGCCTTCATGGCAAATTCTTGGAGACGTACTGCGTCATTTGTTGTTTTCATCGCATGATATCTTATTGTAGGCAAATATTTGCACAATATTAGAAAAAGTAATAAACCATGGCGAGAAACGTTTATTTTGGAATCAAACCTGAATTTTAATATATTCGTATGTTTGTCAAGCTTTAACATGGATTGATCGTATAACGCGACCTTAGGATCATTTAAACACATTGTACTCAAACTCTTTTAACAATGTCAATAAACAAGTTGTCAAACAACAAGAAAAACCCGATTGGAGTTCAATATTTCAAACTTTTTCACTTTCCGTCGAACGTCACTCATCACAATTTAAAAAAATGAGTCAAAATGGTGGTGGAGCAGCTCTAATCAATGACCTTTCCTCGACAGCATCATCATCGTCATTGACAACAACAACCATTTCATCTTCAGCTCATCCACAAGACATGTCACAACCAACACTCGTAACTGTCAATCAGACAAGAAGTAGTTTAAACGGATGGACAGAACTCTTTGATCCCAATTATCAACGATTTTATTATCATAATCCGGAATCGGGTGAAACAAGTTGGTACCAGTAAGTAGTCCTGTCCATGTGTTGTTGTTGTTATCAATGTTTCAATGATTTATTCTTGTTGACTTTTGACATTTTATATCTTCCATACCAACACGACACGATTATAATACTGTGTTTCACATCATTATGGACAGTCCCAGAGATAATCCAACTCTTCAAAAATCATCATCATCATCACAACAATTATCCAACACAACTTCCACTTCTTCACAACCATCCACAGAATCATCCAAGAATCATACTCTCACTTCTCAATCATCATCACAAACACCCCTACTGCTCATTCGTTCCAGTGATCCATTATCTTACAACCATGGTTCGACTCTTGAACTTTCCATGAAAAACGAAGAACTTAATTCTAGCACCAGCACCAGCAGCACTCCACTCACGAATCGAATGGGACATTCCAATTCGACATCTTCATTCCGAAATCGACGAGGAGGTGTCAATCCCGCCAGAGTGAGTGATTCTGAAGTGAGTCGAACCGTGAGTACACTTGTGGTTAATAATAATTCACAACAACAAGTGAATACTTCTCCATCATCCGTAATATTGAGAAAAAACAAACCTTCTCCAACAACCCTCACGACGACGACGACGACCAGTACCAACTCGAAAAGGAAATCGAATCGTTTGTTGAGCTCCATCTCCGATCAATACGATACCTTGTTTGAACGAGTGGAGAAGAACAGCCGGACCACTACCACTACCACCACCACCGCTGTCGTCTGCTCTACAGGAAATAATTTCACTCCACTTCTTACTTTATCCAATGATTCATTCACCATTAAGGACAAATTCATCATTCTTCATTTATCTCATTTAACTTGTGTGAATTCCTCTTCATCATCATCCTCTTCATCATCATCATTGCCTTTGTCATCATCCTCGTCCTCCTCATGTATTCAAGTCATGGAACAAGATTTGAAACAATCTCCTCTTTTATTTGCATGTTTGAGAGGAGATTTTCAAACCTTTACGGATCTATTGAGTCAACAACAAGTGGCAAGATCGAAAGCATTGAGTGAGTCATTACCCAATTCGAAATTGAATCCACTCCATTTGGCAGTCTCTTCTGGAAATATTCATTTGGTCAAGTATTTGATTTCATGCATTCAAATGAATAAGGAAGAAGAAAAAGAATGTATATCATTGAATCAAACAGCATTCAATTCATTGACTGCTCTTCATATTGCATCATTGTTTGGTTTAACACAAATTGCCTACTTGTTAATCGAAAGTGGAGCTGATACCACTATTGGATGTCACAGCACGCCATTGGCTCCTCCCTATTTTCAACCCTTATTAACAAAATATTTGACACGAGCTCGAGATATTTCTTCGAGTTTTTATACTCCATTTCTGTATGGTGTTTTTGGAGGAAGTGTGGAAATATTGATCATGTATGGAAATTGTCAACAGAGTCATGCAGTGAGTGTGGAACAGAATCGAGAGGGATTCATGATGGATGCTTTATCGTTGGCTTGTGTTTTGCAACATGTGAAAATGGTAGAGATTATGTTACGAGAGGATTATGTGTTTAATTATGATGTGAATTTTATGGATAATAATGGAATGAGTCCAATTATGTTTTTGGCATGGTCGAGTGGTAATGCTGGTATGTTGTTGTTGTTTCATTTGAGATGAATTTATTCTCGCTGACATTTGAATATATTCTTTTAAAGCAATTTGTGGTAAACTCTTGGCAAAACAAGCGAATCTAGTGGGTGTCAATAGAGCCAATGGTTATTCATGTCTGCATTTTGCAATTGCAGCTGGAAATTATGGTTTTATCAAGAAAGTATGTCGCTCCAAAGAAAACACTGAAGAGCTCGCCATCCTCTTGCGTATTCATAATCCAAAACAACCTCTAAATGCTCTCCAATTTGTGAACAGTAAGGAAATTGAATCGACCATCTCTGCAGACATTCGAAAAAAGATTGAATCCATTTTAAAGTCGTATGGGGCCACCGAAAAGACAGGTTTCAGTGAAATTGTGAAGGAAGGTTATTTGACCAAGCAAGGCCATGTTGTGAAAAATTGGAAAAAGAGATGGTTTGTATTGAGAGTGGGTGAATTGCAATATTTCAAGAGTATTCAGAAATTGAAAGAGCCAACAGGAACCATTATTTTGCAAAATGGAAGTGTTGCCAAAACCTTTACGAAAGGATGTTTTGTATTGTATGATTCTAGAAATGACAAAAAGTACTTTATTTTGGCTTCGTCTGAGGAGGAAATGAACGAATGGATGGAGGCCATTTCATTCTGCATTAACCAAGCTGGTGTGTAATAAAATGTTTGTAGCAAAATGTCAGACGGAGCCACTGAGGTTGACTTTTCAACTTGTTCGAGCTCAATACAATGGAACCGATTTCTTTCCAAAGCAAGTCGTCATCTTCTTACCAAGAGCCTTCTCATTTTGTTCAAGCAGTGAGAATTTGGATGTATTTCACAAGTTTTGAAACCAAATACCATTCACTCTTACCGCGTATCTTCCACAGGAGTTGTCTGAACATGTTGGTTCGCCTCAAGATCGTCCTCATTCTTTTGCAACACATCCACAACATTTCCTGAAATAAATTCATTACATCCAACAGACAATTGAACAGATTCACCCTCTGTTGGATTATGATTCCTGGGGGATGGAGTCAATATTTGGTCTCCTTTCACATTACCGGACGACTTGGTTTGTCTTCTCGGCGATTGAAGAGAATGATCAAAATTTCGAGGGCTTCTTCCTCCATAGGAACGGTCACAATTAATGACAATGCTATCCGTACTGGCGTTTGTGTCTTGTTCGTTTTTGTGATGAACACCCATCTCTCCTTTGGTTGCAATGAGATTGGAACTAGTTCTTTTGACTTGTAAATTGGAAAATTCCAACGATTTGGAAGTAACCTCAGCCGCTGGTGTTTCATGGGCTGTTGTTGGCATGGATTTTTGACTGTTATTGGTCGAGTGTGACTGAGGTTGCATGTAAGGCTGATGAGGAAAGATACGATTGGAATACTTTTCAATGTGATATGAAAGGGAACTTTCAGTGTTTGCAGTTGAGGTTTCATGTTGTGTATCAGCATTTGCCATTTCTTCGGCTCTCCGGTCGTTTCGTTCTGCGTTTCGTTGTTCCAATGCTGCGACTTCTAGTGCACGTTTCTCCATCAAGTATTCGTAGGTTGTCTTTTTTAGATAAACTGTTATTTGTGAGTCAGAGAAATTGATATATATCGAAATGATACTGTATCATTGAAAGAACAACGTACTTAGTTTGATGTGAAGGAAAAATAGCTGAGTGAGTGAAAGAGCAACTATTAAGGTCACAATTCCTCCAACCCCAACTACAACTAAATGTGCAATTGGATGAGAGAATGAGTAGATTGCGAGCAGTCTCTTTGAAAAATCTTCAAAATTAATGCTTCCTTCAATCACATATGCCACTTTCGCTAAAAAAACATAGAGCAGGAGAAAGTATGTGTCAGTCAAGAAAACGAAAAATATTTTGTAATTCTTTTCTCCAATGCACATGTTGAGCCATCGGCAATGATGATCAAAACCTTGTACGCATTTCATACATAATTTACAGTGTTTGCTCGTCTCGTATCTGTTTTTGGTAATTTTCAATATTCATACCCGAAAAAGAATAAATCCTATGAATCATGATAAACTCATCAAACCTACACAATTAACTTGCAATGTTTGCAAAATACTATTTTCTTTCCTTCATACACGGGTTCTAGTCCCTTTTCCTTTAATTTTATATGTTCATCAGCTGCATCGTAAAATGTCAAAATGATGTGTGTTGTTGCGCTAATGATAGAGAGTATAAAATAAATAACAGTTGCAATCACTTGATATTCAATTCTTGAAACTGTGGTAACCATTATATAAAAATCTACATGCATAAATACTAATCCGATCCATGCAATAACTTGGAATATATCCACAGGCCATTGTAGTCCGTGACTTCGTTTCGTTTCTCGCTTAGTAATTCCTCCCTATTCCAGTCAGCCATTTTTTTCATTGAATCACCGACGTATTCGTATCAGTGATGATCATCTCGGAGGATGAGGGAAATAATATCCTTCTACAAACCTTGCAATTACATCCAACACACATTCTTTGCTATTCTTTTCGCAAACCAAACAAATAAATTATTATTATAGGATGAAAGTTTCTCGTTTTTCATCAGGCTGCAAATGTTGAGAAACAATAATGTTGATGGCCACAACAATGATGACTCTAAAAGTTCTTTTTTTTTGCGTTTGGCGAATAGAGTTGTACTTTGAAGCGCGACGGAGAAACTTTTGCCGCCAATTTTTAAATTACACCTTAAAATAAAAAAATTCATGCTGGTGCGACCATCATCAAATGACATCGACGAGCACCAAAACGAATGATGAATCGGGAATTTCAAAAACTCCATCATCATTAATGATGTCTTCTAATACATCAGTGATGGCTTCCTCCAATGAGCCTAACCTGTTGGAATTCAATCCTGCATCATTGTACGGGTTTTGTACAGGATGCACCGAGAGATATTTTGCAGGAGATCATGGAGGGTATCCTCCTTTTGAACTTGTAGAAAATTGTTTTAAAGAATTCGGAATGAAAGGAGAACGAGATAAACAATTTATTGCTGATGTAATTATTGGAATAGAACGATATTCAAAATTTATTGACATCTCTTTAGAAATATTTTCAAAATGTAGCTCGAAAGAGAATGAGTTTTTGATACTCAATAGAGAGAGAACAGATTATTCTGTGGTGTTGTATACTTTGTACTTTTTATTTCCTTCAGTTTTACCTTTAGATTTTGTAAAAGATTTTTTGTCCAATGCAATGACGCCCTCAAAGCGACAACGGTTCATACTCTTCATTTACAATTCCCAAAACCTGACAACGTTATTTATGGAAGAGTGGAGCAGGCTGTATGAAAAAGAATGGATTGACTCTCAACTTTTAAGCTCAATACGTCAACATGAAGAAATTGTGACCTCGTGGGCTTCCAAAATTGTAGGCAAGGACAAACCACCAAAGAAGTCGGATACAGTTTTTGAACCATTTAATTTAACAATGCAAAAAGAAAAGAAGCAACCAGTCGAAGAAGTAATTGAATACACATTCAAAACTAAGGAAATTCCTGAAACAACTTACAAACCCGAGAATCCTGCCATCTCCAAAGCTCTTGACATGTATAAGGAGAGTAGAAAATCTATACCTTTTCTCGATGAGCAGATCATTGAGAACAATAGGAAAGAAATTTCGAAATTGCGAGAAGAAATGGAGAGAGCCAAAGTGCCCAATGCTCCACCAAGAGCAAGAAAAAAAGATATCGAGCACACTATGGAATCTGTGACTTCTCCCAAACCAGTCATTAAAGACATTGAGCAAGTACGAAAAGTATTAGACGCTCCTGCCAATGTCAAGCTCAATGCAGCAGCAATATTGAGAGAAGAAGCTCTTATTCGCAAAAAACAAGAGAAGGAAGAAGAATTACTTAGAAAGTATGAATCTGAGTTGAGGGACGAATCTGCCTTCAAATCATGGCAAGAAAACATGAAACTTCAAGACGAAAAAAAGTATTTGGAAGAAATCGAACGGAAGAAGAAAGAAGCGATGGAAAGTGACATTAATGCTAGGCTCGTACGAGAGAACATGGCTGAAAAAAACAACAAACTTGCTGTGGAGCAAAAGAAAAAGAGAGACGAAGAAATCAAAGAGCTTAAAGAAAAGATAGAAAAAGAGCAAAAAGTATTGGAAGAGAAAAACAAGGAATTTGCCAAAGAAATTCAAGAGAAAATTCAAGTAGTGAAGCACGAAATTAAAAAAGAAAAGAAGAGAACAGCCAACGAAATTAAGAGAGAAAGTCAAAAGAATGAAAAGATCATCAAACAACAACATGAAGAAGAACAGCGAAAGCGCGAAGATCTCATCAAACAAATTAGAGCTCTTGTAAATGCTCCAAAAAGGCAAACCAAGACCTTTGACCGAACTGAAACTTCAGAGGTTGGATTGTTAGCTGAAATGTCCATCGTTCAGTTGAAAGAGCGATTAGACGAATTGAAAAAGATCGAAGAGCAACAAAGAGAGGAACGAAAGACGAATATCATTTCAAAAAAGAAAGAAAAAGAAATGGAAATGCAAAACAAGTTAAATCTTTTGAGAAAACACCGAGATCAAATGAAAAAAGAAAGAACTACGAACAGGATGAAAAAGCTAGAAATGATTGAGACACACACCAAGAATGCAGAAGAATTAAGGAAGGAGGCACTACTTTCTCTGAGCGAAAAATTGGAGCAAAAACGAGAACTCAAATTGAAAGAACAACGACTTCAAGAAGAGCTCAAGCAAGAACGACTGAAAGAGAAACAACGTCTTCACCAAGAGAAGGAAAATGTGGAAAAGAAACACTGGGCCAATCAAGAGATTGGAGCTGAAAGAATGGCTCTCGCACGTATAGAGCAAAGCAAGAAAGAAGCTCCTGTACGAAATACGGCCAAGAGAATTGGTTTATTGAAAATGTCATCCTCTTCTGTTCGACCAACATCCACAAAAGACGACAGCATCCACTCCAAACAACAAGCCAGTGTTGCTTCCTGTGAGCAAGGGGATGATTCAACACCACCCATGACAACCCTCAATGATGATGAAAATGGGAGTTTCCGTGTGTCACAACAACAACAACAACCTGCTGACCTCTTGAAAGATCCACTACAAGAAGAGGTGAAATAAAAACGATGAACGAAAAAAATTCTCATCAACACACTCTTTTCCATCATCATCCCTTCCGTCCATAAAGTTCTCTCAAAGTGTCGGCATTGCTGTATCAGACTTCACATTGTCGTCGTCCTAACCCTTCTCCGTGTTCATCTTTGCGATAAACCTTTCATATTTTTCTTCTCGTCATCATCATACATTTAAAAATTATTACACAAAAGATATCATGGAATCAAAACCATCATCACCTTCGGAAGGAGTAAAGAAGAGTGCTTTCAAGCTGAAAATCGAGGAACTTGCCAACGCAAATGCTGGCATAGGTTACAGTGTTTGTGGTGGTGTGAGTGGAGCTGTTTCAAGAACAGTGGCTGCCCCCTTTGAAAGGCTTAAAATTCTGTTTCAAGTTCAGGACCTTTCTGTTCAAAACACAAATCCAGGAGAAGTTAAATATAATGGTATATTTCGTAGTTTAATTCAAATCGGAAAGGATGAAGGAATAACGGGATACTTTAAAGGAAATGGTAGTAATGTTGTGCGTATTGTTCCCTACACGGCAGCACAATTTGTTTCCTATGAAAAGTATAAAGAATTTGCTATGGCTAGGTCGGAAGATGGAAAATTGACCACTGTTCAAAGACTTGTGTGTGGTGGTTTGGCTGGTATGACTTCTGTTGTTGTTTCCTATCCACTTGATGTGGTGCGGTGTCGATTGAGTGCACAATATGAACCAAAAATCTATCATGGAATTAATCATGCTTTGAAAATGATTTACAAACAAGAAGGATTGTATGGACTATATAGAGGTATGGTTCCGACCCTACTCGGAATTGCTCCATATGTTGCTCTTAATTTTACAACCTATGAGAAATTGAAAGTATTGTGCTTGGAATATTTAGGATCTGATAGTTTAGGTATTGTTACCAAGTTGGCTCTTGGAGCTGTTAGCGGAACTTTTGCACAGACCGTTAGTAAGTATTGACTTGTAGAGTCGTGATGATATATTATCAACAACTATGCGAATGATATTCTTGCAACCAATCGTTTGTCAATGTGAATCATTTATATTATTCATTAATATTATCATTTATATTGCAACTAATCGTCTATGTGAATCATTTATATTACAACCATCATCCTACACTTATCATGATTATTCAAATTGCTGAATTGGATGACAATTACTGTTATTTGTACAATGATTCTACAATCATAATTTAGCTTATCCATTCGACGTGGTGAGAAGAAGAATGCAAATGGTTGGTATGGGAGGTAGTACTGAGCACATTTCACTATCGGCCGCTTTCCGTCAAGTTTATCAAAGATATGGTTTTGTTGGATTTTACAAAGGTCTTCTTTCGAATTATTTGAAGGTCATTCCAGTTGTTTCCATCAACTTTGTTGTCTACGAATACATGAAGATTTTCCTTGGATTATCTAAAGAAGGATCAGGAGAAGTTTAATTTGCTCCAATAATGTATGCTAAAATTTTGGGTACGAGTCTATTGAGAGAAATTTTGCTTTATCATGGAGAGCTCACTAAAATATTGGAATAATTTATTTTACTTTTTCTTTTTCTTTTTTTGGGTGGACTCTTTTTCAGATGAACCTGATTGCTTTTTTCGTTTCTTTTTCGAGTCAGAGGCATTCGAAGACTCTGCCACTGGCACTTCTTGAGCTGGCAGTAGTGTAGTGTCCGAGTACTCATACTCATCAACATTTGGCTTTCCGAATAGAGAAATGTATTTTTCAAGAAGGGGCAACACGGTCGTCTCAAACGCCTCATGCACACGCCTTGTTGGCATGAGAGTGTTGACGTCAAAACCTAGCTTTGTTAAAATTGTTGCGTGATAGAGATAGTCATCATAATTCATTAACTCTCTTCTCGAGTAAACTCCTGGTGTCAAATTTGCAAATAATGAAGCATCAAACTTGTTGATTTCTTGTTCAGCCTCTGTTTCATCTTGTTCTTCAATCTCTTCCATAGTTGTCAATACAGCTGGTGTAGAAGCCAATCGTAGTTTTTCTTCAAGTAATCGTTGCTTTTCTGTCTTGATTGTTTCAAGTCTGAGTCGTTCTTTTTCTTCTTTTTGTTTTTGTCTAATTAATTGCTGTTCTTCTTCATTTCTCTTTTTTTTAATGGCCTCAATTTTCTTTAATTGTTCTCTCAATTCGTTTTCTCTTTTTTCTGCTTCGGAGGATCGTGAGTATAGCATTTCTAGATTTTGTTTTCGCCTCGTCTCGTAATCGTAATCATACTCAACTGCCATGAGAGGATGCTTTTTCAATTTTTCGTTTGGAATGGATCGTTTTTTAGCTCGGTGTTGTAACAAAGCTTTTGAAATTTCATAATATCTCTTTTTTAAATCCTCCACAGATCGGGGTGGAACAGGTGAGTGTTGTGTCTTGAGTTCACTTGTACAAAATCGGTCGTGTATGACCATAAACCGTAAATCATATTGTTGACACAATGAAAATAACAGATCTGTCTCCTCTCGACTCCAATTTTCATTCTTATGCAACGGCTCTATTATTTCTTTATATTCATCATCGTCATAGCTAAAAACTCTAGTTTTCTTATTCAAGATTTCAAAAGGGTAATTTGGAGCCACTTGCTCATCATCGTCATCATCCACTCGAGTCCAATGAAATAAAACGGTTCCATCATCTCTAGCATTATTCAAAAAAGCTTTCCATCTCCACTTGTCTGTTGTTTGAATAATTTTACGTTTTGCTGATTGTCTCCGAGGTGTTTCCAATGAAGGAGAACGAAGAGGAGTTGATGTAATTGCCAAAGAATGAGTAGCATCTTTTTGCTTTCCTTTCAACACTGTGCTTGATTTCGGAGAAAGTATCTGATCCACGAGGGTTGACTTCTTTTTGGCAGAAGCATCCACGCCCAACAAATCCGCATAATCAGACATTTTTTTTGTTTTATTAAAATGATTTGTTGTTAATTTGTTTGTTTGTTCATCGTACAAAGATCTCAAAAACTGGTGCAGAGTATAAATCTAATGTAATAATAGGATTATTCCAAAGCTCCCAAAGTGTTTTGTCCCGAATAGGAGATGTATAAAAAGCCATCTTCATCCTTGTACTTTTCATAAATAGATCCCATGAGATCCGTTTGCATGAGGAGCACATCCTTTCCGACAAAGAAGAATAGCGAGGTAGTTTCATCAACTGAGAGTCTTCCTCGTACAACCATGACAAATTGTGAAACGTTTAAGTCGGCCGGAACTAGATACTTGTTCTTATCAATGGAGGGTAAATCCTGTTCATGAAACAACAATTGGTGATGTAGAAATTTCAGGAAGGAGTGGTTTTTGCAGAAATTTCATATTTACAATTTTAGACATTGTTCGAATTGATCATTATCAAATTAATCCATTTCATGATGAAATAACGGCAGCAACATTGAAAATTATATCAATGACCATCGGAATGTAACATCCATATGATAATAATATGATGTACCTTGGAAAAACGAGTGACTATAGTACGTACCTTCTCAACGGCTGATTTCTCGCAAATCACGGGCACACGATCTGGATATTTCTCTCTCACTTTTCGTGATTCTTCAATTCTTTCTGTGAGTGATTTCTGTTCTTTGAATGCCTTTGGTTGACTTGTAGACTTGGGTCGGTTCGATGGCACAAGGGACTCTTGACTCATTTCTTGGTGTGGTTAAATTGATGAACCGTGATTGCTGTTAGAGATTTTTATTTGTCTATTTTCGAATTGCGCAAAAAAAGGAATTGGAAGAATGTTAGAAGACTCTTTTCGACTATTACTACTGACAGAGACCTTGGTTGGGGTAGATCCTCTCTATTCTTCATTGCCACTACTATCGTGCTCAGGATTTGATGTTTCTGTGATGGATGATTGGTCATTATTCTGATCGAAGTGTTGGAGTTGTTGAGAGAGAACACTGTCAAGCTCAATGGTTTTTGAAACTTTTTCATCCAAAAAGAGGATGGTTTGATTTTCTTGAAGGAAGATGTTTAAGATCAGAGGTAAATAAATGGAGGTAATCTTGATATGTTTGTGTTCGTGTTTGTTGCTTTCTTGATAACTGTTTCGGAGTGGAATTACAATTCCATCATTGAAATGAGTGTTTGAATACAATACACCATGATATTAACAACCATTAGAATGATGAAAATAACACTTGCCTAATATTACAGGTGAAGGTATTTACAGTAGTAACATCTGTAATTTGTTTGTACAAAAGGAATAGTTGTGTTTTGGTTTGTTGAGTAGGGTCTACAATGGAAAATCCGTTTTCATCTAAAACGATATATTTCCTGTGCCCTAGTGTCGTTGAATGACAATAGCAGTGTGACAAATTCGATCAAAATTTAGAAAAAATTTAAATCATTTGTCATGAAAATTAGAAATGCATTTAAAATACTCTCGAACCCAAATATATTGAAAACTCAACTTACACTTGTCACTCTTAATTAAAATTTCCAGGGATGAATGATCCAATGCGGAAATGTTCTTTTTCTTTTCTGTTGTTGAGGATGTATTGGAGCTGGAACCGTAAAATAAACCCACCACAGGCCCAACACTGTATGAATATAATCCAGAAAGAGATGCTCCAAGATAATAATTGAATCCACTTGTGTATGACTTGTGTTTGTCGGAATTTGAATGAGTGACAGAGTTGTCCGTTGAGCTATTGTGAGAAGAGGAATTTTCCATTTTTGAACTACTTCTACCACTAGAATTTGCACTAAAACTAAAACTCGATGGAGTCAAGCTCTTAATATAAGCGAAGGGATCAATCTTTTTTCCTTTTGCATTATAAATCACTCGTTGCTCCTCCTCATCTTCAACATCTCCATACTCTATGGCTTGTAAAAATCCATTTTCATCTAATTTAATTTCTACAGGTCGCTCTTTTCGTTTGGTTGAAATTTCATGACTCTTTTTCTCATGAATTTTCAATTGATCCAACACGTGATTAATGATTGTACTCGTATTCGAAATACTTTTCAGTCCCACAAAGTAATAACTGGTGTTATTTCGAGTTTGAATCCACAGTACGGATTTAAATAGATAGGAACTCTTTGTGCATTGAGCAATATCTTGCAGAGGGATCAAAATGCATGAAGTGTTCGATTTGATTTCTCTGTTTTTGAATTCGGGTACATAGGTCACATCGACAAAATCCTCATCAGTACTTCCAAAGATGGTCATTGGGGCATTACTTGATCCTGGAGAGGATCCTGTTGAACTCTTGACGCTGTTGAAAATGTTGGTGGATGTATTCATGACCATGGTAGTGGCTGTGTTCATTAAACCACTACTACTAGCACCACTACTTCCAGTACTACCTACGCTACCAGAACCTGATGATCCGTTTCCGCATCCCGATGACGAGTTTCCTCTATTCCTTCCTGTGGACGTTTGTGCTGGCGATGAATCGTATTCAAATAAAATAAATCGTGGTGTGATGAATAAATTGCCAGCCGAGGGAGCAACCATATTATTCCAATATTGGCATTTGAATTGTTTAATTAATAAGAATGAATTATCGGAAGAGGGAGGTAGGTTCATCTCTGGGTCGTTCAAAATTCAAGCCATACAACTGAAACCGACACAATCAAACAATTTTTTAAATTTACAATTTCGATTCATCAAAACTTGGTTCTGCATTCAAATCAGGGCAGCAAACCAAATAGATTCAACTTCAAAAAAGTTTAGATTTGTTAAAAATTCTACACGCAACGAAATAATTAATTACAGCATACAGAAACACAGCATACAGTTACGTCATCAGATTTGCCATGTCGTTTAAACTCTCCAGTCACCTTACTCAGCCCCATTGAGAAGGGCGTATGATTGGGGAGTGTTGGTGAGTTGTATCTCTTGACCGCTTCCTGTACAAGTTTTTTTGAAATGCTGTGACAACTTGTGGCTGTCCTCATAATTTTCAGAATATCTGAATCAAAAAGATTATCAAACAATCCATCTGTTGCCAGCACAATGTAGTCTCCTTCACGTAAGGTACAACAATTAATGTGTAAATCTGCACAACTGGGATCGTCCTTAATTAACTCATCGCTATCAAGCTCTGGAGGTATTACGGAAAGTTGATATGGAGCGTTAAAGTAGTGTTGTTGCTCCTTACTTCGATAGATTACCTTGCTTTTTTGTTTGTTCACCACAGCAAACCCAGAATCTCCAAGATTTGCATAAGAGAGTTGATATAAATTTTGAGGTAGAGGTTTTAAAAAGATGATACATGCCGTGGTTCCTCCTGCTTTCACTTGATTGAACTCTGTCATTAACCTAAATGCTCGTTCAAGTAGAATTTTTGGATGTACAACCTGAGGAAGCTCAAGACCTCTTGCTACCATTGGTTCGTATTCTTTTGGGATATGGTAATTATTTTCTGCAACAATTTGGTTCAGTTGATCGCTACAGAGCAAAAGTTTGCAATTCCACATTAATTGTCGACTCACTAGGGATGGGTCAATGTCAAATGCCATCCATCCACCAACTCCGTCTGCAATACCAAAACTGTACACTTCATGCTTTGCACTGTAGCAACAGTAGTATGCATCTTCCCCTGTTGGATGGGTATTCTCGTCACACATGGGTTTTTGTTTACTGTACACTGACACTTTCAGAGCTTTTTCGCTAATATTTGCGTTGGCATCAGCCCCACTACCTGAGGCCTTTTTAATTCGATATTGGAGATTCAATTTTGACTTTGGAATTGGAGGTGGTGTTAGAAGTGGTATTTTTGAGGGTGAAATAACCTCGGAAAATAATTGCTTATTAATGTTATATGTTGAATGTAGATCAAATGGATTATTACTCTAAGAAATCCATATCATGTGTTTGTACAAATGTGAATGTTGGATTCCAAGCAATGAATTGATCCAAGACAATTAAGGAACCATAGAATGTGACACACAACACGTCGATAACAAAAAACCTACCTTGACAATGGGTGTGATGGGGTGATTGATATAGGACGCTTCAATAGTGTCAACATCTTCTTCTTCTTCAAATGTTGATACGGTGAAGGGCGAGAGGGCTTGTTTGTTACTACTTGTGGGAGATATGGGTGCTATCGTCTTTGTTGTTGGCGTGAGAGATTGAAAATTTTTCTCTTCGTTCTTTTTACGCCCTAGTGGTGATGTAGGCTGACTTTTGCTACCGTTCAAACTATTAGGATTCGAATTCGAAGCATTAACACTGAATGAATTCCGCACGGGTTGATGAAAATCTCCTCCAGCTGATCCAATCCCTCGCTTGGAACCTGTAGAAGTTGAGGATGAAAAGAAATGAATGAGTGGAGATGTGTTTGGTTTTGGAGATGTTACCTTAGAATCAATGGTTGTTGTTGGTGAGCTTGATGAGATATTGACTGAATTGGTGGAACTTGTTGATGCTGAGGACAAGCCAGCCGTAGAACCGACCCCACCCACGCTACTCGACAGAGAACTTGATTTATGTTTTGTTCCTGTTCCGAACTGCGAAGATTTTGAAAGAGACGATGATCCTGTAGCTGATTTTCCTCTGTTGGAGCCCGAAGCTGGCAGCGTTGCTGAAAAGGTTCCTAAGGCCCTCGACGACGATGATGAAAACGAAGGAGATGATGATCGTGTCGTAGTAGTATTATTGCTATTATTGCTTCCCAAGTTATTGAAATTGACGCCACCATGGGAACTGTTCCTCATTTTTTCAAAAGCTCTACTGATTCAGTAGCAGCATCTCGAGAGAGAAAGAGTCGCGACTTGATGAATTGTGATAGTACCAAAATCGTAAAGTGAAAGGCGGGCGCAGTCTTTTGCATCCAACATTGCGAACTTGGCCCAATATATAACATGGGCTATGTGTTACTTGGGATACTCTGATTCCAATAACACGCTGTATTAATACATGCTCTTTATCTAGGTTTGAATTCCTTAATAGCTTTGTGTTGGGATGTGGTTGGTACTTGTTGCTCTTCGTGTTGTATGAGAGCGAGTCTCTCAATCAACCAGCAACACACCAAATAAAATGAGTGGCCACTCTCCCGATGAACGCACTCTCTCCTCAACATCATCTTCCTATGGGGGATCGCTGTTTGAAAGGCTTGAACATCCGAATGTGGATATTAAGAGGAGAAGCATGGCAAATATTTTGAATAAATTTAAATATGGTTTGATGAGTGCGGAAATGTTGGAAAATGATGAAAATGTTCTTACTGCCCTTCTCAAATGGTTCAACAATAATCCTTGTTTTTATTATAGACAAGTCATACAACTCGTATGTGAATTTGCTAAGGTTTGTATTGCCAATTTGGAAAGGAAGTGATTCATATATTTCCGTCAACGCATTCAGAGAAAAACAAGTGCTTCAATTTTAATTGAAATTGGGGCCATCGGATTCTTTCAAACTCTTCGACTCTATGCACCTGAAGATATTTATGCAGATGTTGATTTCATAGTGGGTCAATTAAAAGCATTCAGAAAAGAGATGGAAAGCCAGGAGGTCTCAACAACTGTCACAACAGAGACGAGGCAAGTGGAACCTCACGTTCACGAGGAAATGCAACGCTATCATCCTACCTCATCTCAACACAATTATTCCCTCGAATCAACATCTCAACCCATCCAGAAACGCATGACAGTTAAAAAAATTGCACTTATGGAGTCAGACAAGCAATATCTTTTTGAAATTAACATTCGATTACAACAACGACGTTCGGAAATAATTCAGGAAGCTCTACAAGAGCTAAAAAAATCTCCCCTTACAGAATTTCCTATTGAATGCCTTGTTCAAAATTCTGATATTATTCGGGTAAGTTAAATCATGTTTTTTAGAGTTTTAGTGATCACTTCAAAATAGTCACTCACCTTAATTCTTCAAAATGATCATCCACTACAAATTGAACACGACGTTATTTCATGCCTATGTACCATATTTGAAAAACTTTCGTTGAAAATTCAAGATAATGACGTTCAAGAAGCTGATTCCGTATTAATTGATTTTAATTCTCTTGTATTTATTTTAAAATACATGTATTCCAAGCTGAGGAGCGCATGTAAACGAAAAATATCGCTAATTGGAAAATGTAACGATGTGCTAAAACATGTAGTGGATTGTTTTTGTGAGCCTATTTCAGAATTGGATAAGTTAATTGTTGTTGAAAGCTCTGTCAATATTTTGCAAGACCTTATTTGTTGGATCAGTGAAACAATGGATTCCATTGACAAGTACAAAATTTTAGATTTACTAGCTCACTTGTTGTCTAAATGTGATTCAACATTGGTATGTAGAAAAAGTGTATTTGCTCCAAATTGTTAATTCGATGTGTTAAAAGCTTTGTAAAATCTCGTCAGTGCTCATGCCGACCATAGAAGCATTTGTTTTTGACCCTGTATTGCACCTTTCATTTCCAAATATTCATTCAAAAGCCTGTGCACAATTGAAGCGACTTGATCCAACAACATTCAAAGAATATCTTTCCACTTTCCAATTCATTGAATCCTTAAATTGCTTTGACGAAATAACACTTGAAAGTGAACTGAAACCTCTCTCTAGTGCTATTGAGCATTTGGAACGAGTTAAAACAGCAATTCCGGCGCTCTTGCTGTGCCAAGAAAAAAATGGCTTGGAACGCCTTCTTCAAGAATTGTTTGTATCTGCAGAATTTTTGGAAGACATTTGTCCTTGCCAAACTCTTCTCAAGATACTCCTTTCACATCAATCAGAAGCAGTTAGAGCCTACACTATACATTTTATCTCGGAGGATCTACATTTTTTCTTTGAGAAATTAGCATCAGATGAATTAATTTACTTGATTTGTTTGCACTTTTTCCGAACCAACTCATCAACACCTTTAACAGCATTGGTTCAAATTATTCAACATAATCCCAAGTCAATCAAATTATTTTCGTCATTCATTCCGCTATTACAATGCCTGTTACATTATTGTGAAATTGTCGGGAAAACAGATGGTATTGATGAATTTTTATTGGCATTACATTTATTTGAGCGAGTCATGTCAAAAAACGAGCTTATTGCGTACAATATTCGATTTTTATTTCATAAGTACAAATGGTAAGTTAATGAGCTAGTGTTAACTTGGACGACTGACTTTTGTGTGTAGGATTCGAGAGGCTGCATCTACCAATTTAAAAACACTATTAATGAACGAGCCAACAACATATGGCTCAGACCTGTTTGACTTTGGTGAGAGCGACCCATTGATGAGTATATATTTGGACGACATTGAGTACATTTTTGAGACTAACTCAACAACAACAGATCTTGCTTCAAACGAGGAAGTTCAAAGTCTACTGTCGTTATTCAGAGAGACGAAAGATTTCGAAATTTTTAAGTCTGTCACTTCGCAGCTATTCAACATTGTTAAGGGTAAGTAGGTATGATAAATTCTTACAAGAATTGTAACATGAACTTTGTTCCAGCAAATAACACCGTAAAAGACATGTTTAATCAGGAATTTTTGCAATTGGCCCTTCTAAAGTTGTCAGAATATACATGTACAGAACTGTTGTCTCTATTGTTTGTGGTGGTTGTCAATGTTTCTTGCCCAGTGTTTTGCTCCTTATCGGGAATGCTTCTTCTCTCGCCATGTAAGTATCTCATTGCATTACAATGATTATATCAATTATCTGATTATGATAGTACTGTTCCACAAGGACATGTTAACGAGAAAATTAGCATTTAAAATCCTGAGCGTAGCAGCTTTTTCAAAAGACTTGTTTATTAGAGAAGTGAAGGATATGATCGTCTCTTTGAACAATCCCCATAATTCCAGAATTTCATTACCTAGTCTAGTATTAACGAATTTCTATGACATCAATAATTCATCACCGTTTGAGATTGAATGCAGCCATGAACACAACAAGATATCGACGCGAGCACTTCATTTTGCAAGGATTGTCAAATTATTTGTTGACAAACAACTCGAGAAGGATGCAATTCTTAAAGACAACCCACAACTACTTGTCCTCAAAGAAATTCATCCAGATTTTCACATTAATTTAGCCTTAACGAAACTGTCTCAATCAAGAAGTCATAGCGAATTTTTGACAAACCTACATTTTTTGCAGGATTACCTACTTCTTGATGATTCTTGTATGAGAAAATTCGAGGAAAGCGACTGGAGAAGAGTGTTTTTAAAGTTCTTACATAAGACTCCAACGAGCCAAGCTGATGATCTCGTATTGGAAAATCTTATTGAATTCTTTTCTGAGATATTCACACACCACGTACCGGATAAGGACACTATAACAGAGTTGGCGTACTGCTATTGCAAAAATTTTTGTGAAATTTTTTACATCGAATCTTCTCAATCACAGATCGAGAGGAAGGGAACTCGTTGCACCTTGTTGAAATTCTTGTGCTCGTGTTTGGAATTTTTGTGCTCATTTGGCTGCAGGGACGAACTGAAGCTACTACTGAATGATGAATACCTATTAATCTCGTTGAAAAGATATATTGAGCAAAAGAAAAGCTACGACCTTCGCATCCTTGCATTAAGATGTGTATGCATTGCAGTCCTGAGTGGAGAACCCTTTTCTACAGAAAACATGGAACTAATCAAGTCCTTATTTACAAACTTATTCCAGTTGGTACAAGAAGAGCAAGAAAATGTTGAAAATGGTATTTACCAAAAGTCTCACTTTCTAACAATGGCGCTTTATACACTTTGCTCTCTATCGTCAGTTCTTAGACAATGTAAAATATCTACGTTCGATTTGACGAATTTAGAGCAAATGGAAGAATTGATTTTCTCAAAACAACTTCTCATTAGAACGTCAGGATTCCAGATTATTTCCAATGGAATTATCAACTCCCAGAAACTGGAAGCTCTTTGCGGACACAATCGACAACTCATTGATTTGATCATATCAAGAATTTCCAGCAATGATAGCGAGTCGTCAAAAGAAGGAGCACTCTGGACTCTATGCAAAGTACTTTCAGTGAGCTCTGCTCCATTCGATTCATTTATTGAGAAAATTCCTTTCATAGAATTGTTCAAACTTCCAACGCATCAATTTTTAGAGCCTACAACCTCTCTTCTTTACACAATCCTGAAAAAGGATCCATCCTCACAAAGCAAAATTTTAATGGAAAAAGTGGCCTTGTCCTTCTTACTCAGTAGCCTCAAAGCCGTTTCCAACATGGAGACTCACACAACAAGTACCCTTAATTCTTTACAAAATCTACTATTGGTACTGATACAAATTGTTGAGAATAATAAGGATTTATCAACATACTTGATTAAGGAGACGGTGATTTTTGAGTGCATGCTACAGATTATTCATTCGCTTCATCACACTCTGTCCAATGAGAATTTCCAATCAGTTATGGAGCTCGCCTTGGTAATCATGAACAACCTTGTTTCAAATATCAAGGGCGATAGTGTCTCTGACTATGTGAGCTCGAGAGAAGGGTTGCTACAAGCGCTGCTCATATGCTTGAACGAGAACAATTGCTCAAATCTTCGCTTGACAACTTGTAAATTGTTGACCACGTTGCTTGGAAGAAAATGTTTTCCAATACGGGCTTCTTCTGAGAAATGTGACGCAATTATTTCGAGACTTGTTTCTCTTTATACATCAATGGAAGATGCTTTTTTCATGGATGAAGTTATGGATGGTCTAAACATTGTGGGAAAAGCTTTGGCGTGGCTGCTCTCCGCCTATGGAAAGAATTGTCAAGCATCTACTCAACGAGAATTATCGCTGGCACTCGTTAGCTTTAATAAGAGACTTTCCTCATCTCTCTCCATTGAATCTATTCGAAGAAATAATAAGGAGATTGGAGGCAGTGAACGATTGAAAGAACAGCTTTGTCTCAATTTAACTATATTACAGCAATTGCTGATAGGAACGGAAGCCAAGAAAGTTTGCACCACAGAGTGTAATATTATTCAAGAGTTCAAACTTATGTGGTTCTCCAACTATGCTGACAATGATTTGAAAATGCTCATTGGCTTGGTTATGAATAATTTATTTTGTGGAAATGAGAGAGCTAAAATTGATGTTGCTACCGATCTCAATAAGCACCAAGCCAGTGCATGGATTGTGGATCTCGTTTCTCAAGCAACCTCTCTCAAGACCAAGCTCAGCTCTACCATGACATTTTTCAATTTGCTGACAGTACTGGTTTCCTCGGCTGAGGTTAGATTTTCCATGATCAAGTATTTAGTTTTTGAAGGAATGATCAAGTCCATGAAAGACAATTTCATTAGAAAGAAAGATGACAACCGATTAGAATACTGTCTGTGCATGTTTTCTCACTTGTCATTCTTTGAAGATTGTCATGAGCTACTCCTTAACAAAGACACGGTCGATCAAATGGTAGATCAACTCGTGAAATCTCCGAACGAGAATGTGAAAGAGTATATCATGCTAATTTTTAGAAATTTGTTATTCTGTAAGAGCATTAGTACCTTAATACTACGAGTTGAAGAGTTAGTCGTGACAGCACTTCGTCTGTGTAATCAATGCCCGAACAATGTCAAGTTGCAATCCTACTGCACAAGTTTCATATTTACATATCTTTCATTATATTTGGATGTAAGTGTTGTTATTTATCATTGAAATATCTCACAACTTGCACTTTTAACTAGGCAAAGAGAGTACTCAAGAAAAATGTCATCGTCGAGCTACTCAGAGAAACTCAATCAAAAATATGCTCTGAAAATCAAGAACAATTTAAAAAAATTCAGAAGCTTGTTGAACTTTAAAGCTTGGAAGTTCTCATAAAGGAACGAGCAGAATGATTCTCGTGGTCATTATTCAAAAAATGCTCTCTTTTCACAAAAGCATTTAAAATGGATGTCAAACCTGAATTCAATTCATAAATAACTTGCTCTTTTTGTTCAAATTCAAGGTCGGCCACTTGTTTGGAGAAAATATTTGCAAAGTAGAATGCAAAGTAGGTGCTCCAGTAGTGCCACTTTGAGTTTTCTGAGGGTACTGGTATCAGTCTATTCAATATTCCTGAATATTTTGCTTTCACAGTGGTTATGTATGAGTACAGCTTCTTTGATTTTCCAAATAGAGTGTTCTCATCCTCGGACAATAGCATTTCTATCAGTGAGCCAAGATATGGATTCATGTGCTTGAGAGAGGTGACTCTATCTTTGATAAGAGAGAGAATAAAAGGATCGTTCATGAATACAGTTAACGAGCTGGATTTGGATTGTCTATCGTTCGTTGGAATCTTTTTCTTCTCATCATTGAATTTAGGAAATAATATCTTCTTTGTTTCCTTGTCCATGAATTGTGCAAAAGTTCGGATCATTAATTTAGCCATAAGCTCGTTTTGCTTTCCAACAGTGTTTTTGATAAATTGTGGGTTATTCAAATACTTTTGTAAAACAACTGTCACACCTTTTCTCAAGGAATGTCTTACAGCAATATTTACAAATATACCGAACAATGCTCCAACTGTCATCCAAAAACTCTTGGAAACACCAACAACTTTGAGAGGTGTATCTTTCATGTGAGTACCAAGACCCTTTTCTTTTAAATAATCGAGGCCTGTAAGGACTACTGATGCACAACCTCCTGCTCCAAATATTGATCCAACAATAAATCCTAAAAATTCCACGTCTCGTAACCGATTGCTTGAAGTTTTTTTCTTTTTACCATGTTGTGAATCAGTAATATGTTGTCCTTTGAATTTTTCAATGGACTCAAATAATTTCTTAAAGAGAGAAGGAAATAATCGACTTCCAAATATTGAAACAAAGTATAGCGCTTGATTGAATGAAGAATATTGATAGGCTCTCTCTATGACAAGTACTTTGAAGAATCTGGCTACCTTTCTTACAAATGAAGGATTTTTCTTTTGTTCAATAATATCTAAAGAACGTAGAACTCGTTCAGAGTGTGACATTAAGCAAAGCTCATGAATAAATTGCAGTGACAAAAAGTTGAATTCTTGAATTTTCAATTCTCTCTCTTCTGGTACTTGTTCTCGCTTCCATCTTGACGTGATGTTCAAAATTATTAATAACGCAGAAATAACAAGAGAGGCCTTCAGAGTGAAACGTTGCCAAACTTGCTCCTGCTCCTTGACATTACTGCTACCATTCGTGACATTACGTTTTAAATAATATATTTGAGAATTACATTGGTCTAGCAATTCTTCTACTACACGCTCCATCTTTTTGGTGTCACACCTTTCTCCGTGCAAGCTTGATTTTACCAACAATTTCATTCCTTCGATCATTTTCTTCTCATGAGCATCACAATTATAGTGTGAAAAGTATGAAATTGTTTTACGAATATAATCAAACAGGAATGCATCATTGAACACAATACAGTGACTCTTATCGGAAATGAAGGGTTCTCGCTTTCTCTCATACCATAGCGTAGGTAATATTTCGAATATTTCGTCCGACGCATTCTGATATTTGAAAATAGCATTCAGTTGAGGTCCTGAATCGTTCCTGTCGTCTGTTGATGCTTCTTTTCCCTGATCCTTCTTTTTCAATGCTTCATCCCGAATAGCAGCTTGATATTTGTGAGCGAAAAATCGAGCCAAATGTGAACGCTTCATTTTTTCTTTTGTGCACTTAAATCTTTGTTCGAGTATTGTGGACTCACACGCGTTTGTACATTGTGTTTATTTGATCATGATACATACAAAATTGGTGGACTCTTTGATTAAAGGGAGTAATATGAGTTTGGGAGGTATGGAAGAGAAAGAAGGGTTTAAGGGAATAAGTTAGAAGGGGTAGTGAGAAAGTTAGTATTTGCTGGAAAGAGAACTGGGAAAAGAGGAATTGATGTGTGTGGGTTGGGAAGAACCACTTATTATCGTCTTCTACCACTTCTTGGCATCAAGTCTCTCCTTGTTTTGGCTACAAGCTCTTCTCTTTGGAGGTAATACAATTGAACCATTTCTCTAAGCTTTTCCTTCTTCTTTTTGATGATTGGACCTACTTTCTTGGTTAATGGCCTCTCAACATACGTAGTGTGTTCATCGAGAACAATGAGATAAGGCTCTTCATCCAAACTCTTTGTAGATGAAGTTGTGGATGACGCCGAAGATGAGGGTGATACAGCTTCATCAACATCATCCTCAGGAATGACAACAATGTATGGACTCTGATACTTGTTTTTGGTGAGTGTATTCTCCTCAGGAGGTGGAGGTGTAAGAGTAATATATACATCAGGAAGAGGATCATTCATTTCATCTCGTCGTTGCAATTGTCCTCCCACCACTTGGATCTTTTCTGAAGAGTAAATGACTGGAGCAGATTTGCTTCTCAATCGCTCCGAGTTGTATTGTTGTTGTTGATGCGAGATGGTGGTGGTGGTAGCTTGCTGCTTCTTATTCGCTGCTTGCCTTCGCAATGAACCTGTTTGTGCATGAATGTAGGATCCCATCACATACTCTCGTTGTTTGGTCTTGGCCAATTCATCAAGAGCAGAAGGGAGAGATGGAGAGTGCGATGGAGGAGAGTTCTGATTCTTGATACTCTTCTTGAAGAGTTTATGGACAGTGGATCGCTTCTTGGTTGGGGGTTGTTGTATGATGGCAGCTGAACAAGTCGAGTTGTTGACTTGGTTTCGAGCGGTGTCATCCGAATGGGCTTGATCTGCTTCTCCTTCAGGTGAATCCTTTCTAGGTCTTCTACCTTTCATGTATCCTTTTAATTGTGGTTGTTTCTCTTGAGTTTTAGTCAATGTTACAGCTGGAAGGCTGGATTTGGAACGTCTTCGTCCTTCTTGTTGGTAGTCTGTTGGAGTTGGCGTTGATTGAATTCGTTTCTCGTATTGTTGTTGTTGCTGCATCTTGCTACTGGTATCGATACCAACGCTGAATAGGTTTAAAGCCTTCTCATCCAATGAAAGGCTTGAACGTTTGTTTTGTTGACCCATGATGATAAGGGAGTTATATACAAAATTAAAGTAAAAATGGTAATTTTAGGACTGATTTGGCCAATTTGATGATGGTTTTGCACGAGTTAATAGCGGTTGAGTAGCTGAGTAAACTGAAAGAGTTCCTTCACAGAAATGCTTTCAAGCGATAGCGTTTCTGTCAAAGATGATTCTTGAGAGAGTAGTAACGTGTTGAAAGGTTTGATTCCTAATGAAACAAACTTGAATATTGTTGTTCTTGTGTTTTTTTTGAATATGAAAGCGAGAGAGACTAGCGTCGTGTGATTCAAGAAGAGTCATCTCTGCGGATGGGACTGTGGAGAACGTTTTTCATGGAGACGCATCATTTCTGCTTTGGAGAGGCGTGACCAAACAAAGAACTTGCGATCCTAGTTTGGTCCACATGCTCCAAATATCATTTAAAACTTGTCGCTGACCAATTCAGAGCGATTTCAACTTGACACTTGTTGAGGAATTAATTTTCGTGAGTGTCCCAGAAGAAACCTAGTATGGCTGTTGCTATGGCCTAGAAAGAAGAATGGAAAAGAGCAAGACGTTTGAAATTAATGAAAACCCTTTCTTCTTGTCAAGCACGACATGACTCTGTTGATCGTCTCTGTGAATGTCCTTAAAGATTTCGTCATTAGAGATTTTCGTTTGTTTAAGGTTAGACAGTTAACATTGGCACCTATATTTGATTTCATCTCTCGATATTTTAACATGAATCGATGTTGAAATTTAACACCTTTCAAAAGCAACTCGTAGATGTCATAATTTAGCAAATTCATGTCGACAATAAGATGGAAACATACTCTCACTCACATGGAAACATGTCTTTTCAACAAAGAGAGAGAAAAACCTTTAAATTGATAATCTTGGTAAAAACAGTCTCTCTAACATGCAAGGACCTTTTCATTCTAAAAGCAAAATCATACAAGTTGTATGAATGCTCAAAGAGCTCATGTGAATGATGGCGTCAATGTTAAATTACGACCATCATTCATTGACAGTCTCTGAAACCTTTTTTAAAGGTATATGAATACATTTGAGGTAAACAGACCTTCTGAACGTTTTCTAAATGTAAAGTGAAATAAACATATATATAGACCAGTATCACAAAACGACGGTTAATTTACAAACAAAGAATACTTGATGACATCTATGGACATTTGAGAAAGTGACAGTCGTTGAGATTCATTTTGTATATTCGAGTTGTATGTCTGTTGAGTTGACAATAGCCCTGTTGTAAAGAATGGACTAGTTATAGCTGTAACTCGGCAAGGTCTCCTTTTAAAGTATCAAAGCTGTTTCAAGTCAATGAATATATTCTTTTGGTGAATTAAATAGAATTGTGAGTTTCAATAGACAAGTAGTATTCACCAACTCTTTGAATAGTTTAACCGCAGTGCTGCACATGTTCCAATTTCACATTCACTCCTACTAGTGCGCTTGTTTGCATATCCACAATGAATGAAAACATAATTAGTCATTTGTATGAATGATAATCATTGAATCAATGATTTGAGGCTCATGCAATACAATGCCCTGTTTTTCCATAACGAGAAAAAAAACAAAAAAAATCAAAATTTGATTCAAATTCATCATCCCTTATGATACATTATATTGTCAATGTACGTGAATCTTGAAAGCAGTGTGCTGTACTGTAGATGATGATTTGATGAAACAACTCAATTACAGTTAGAATTTCCCAATCATAAAGAAAAAAGAAGGGTTTTCCTTCGTGGTGAATGCATCTCCTCAGAATGTCCAACCTTTCCGTCACTATTTCACCTTCCTTGTTGTGATGAAGTTATCTTCCATGAACTATCTACATGTAAAGTGCTTGCATTTGCCTACAGTTCTTTCCTTGTATAGAATCGGGTCTATCTCCTTCTAGATTTGGTGAAGGAGTGTGAGATTTCAGACCAAAATTCAAACCCTTCACGAATACCCAACTGTTTGTCATGTGAAGAGTTGGTCGTGGTGACAAAGAAGATTCTGCTACATCAAAGAGGATGACGAGGGTTGTTGTTGCTGTGAGACCGAGTCCTCTTCATCTCCATCATTACAAGTTGTTTCAGCAGCAACACCAGTTGTGTTGTCATGATGAGAGTCGAGATGCTGAGATTCCATCTCTTCATCAAGTGGTTTTGTCTTTTTGTTTCTCTTTTTGTGTTTTCTTCGCTTTTTCCTTTTCGTTGATGTCATGGTCGATGACGAGATGAGGGATTCTTCTTCTTCTGCTTGTGGATGACGGAATCCTTGGTGGTCATTCTCATCTTGAATGATGGATACTGGTCTTCTCCTTCTATTGTCAATATTGAATGGAATTTGTTGTGAACCATAGATCAATTTTGAGAATTCACTCGTTCTCTGTAAAATCATATTCCTCATTTCAAGCCATTCCTTAGAATCTTGCTGTTGAGGGAGTAAGTGAACAGTAGGATAGAAAATGAATTGAGAAGAGTCCAACACGTGACACAGTGAACGCTTATTGGGAGAAATTTGCATTGAAATTTCAAACATCCATTGTCCAATGAAATGAGATGAATCCATGTATTGGGAGGGATCAATGCTAATCATAAGAGTATTGTTAGTATTGTTGTTGCTACTACCTATTGCTGTTGAGGGAGCAGAGTCATTACTCGTTGAGGATGATCCCTTTGCTGTCCTTTTTGAGATTTGGTTCCAATCTTGCCGAATGGATTGTTTCATATTTGGAAATTTGTTAAGGAACATGGTGAGAATGTGAATTTCTGATCGACAGTCATAACTGTAAACAACAAATTGATCATGATTGGAGAACTCGATGTTGCTGTTTTCGCTCGTAAAAAACACTTACCAATTATCAACTCCTTCTGATTTACCGATAATGTCATGAGGATAAATATATTCAAATCGTGTCACATTGTTGAAATAAAACATTTGTTCTGCGTGCTCAATGTTATCGTATTCAATTTCATTGCCAAGTTCTACATCTTTTTCAGAAATAACGAGTCGACACTCTGTGGTCCATTTCCTGCCCCAAACTGGAAGAAATATATTGCCCGAGTAGTATTTGGTTTTACCTTCTGAATAGGGCAATCGAAATTTGACCATACTGAAACGCGGTTGTAAAGTATGGATCCATGTTTTTTGTAATTGTAAATCTTCAATGATACATTTATCAGACTCCTCGAGAGACATGATCGAAGGATCAGCTGTTCGAATATCGCTCATAAATAATATATTATTTAAATTGGTGTTGTTTGAGTTATCTTGCATGAGCTTTTTAGATTCAACCATTTGATTTTTCAATTGTGCAAATTCCTCTGCCATGCTCACTGTGAAATATTCTTGTAGAATTTTAACATTTGGCAACGACGATAATTTTTCATTGAATTTGTTAGGATCAATGAAAATAAATGTTAACTGGGGAAATAATTTTTGTGTTAAATACAGTAAATGATTTCCAGGTGCTGCTCCTGCATAAATAACAATATCTCCCGGTTGTGAATATTGAGTAAGAAATTCAATTTCGGAGAGGAGTAGTTTTCTTTGTCCCCAATGAAGAGCATTTCTATTGTGTGCTTTTCCTTCTTCTGAATAGCACATTCTCGGAGAGTCGGATCTTAATAATCGGTGAGTGTGAGTCGTAAACTCGGAATGATCAATTTTAAATATCATGCGTGTGCTACTATTACTGTTATTATTATTGTTGGAGGCAGCAGGCAGCAAGTGATGTTGTACCTCCGAAGAAAGACACAATTCCGTGTTGCAATGAGAAGACGAAGCAGAATCCTGATGAGGTTGGCTTAACATTTTTTTTACATGAACTTTTTCATCTCTGGCTTCCATTGAAGATGCACCCGTCTTGTAGAATTGTTCCCAGGACTGCATGCAGACAAATAATTATTTAATTGAGAGAGAACATTGTGTTGAAATGTACAGAAATTAGTGAGTCAAATGTGATAAAATGTACACAACCCATAAATGAAGTAGAATCACATAAACAACTACAAACACTCTCAAGAGTGGCAATTTTCTTAAAATGCTTCCAGTGGAAATTGAAAAGCTATCAATTATGGCCATAGCATTGGCAACTCTACTGGCCACAAATCCTCTCTTGGATAAATCTTGGAAAAATCGATCGGTCTTCATGGAGACAGATGAATGAATAACGTCGTTGTCATAGGGCGATTCTTCGTCATAGTGACTGTGTCGTGACATTGGAGTGACTTGTGCCATGAGTTGCAATTCCTTAATTTTGAGCTGGCTCTTTTCTAAGGCGAGTTGAATGGCTGCTTTCTCACTGTTCAATGTTTCGAGCTGTGTTTGTTTTTCAATTAATCTTTCAGCCATTCCTCTATTTCGTAGCTCGAGCTCGTTCTGATTACTCGAGTTGTTATATTTCGCCTGATTCAATTGTTTTTGTAATTGATTAATTTCCTCCTTCTTCTCTTTTAATTGATCCTTGATAGATTTCTTCTCATTTTCGTATTGATGCTTTGTTTCTTCAAAGTTCATTTTGAGAGAGGTTATTGTCTCTTGTAGGACACCATTGGTTTGTTTTTCCTTTTCTAAATTTTTCTCAAGAGTTTTCAATTTGAATCGTAACGAGTTGATCTCGGCTTCGTGTTGTTTTTTCATGAGTTCGATTTGTGACAACAATTCTTGATTTTCTGCTTTTACATTTTCTAAGTCAATCATCATATCTTCTTTATCTAAGGCGTTCATTAAATCAGAGTCATCATCTGCAGTCACTGTGGGCTCTTTTGCTCCAGATGATTGCGATTCAGTGCCTGATTTTTTGAGTTCCTCAATCTGCTTGTCTCTCAGTGCTAGTAATTTAGTAGCTCTGTTTTTATATTCCATAAATTCTTGGTTTTTTGCTTGCCATTCATGCTCCTTTAGTTTTATAGTACTTTCTAATCGTGAGATTTCATCTAACTTGTCGTTGAGGCTATTTTCCAATTCATTGTATTCTTCTTTTAATTTCTGTACATTTTCCTGGTGCTGTGACTCGAGATCTTCTATCCGTTTTAGATGCTTCTTCTCCTCTTTTTTGAGTTCTTTTGTTTCATCTTGAAGATCTTCAATTTGTTGTTTTAGATTTGATATTTCATCTGCAGTCGACTTTTCATACCGTAATTGCTCGTTGGCAATTCTGTGTAATTACGTTTAGCGGTAGTAATTTTCAGTAATGACGTTTCGATGGTTAATTCCTGAGTTTATCAATATCAATCGAAATACGTACGCATCTTTTTCAACTTGCATTTCAGAAATAAGAGTATCTTTAGACTTTAACTGCTCTATCAGCGATTCTATTCTTGATTGATATTTTTGGGCCTGTTTCTCACGTTCATTAAGAGCGTTTGTCAATTCTGTGTCAGTCTTGACTTTCTCTTCGAGTAGTCTCGCTACTTGCTCTTCGAGCCTCTGAAAAATATTAAGAAATGATCAACGAAATTTCCGATCATTCTACACTTACGGTTTGTGATTCTTCGTTATATCGTTGTGAGTGTTTTGACACTGAATTCAATTTCTCATATTTCTGTGACAAGAGTTGATTTGATTTCGTTGTCTGTTTAATTTCCTCGAATAATTTAAGAATAGTTTTTTCGAGCAGCTTGTCTCTTGGTAAAGTTTCTGCATCGTGAATTATGGATGTTTCGTCGTTGCTGTTATTAGTATTATTTATGTTCTCGTCGTCAACCGAATTGGAGGAATTTACATCGGATGGCTGTTGTTTGTTGATTTGAGCATGCTCGATCGCTTCCTTTAATCGTTCCTCTTCACTCTTTTCATAAAACTCTTGCATCGTTTTTTCAGTTTCTTTTTTAATTTCCTCATCAAGAACCATTCGGGATGCTGATCGTTTCATCATCAGTGCATTATCCTCTCCCGTTGTCATTGTTTCAAGACCACCATCACCATCCATAGGTGATCTGCTCTGCATCCTATCATCCTTTTTTGATATTTTGGATGGCATCACCAATGGTTGTTGTTGTACCTTCTCAGCAATCTTCCGAGAGGCACCATCCACATTCTCCAACGTTTGTTCGGCCCATTTGAGTACCGAATTTGCCCACATTTTTTTGCGATGTATTAATTTATTATTATTAATTTTCAATCATCAAAAAATGATGCAAAGAAGAGAAAGAGAGAATACTCATCAAGATGATGAATCGGAATTTATTCTGAAAGAAATGATAAAATTAATTCGGAGAATGTGTTTCATGTTGGAACTCTCTCCTATTACATCATGCACTGCTCTCTACTATTTTCATTATTATTGCTTGAAATTTGTAGAACATGAAGAATATGATATCACCTTGATTGCATGTGCATGTGTGTTTCTGGCTTGTAAAACCGAAGAACAAGTGAGGAGAGTGCGAGATGTCATTAATTGCATGCGGAAAGCATTAAATCCAGAGAGCGAGCCATTAGAGTTATGGCATGACGAGCTCTTTAATTTGAAGGATTGTGTGATTGGATATGAAAGTGTCATGATGAGATGCTTAAAGTTTAGATTAACGATCAACCATCCTTTCAAATACATTTTGGGATATTGTAAAGCTTTACAAGGATTTAATTTTAAAGCAGAAAATTATTTTGTTCAATTTTGCTTTCAACTGGCTCACAAAGCATATGATACTACTTGTTGTGTGAAATATAATTGCTATGAATTAGCAACTTCAATGATTTTCCTCGCTGCTCAATTACTCGACATTAAGGAATTGGTGCCGAGTGAGAATGAATTAGCTTCTCAAAATTGTGAAAAGCCTCAATGGTTTACTGTATTCAATGTGGATCATAGAACGATTTTAGAGATTACTTCACAAGTTCGTGAAGTCGTTTGAAGTCTTCTTTTAACTTTCCAATTCATTTGTGAGACCCATGTAACACAATGAAAGGAGTCCATGAAAATCTAATTGTGCAAAACCACAGCCAATCTTAGTGAAGCGAGGATTATCTTTTGACCTGCAGCGTTAGCCCTTCTAGGCATGTGAAAATGAGAAGATCAGTTTTTGGCCGTAAAGGTCTATCGTTCTCTGCGGTGATTTCATTAAATGGTACTGTACCATCAAATAGCATGAAGAACTGATTTCAAACAAACGTACTGGTTTAATAAAACATAACGGCTATCCTAAAATATGAAAATTCTGGATTCGTGTTTAAAGTTTGGTCTGTTTTTGTGAATCAAATTTGATTTAATGATCGGTGACATGTTTTACTAAAACTCATACATGTCTGCCTTCTTTGAAAGTAACCAACGGATGAATATGACTCCAATGATCATGGTCCATATGAACTTATGTATGCACAATAGGATCCTCTTTTGATTACAATCGGTTTTGGAATTTTGGTTTTCTCTTTTCCATGAATGCCATAAAAGCTTCAGTCAAATCCTCTGACTTTAAGAATGCAGAATTCCATAATCTGACATAATCCAAACCATCATCAATGGAATGCTCTTCAGCATAATTCATGACATGTTTCGTGGCTTGAACAATGAGAGGAGAATTTGATGCAATGGAAAGAGCTAATTTTTGAGCAGCTTCAAACATTTCTTTTTGTGTGTCAAACACTTGATTGACCAATCCAAAATGATGAGCTCTGGCAGCTCCAAAATCATCACCAGTGAATGCCATTTCTCTTGCAAATCCTCTGCCAACAATTCTGTGAATTCTATTCAATGTTCCCTAAATTGGTGACAATAAAAGAGTGTGATTAATCATTATACGTTATTATTGTGATTGTTGGTTAAAATATGATACAAGAATGATTATTTTCAATGATAATTATTGTTATACCAATTGTTCACATATAATAATAATTATCAAAGAAAAGAACAATCATAAATATAATAAATACATTGAGGTTTGGTCAAAATTCAATATCCACACTTACCAAATCAGCAGTAATTCCAACACGAGTCTCCTTGATCGAAAACATACTATCCTTTGTACAATATCGAATATCACACGCTGTAATTAAATCAATAGCACCACCAATACACATTCCATTCACAGCAGCAATCACTGGCTTGTTTGTCTTTTCCAACATTCGGAATGCTTGCTGCATTTCATGAATGATTCCTGCAAGTTTTAAATTGGAGACTGCTGGAGATTCGGATTCTTGATCATCGGAGGGCATTAAATCACTGGTAATGCTTTTCAGATCCAATCCTGCACTAAAGTGTGGACATTGATCCATCGGAGTGCTTTTGATCACAATGACAAATACTTCCTTGTTTTCATCGAGTGCTCGAATGATTTTGAGAAATTCAGAAAAGAAGGCCTTGTCCATGGTATTCATTCTTTTGGGACGATTCAGTACCACCTCAGCAATGTGAGTGTTGGAATTGAAATTCACAGCAAAACGATCTGTGGAGAGAGAGGAAGACATTTTTTGAGAGAGACTTGATGATGACCATGGACTGTCACACATTTGAAATCCCTAAATTCCTGTTGACAACATTGGAAGAGACAAGAAGAACAAGGAATTATTGAGCATGTTGAGTTTTATAATGTCAATTAATCATATATAATAATTTAGGGTGAGAGTTTAGTGTCAAGAGTATTAAGATTCAATAGTATCGATTTCACAAATGGCCTATTAATATGGACCTCCACCACGTCCTCGTCCACGGCCTCTACCTCCACCACGTCCTCCACCACGTGGAGGTCCACCTCGATAACTACTTCCACCTCTGCTTCCTCCACCACGTGGTGCTGTTCCTCTGCCTCGTCCTCCACCACGCGGAGGTGCTCCACGTCCTCTTGTTGGAGGTGCACTCTTTAAGCCTGGTAAATTGGTTCTTTTTGGTAATACTTTGAGAATTCTTCCTTTAAATTCAGTTCCATTCAGTTGAAGCGCATTTTCTACTGAGCTTTTATCTTTGAATTCGATATATGCAAAACTATGTGCAAGAAGAAAGCAGTATTCAGAAGATATTATGTTACCAACGATCAACAAATCATACATACCCTTTTGGATTATTGTAAGCATCGGATTTGATGAGAATTTTCTCAATTTCGCCAGCTTGTTTAAAGTTGGCTTCCAGCTCCTCAGGAAGAGTCGAATAATCGACATTTCCAACAAAAACTGATCGTGCATCTCTTTCTTCTTGATCCTCTCCGACAGTACTTAAACCCTTCTCAATTTCGGATTGCATGGCTTTGATTTTGGAATGTTCCTCTGTCAATTCAGCCATACGTCTTTTAATACTTTCAATATCCTGTGTTTGTGATTGTCGTTATCATCACCATCGGATTAAATACAAAAGAACAAAATTGAAAAACAACAATATTTCAATTATCATCGTTATATAATCATCCCGATGTTTTAAAAATTTGTACACTCTTGAATCAATCATAATTATTCTCACCATCATCATATACCTACGTCGGCCACTTCGTTATTTGCTTCCTCTTGCAAGAATTCATCTTCCTCTGCAGAATGAGTTGTTTCTTTGGGCATTTTTTTATTTTAATAATTTTTTTGTTGAACGTGTGTTTCATCCTGGAACAAGTGTCACTCAGACCACATGTAAACCACGTTCTTTTCACTATGAATAGCCTCATCTTTAAAAATGGCTAAAGGAGGAGGTGTTGGAATATTGGGCGCAAAACAACAAGGAATACTTAGGCACACTTTCGGACTCGGTATCTCCTTATAAAATTGCCACAAATCAGCATGAGAATGAACGGCAATAATGACATTAAGGCTCGGTGAAATATGGTGTTTAAGGTTGTTAAAAAGATTGCTCTGTAAAAATTCATCTGTCGTCTGTGAAAGAGGGTACAATCGTTGAATTTGTTCACAACTTGATAGGCCATGCATAACAGTTTTGAAATGATCTTGCAAGGATGGATTGTTGGTATTTTCAATCCTACCATTCATTGGTTCCTTTGGTTCTTCAACCTTATCCTCATCATAAAGACACTTCCACTTTTTCTTCATTCTTGGATCGATGGAAAACACATGCCAATTGGTAGAACATGCAAACGTAGCACCTGTCCTTGGAACATTGCCATCAGCAACGACATAGCAAATAACATTGTTGTTCGATAACAGGTCTTGTCTATTTGAGAAAATTAAATAATCACGAATATTGTAATAGGCTGAAAAACTTTCAGAAATTTCTTTAGCATTTGGAAATAATTTTAAGGAAAGTAATTGAGAAAATTGCATGGCCACACACAATTTGTTGAAATACAATAGCGTGTCGTTGGAATTAATTTTATATAGTTCTAGAGAATCTTTGACATTGGTATTGGATGAGTCCGTATTCGTCGTGGATGTTGTTGAGCCACTCCAATTTACAAATTCAAAATATCGTTCCAATTCATTTTGTTTCTTGTGGCAGTTTGATTTTTTTGAAGGATGATGGGAGGTTTTGTCATGTATGAGTGATGAGATGGCATGTGGTTGTTGTGAGTTCGGAGTGGAAACGTCTTGGTTGTTTTGTGGAGTTTCGCTTGCCGATTTGCTATCCAGCATTTTTATTTGAACAATGCTATTCATTAAAACTGATCCAACAACATTCCTTCATCAAGTTTTTAAGAGAATAAGTGAAATATGAATAATTCATCCCTCTTCATGATAAGATGGATCAACACGTTCAGAGAAATTCTTCATCAATAACTTTTTTGGTATTTTCATCTTCCCGCAACAATTAAAAAAATGATTCCACAAGCCTCTTCCCATGCCGAAGATCAATCGGAAGAAACAACGAACAACATTCTGAATGATAACGTGAACATCGGAACGATTAAATCTTGTATTGGAAAGATTGAAAATAGTGAGAATTCATCGGTTCAGGAGCTAGCAGATTGTTGTAGAGAATTGGCCGATCTTTCAAGAGAATGTTCGTATTGTTGTATTATTATTACTTTTAATCATCGTGGATGTGGTTATCATGATGATGCATAATAACAATGTAAAACTGATCAATGTTGTGAACATGTAGTGATCAACAGAGATGCTATCAGAGAGGTTGATGGTATTCCGAGTATTTGCAAATTATTACAGAAACATTCTCAGGTATTGGAGGAAAGTAAATCAGTTCTCTACTTTCAATTGTGTCGATTGCTTGGAAATTTGTGCTTTGAGCATTCTGTAAATGCTCTAATTATTTGTGAAGAGGAAAATCATGGAGTCCCAGTGGTGACTTTTACTTGCAAGTTTGTTGATTTTGCTCTTCAGACAAATGATTCAAATCTCGGAAAGAGTGCATGTGCATGCCTTGCCAATTTCTCCCATTCAGATGGTATGTATTAATATTATTGAGGATTTTGGTACATGTGAAACTAAACGAACTGTCACACAACAATAGATAGTATTAGACGGAAAGTAGTTACTGCTGGAGGTGTTAAATCATTACTTTCCCTTGTTTATAAATACAAAGATAACCAAGAACCTGGAATGCTCTATCATTCATTAAGAGCACTCGAAAATGTTTGTGATGTTGAGGAAGCATGTGAGGCAGTGATCCACCTTAAAATTGATTCCAAAAATGCTCTAGATGTCATCATTGATGATATTTTGGACAACCCATCATGTGAAGGAAACATCTTGTCTGTTGCCATCAAGATTGTTGGCTTAATCGGATCTCACAGTAAGTTTTTCAACTCTTTTCAAGTTAACAGTGTATATTCCTGTGATGATGGCTGTCTATTTGACGCAATAATCGTTACTACTACTCTTGCATATTAACAGAGGAATTTAATGACCTAACCATTGAGCACAATAATCTTATTACTGCATTGGACAATATCATGATGAGATATATTGAAATATCTGAGACTATGGACGGAAGTGATCAAGAAGAAGAGGAATCAGTTCAGGAAATTATTACTCATGTCATCCATCTCTTGGACGTCTCATTAGTGAAGGTCAACAACAAATGGGCAGAATTATTGTTGAAAGAGTCTAAAAACTTTACAAGCACGTTGAAAAAATTCGTTCATACTCACACTCAACTTCCTGCATTCAAGCAACGAATACAAGAGAATGTTGTGGAATTTCTATCAAACGTAGCTGAAATTGATTATATGCAATACTATATGGCCACTGAATTAGATTTGATTCAACCCATGGTCGAGTTAATCAAATCCATTTTACAAAATTTAAAGGTCACTAGCTCCTCTAAATTATTGAGATTTATTGTGAAGCTTTTAGGATTCTTGGCTCTTGAAGGTATGTTATCACGTTTGTATGGAAATGATATTTGTAACAATCGAGTGAATCACTCGCCTTATTGATAATCAGATCGTAATATTCCAATCATGATTGAAAATCATGTTGTAGAGGCCTTCACCGATATTCTTTCTACTCTATTCCAGAATCAACTCAAGGAAGAATATCAAGAGGCAAGTCCAATAGTAGTCCAAATGAATGTTTTCATCCAAAGAAATTGTTGTATTGCATTGGGAAACATTGGAAGAACAGATGCCAGCTGCAAATACATTGTCTCTAATGGAACAACTGCTCCTCTTGTGGAAATGCTTTCATACTTTGCCAATTCTGAGGAATCTGAGGTTGACGTTAGTTTGATGATTAATGTTCTTTTTGCATTTTCCAATTTGTGCAAGTTGAAGGACAATCAATCAGACATTGTCAAGAGACATCCTGACATTTTTGAAATTATCTACTTATTGGCACAAAGGCCTCACATTTCGTTATTTGTTTCTATTCTCTAGACGCCTTGGCCAACCTTATTCACAACAACGATGAGAATGCCACACTTGTGTTGACCAAGTATCCAAATCTTGTTTCTGCCCTTGTTGAAGTCATGAAATCAAGAAAGGACAAGGTTAAGGTCTCCTTTGCTGTTTTAAAGTGTCTCTTCTGTCTGTTCAAGCAAGGCAAAATTGCACCACACGCCCTTTCACAAGATCAAGAATTAATGTCCATCATTCAAGAAATGGAAACCTCCACAGAGGATGAGAAGATTGGTAAATTAGTGAATGAGGTGAAGCAGGCTGGCTTTTTCTAAATTTCTCAGACGAATTTAGTTCTAAGTTAGTGCATTAAACGATACTTGTTAAACAATCCAATATTTGATGTTCTTCAAAATCGCAAGTTCTAACAAATAATTGAAGGCAAGCACACAAAAAAAAATGAGTCTTTCGTATCTTGCCACTTTGAAGGCCATCGAACAAGACTTTGGCAACACTCAAAAACAACAACGAACAACAATCAACGATGAATACAGCAACACCGATGACGATGGATATCTTGCATCATATGCGGAAAAATATAGAAACAATGAACTATTGGTTGATGATGTAGAATTGGACGAAGCCGAATTAGAGGCCTATAAAAACCTGATGGAGGCCAAAGCTCTCATTGAAAAGAGAGAAAATTCACTCTCCGATGATGCTAATGCATCCATTGGTGAAATGTTTCTTCGGGACACAAAGGAAATTTATGACGCCGATGCCATCAAGGCTTGTATGAACAAGCTGCCAATTCTCACCAAGAATCTCGATTGGATACACACTCTTCAACTCAATTCCTATACACCACTCAAAGTAGATAATCCCGAAGATGATATTGACCGAGAACTTCAATTTTATAACCAAGCCATCACTAGTGCAAAAGATGGATTTAAACGATTGCATAGTTTAGGGATCAAAGTGCACAGACCTGACGATTATTTTGCAGAAATGGTTAAATCCGATGAACACATGGCTAAAATCAGAAACAAGTTAGTGCAATCAAGAAAGGTTATTGAAGAAAGAGAAAAGAGAAGACAACGAAAAGAACAACAAAAAATTGGCAAGCAGTTAAAGGCTGAAAGACTTAAGGAAAAGATTGCCAGAAAGAAACAAGATATTGAGGCAGTGGATCATTGGCGAAGAACATACAGCGGTTCAGGAAAAGAATTTGATGTAGACGCTGCTACTGAAGAATATTCCAAGATTGTTGAAAAAAGTGAAAAGAAGAACAAGGGAGGTAAGAATGATGCCACTAAAAGAAAGAATGCAGGAATTGTAAAGAAGCGACCTGGCAAGAGGAAGAGACAAAAACAAAATTAAATCATTTCACTATCGATAAATTCCAAATTTTTTCATCTATTAGATAGAGTTTGTGGTCTCTCAGGTCTTTAGTGACATTATTAAACTCCCAAAATTTAATTTTCATCATTAATAGTATTGTATCTTGTTATATCAATCGTTTGTGAATTCACATTGTTGTGATAATAATTTTCAATGAATATCTTTGCTTATTAACAGTTTTTAATTAAAAAATCTTTTTCTAAACCCAAAAAGAAAAATGCCGAACGTGCAAGCACGAGGAGCCTATACACCTCTCACGGACGGAAACGATGATGAATTTTATGGAGAGGAGGATATTAGTCTTGTTACAAATCCAATGAGAGTAAATGATGAAGAGGTACACGGTAATAATCATCACGGAGGAAATGTGCCCACTTCTTCGGAACGAAAATTTGTATCCTTTGCAGAGAAAGTGAGCCGAACAGAAACTAAAAAGTTAATGAAAGGAATACCAAGAGATGCATTCTCTCTCGCTAGGATCATGTTTTTATTGATGGGCTCTGGAATTTTAGTTCCTGGAATTTGCTATCAATTGGCAGTCGATTGGTTTTCTGTGATATTTCCATCACAGGGTGATTCCGATTCTTTCAATCTCTTAGATTTTATAGAATATATATTGAGCTTGGGATTCAATATTGGACAATTAGCGGCAATACTATTATATACAATATTTATGTGGAGAAAATCTGTACATACTCTGAAAGCACAAACTTTTACTGTCGAACAATTTATTTTCATGGGTTACGCTCTAAATTTTGTCTGTGTGATGGTAACTCTATTTATCAACATTGTACTGGTCATGCAATATGGATTCGATAATAAGGATGAGACCTATGACAAGATTTTCATGCTGGCCTGTATCATTGTTTTAAACTGTTTGGTTGGTGTGGGAAGTGGAGTATTAAGTTCAGCAGTCATTTCTTTTGCTGCCAATTTTACATGGAAATATACAGTCTTCTTTTTGGTGGGATTGAGCTTGGGAAATGCCGTCTTGTCAGTTTTTAGGATATTTTCAAGACTCATATGGTATGACACTGCACAAGGTTTATTTAATAGTATTATTCTATTTTTCTCATTCAGTGCCATCATTCAGGTGATTTGTATCATTGCTTTTATTTATTTACTGAGACTTCCCATTACAAAGTATTGTAAGGAACACTATGTGAATATGCAAACACCCAATCGAGACTTGGATGAACAAATTCGTGTCAGTCGATTGGAAAAGGACATGATTATGGAGCAGAAAATGAAGGAAGAAGCTGACAATGTTTCATATAAATCTTCCTCAGAATCGAACGATCTTCCAACTGCCTCAACTGTTGGAGCAATTAATAATGGTGGTGGTGGTGAGGGCGAAGAAACTGAAGACAATACACAAACAGAAATAACAGAAAAACCTCAAGAACCAGAAGACTCGAATATTAACGAATTGAGCATGACATGGATATCATTGATGAAGCGACTTTGGTCTCCAGGTCTTGGAATTTTCATTACTTTTGTAACTACCTTCTCACTGGCTCCTGGACTCATTACAGATATCAAATTTTATCATGACAATAAGAGCTCTTGGAATCCGATTGTCACATTATCGATTTTCAACATTTTCGATTGCATTGGACGAGCATTGCCCAACTGGAAGAGAACCATCCTGTTAACTCACAAACAATTATGGGTGTTGATTCTATTACGATTGGGATTTATTCCAACAGTTATATTTTGTGTGAATCCTCTCCTCATCAATCAACCCATTTGGTATGCCATTATTTTGGCTCTCTTTGGACTTACGAATGGATATTGTTGCTCGATTGGTATGGCCAGCGGACCATCCATTGTGAAGGCTGCACAACAAGAAAAGGCTGCTTACATGATGAGTTTCTTCCTTAATTTTGGATTATTTATTGGATCTGCCATCGGTATTGGAGTGGGCTATTTGGTGCACTTTACGTGGTAATAAATGTGTATGACGTGGTCATTAAATGTGTTGAGGAGTGACACACATTCTATGAGCTCTTACAATGTTCATCAATGTTGTTGAACAAGTGAACATTTTGAACCAATTAGTTAAAATTAAAATCTTGATCGTTGTGGAATTGAAGTTGTTGTGGAGAGTCATCCTCATCACCACCTGCTTGAGAAGCACCAGCTCCTTTCTGACCATTTCGTCTATTTTGTTCCAACATTTTACGTTTATATCTCATTCTCTTGTTACCGAACCAATTGTTCACTTGCGAGAGAGATAAACCAGTTTGTTGAGAGAGAATTCTCTTTTCATCGTCACTAGGATATGGATCTATGTTTGTCATTATTAATAATATATCATTCATAGTATTATATCATTCACATAAATATGTCATTATTAAACATATATATCATTCATGCACATGTATTGATTCAATCATTCCAATAAAATCATTGAAAATATAAATTCAAAAAAATCATTGTCAACATGTTAAAACCTACCATGAAGATGTTGGAAAAACCAAACATTTAACACATCAGTGGCACTCTTTGAAAAATTCTTCTTCTTTTTTGCCAATGTCAACACTTCACCCGAGTATCGTTTTTTCAATTCCTTAACCACATCCTCAGTCTTTTTAATCTCTGCCAATGGATAATCTCCATCGTCATCTCCCAATCCATCGTCAGAACCATTCGGATGTTGATCCAATGCCAAATTAGGAGATGCATCCAATGGATCATACGAATCGAAATGACCACCAACACCAACACCACCAGAACCACCACTCATACTCGAATGGAGACCTGTTCCATTTGCTACTCCTCCAGAATGATTCATAAACATGACCACATTCGTTCCACTATACACATTTGGATGTTGAATTCTCTGTTTTGCACTATATTTCGCATTTTGTTTATCAATATGAAGTGTGTGTTGCATTTGATCAATAAAATCTTCACATAAATGATACATGGTTTGTAATTCCATTTTGTGTAATGCAGTAATGGCTGCAAGACCACAAATCGATTGATCAAATTGAGAAGGTTGTTGAGAATTCATGACCATACTTGGAATTTCACTTTCGACCACACTAGGATAATTGGTTTGGACTAGAAAATTATTACATAATTGATTGACAACGGATGATTCATCTTGTTGAATGGGAAGAAGGATTGTTGAATCACTGCTGCCACTTGTCATGTTTAATGATGGTTGTTGTTGTTGTTGTATAGCATTCATGGATGATGAATCAGAATTATTATTTCCATTATTATTATTATTATTACTCTCTCCAGTTTCCGTTAACTTTTTTTTAATATCTTCACTCGTGATGGTTGAAGGTTGAGAAGAGGCACTCTTGTAGTGACGATGACCATCAGCGACGGTTACACTGTGGGTCGCAAGGAGAGATGGAAAGAGTGGGTGATGAATAATGCTCTGAGAAGAAGCGACTTGGGACATTTTTGACGTTATTTTTTTTTGAAAACTGTTTTTGTGATGGGTGACAGGTATTAATTAGGAAAGTTGAGTGTTTGGGTTTTTTCAAACTCACCCTTAACTAGTTTGCAATCCAACACCATTATTAAGCACACTACAAACCAATAGGATGAATTTAAAATTGATTCAAAATAAGAGTGTTTTTTCAAGATACCATATCTATATACCACCTTTTTATCTTAAAGTCAAGAACTTGGAAAGTGAATTTATTAATCTTTTCTTCAAACAGAATCCCTCACCCTCTCTCTTATTCAGTTTTTTTCATCATCTTGGAAGAAGAATTTTCTTCAGGTTCATTGACTTGATCCACATTTCTTTTCAATGACGATGGTGATGATGATGAGGAATCGTCCTTATTGTATGATTTATCCATTCCACATACACGTCTAAAAAACTCCTCATTCTCTGGAAAGTATTGTTTCAACAATTCAAAACAACCCTCTCCAAATCCCTTCATTCTGAAAACATCCTTCTTTGTGTTATTGGAATCTAGCATTTGTACAAGATGAAAGAAGAATTTGTTTCTTTCAGGATCATAATCGGCATTCTTTGGTGCATGAAGCTTTTTACCTTCAGTCCATTCTTGATCGTTCGATTGAACATAAAAGAATTCTTTCATATCGAATTGATCAATGAGCCATTCGAGTGCATCAGCGATGAATTCATAATCTTTATCGTTGTTTTTAATCTTTCTGGGATGATAAAGTAATTGAAAGGCCAGTAAAGGAATATCAAAGGCATCCGTCGAATACATGACATCTTCTGCAATTTCAGTGAGATTGGTTTGAATGGCTTGATATTTGGATTCTTTACAATAAGCTTCATTGAACGAGAGAAGGGCCATCGCATCAAGAGCTGAGAAATTGGAAACATCAAATCTCACTCCATGATACACTCGTTCAAAGAATGCAGTAAAAGTTGGAACAATGGGATGAGAGTCGTGATCGAGTAGATGGCCATCTATAGCAGCTTCAAGACCTTGAAATTCGTCAATGAAACGATCGGATGATAATTCAAAGAAGGATGGCATAAAATCTTGAATCATACCCTTTTCGATGGAAAGTGGTTCCATTGATGGAAATCTTCATGAGTTGTTTGTAGTCTTCATCACGAGAGTAGTGACGAAATAGAAAAACTTCATCGATGTTGGAGCTCATTGATTTGTTTTTTTTGCAGATGATTTTCTGTGTGCTTGGTTTTCGGTGTCATTCATTTCTTGTTGTGCTCGTGCAAATTTTTCTTCCTTGCTGCAATTTTGTTTGTACGAAGAGTTGTTGAAGTGTTTGAAGTTTCCATCTGAAGAGCTTGATGCCCAGACAACAATTTTCCCTCAACTTTTAAGATAAATTATAAAGTTTTAATTCTGGTTCTGTATCATGTTAAAATCAGAACGTCATGACTCCTTTGAGAGTATGCATATTGCTAGTGTGTCAGAAATTACATTCCAATATATTCCTCCTCTTCGTCTGCGTCCACTTCCTTGTTTTGTTCTCTCAAAGTATCAATGAGGATGGCAAGAGAATGGTCGTCTCTTTCATTGACTACTCTAGGTGGTGTCTTAACGGCGACCTCACCTTCATACTTGGCAAGGACGTCTTGAATGACCTTGATAGACTTTTCCAAGGTATCCAATCCCTTTTGTTTGTCACTTGTAGTTGTAGTCATGACATAGAGCGGAGGAGCAATGAGAGTAATCTTAATTTCAATTTCATCTTCGCTGCCTACATTTTCACCCTCCATCAAGGCTTGCTTGATAGCATCAATACCCTCGTAGGAATAGCAGGTAACTTGAATATCGGCTCTCAACTTGACTGGTTGTGGCTTCAAACGATTTTGAATGATTGAAATCAAATTTTCCTTGGTTTCTTCGGTAGGGAATTCAATATCTTGGAAGACTTGGTCTGAATTTGAGATGGCCATCTTGAAAGCATCGTAGGCATGTCCAAACTTTCTAAACAATGGCCATGCGATTTTTGTGTATAAAAACTCCATGTCTTGATGGGTAGTTTCGGCCAAGTGTCTCATGATAGAGTTAACAGCTTTGCTCTTATTATAATTTTCCTCGCATTTTGGAATATCTTCAGCAGCAACTTTACTCTTACTCAAATCAATATAACCCTTCTCAGGATCAACACGCAACACAACACAAACTTCGTTTCTTCCGACACGGATTAACTGAGAAATTGAACGGATTCTCTTTCTACTCAATTCACTACTCAAGATAAGACCTTCAATATTGTTATATTCTAGTAATGTTACATAGGCACCGATATCGGTGATATGCTTGACTTTGACCATCACGAGGTCATCGACCTCTGGGTGTTGTTGTTCGTAGAATCTGCAGCTAAGTTTCTTGGTTTCACTCATTTTTTTGTTCGCAAAGATGAATTAAAATTAAATGATGAAAAGATAATTGTGAAGAATGATAACGTTGGGTTGGAGATTATGATGATAGAAATAATATTTTCTTTTTCAATTTAAAATCATGTTATTTCAGTAATCCGCCCAAAGCATTGGAAAGTTTATTTTTGAACAAGTACATTCTGTGATGCACCCGAAACAATTGGCTTGAAGCGAATTTTTTGAACATCTGAAACATGAGATCTAACAGCACGAGGTTTAACTTGCAAATATCAAAAATCTATTCGGAACTTGGTTGTTTCACTCTTCAATCAAAATCATCTTCCAGGTGAATCATCAGTGCTAACAGAGCGATAGGATTGATATCAAAAAAAATCAACAACCAGCAAGAATCACCCTCCAGATCAACACGATGAGGAGAGGCTTGACTCGATTGAGTTCAAAAATTAATCATCATCATCAACAACATGCTGCCCCAGCTGTGAGAGCACTCACGTGTGCGAATGCTTCTACATTTTCCAACTCGCAGCAACATTTACTTGTACAGATCAGTAAACATTATACGATAGCGAGATCGTTTTTTGATCTTTCGGAAGATGAGTTACGAAATGTGAGAGGAAAGGATAAGAAAACGGCACCATCATCTGTTGGAGAAAATTCATCATCATTACCGTCTTCTTCTTCTGTGTCATCTTCCAATTCAAGCACAACAACAGCTTCTTCAACCAGTACTTCAGCTGCCAAATCAACATTAAACAATCACGAGACAAAACAGACTTCATCCACTACATCATCCACCTCTCAAGGTCATCACTCTAAAGAGGAACAACAGCACACCTCCTTCAAATTACCTCCAAAACCCGCCAATCCGCTCACTGGGCAATGTCTCAATTATAAAATTCTTCACGAAGACAATTCGGAAATTCTTTTGCATGATGGAAGAAGTGACGAAGTGCATCGCATGATGGATATATTTGCAAAGCAAGAGGGCTACAATAATGTCATGCTCGTGGGAGAACACGGAGTAGGAAGAGACTCCATTGTACATGCATTTGTTCAAACCATTGAACGAGAAAGATTTCTTCCTTCCCGATTGAAAAATCTAAAAGTTGTGGAATTGAGTGTGGAAAATCTCTATGGATGTAACGCTACCAATAATGTTAGTGTGGCTTTCATGAATGCATTGGAACAACTAGGAGTTTATGATCCCTATGAATTAGAAATTCCACCTCATCCATCCAAAGCTACATTCAAGGAAAAAGCAACCTATTTATTTGGACCTCAATCGACCCACTCTAAAACCTTTGTAGAGACTGCTTTTAATGACAGGCTTAAAAATTTGAAAGATCACAAAGAAAGAACCCATAACGAGAGAAAGGTTCTCTTCATTCCTGGTCTATTCAAAATGGTCGATGACTATTCCTACAAATTTTACGATAGCATTTCTTCTGTTCTTCAACCACTCATGGAGACCAAAAAGGTTCAAGTCATTGGCTGTATGACTCCATCCGAGTTTGCCATATTCAAAAACTCACCACTCTATCCCTTTTTCCAAACCATTGAGGTGAAAGAGACCAATGTGGCTCACACGCTGAAAATTCTTGAAAAGAGAAAAACTTCTATTGAAACTACACATGGTGTCATCTTGTCGAATGAACTCATTGAGGAGGCAGTGAGACTCGCCGATCGATATTTACCAACCAAGAACAATCCTTCCAAGTGCATTAGTGTTGTCGATGAAGTTGCTTCTCTTGTTGAGCGAAGAGTTGGCTCAGTACCGCAAGCCATTTTGAATTTGGAGGCCAAAATTAAAATTCTAACCATTGAGATAGACAAGAATACAAACACACAAAAGGAGACTCTTATAAAAACTATAGAAGCGTTGAAAACGGAATTGTCTACTTGCAAAGAGAAATGGAATGAGGAATTGAACGCATTTTTGGAATACAAGAAAAACAAGCTCGATATCAATCGCCTCAAACAAGAGCTTAAACAATGCATACAACTGATTGACTCATCTGAATCCCCATACGCAAAACGAGCTGCAGCCATTATTCAGCAAGATCTTCCTGCGATCAAGAATGAAATTAACAAATTTAAAGAATCGCTGCAAAAGAATGTCTATGTGAACATTGTCGCCTCCTTAGAAGACTTGGCAACTGTTGTCTCAAGAATGGCCGGAATCAAACCCAGTGACATTTATTTTACGTCACAGTCAAATGTTTCTCTCATTAACTTGGAGAGTGAAGTCGAAAAGCATATTGTTGGTCAAAGTGAAGCCATTCGATCCATCGCTCAATCTATCCGAGTGGCAAGGTCTGGATTAAGGGAAGAAAACAAGCCACAAGGATCATATTTATTGGTGGGAAGAAGTGGAACCGGAAAGACAGCCCTCGCTAAGCAAATAGCCAAAGTTCTCTATGGTAGCGAAGACTTTGTTACAGTGATTGACATGACCAAATACAATACTCACTGGTCTGTTACGGGATTAATCGGTGTATCTCCAGGCTATATTGGCTTTGAAACTGGAGGTGAGCTCACTAATGCAGTGAAAAGAAATCCGCATCAAGTGATTGTTCTCGATGAAATTGAGAAGGCCCATCCATCTATTTGGAACATTCTTTTGCCCGTCTTTGAGGAGGGAATGTGTACAGATAACTATGGAAAAGCTGTTTCATTTAGACATACCACCATGATTTTAACATCCAATGTAGGAACAAGACGGTTGCAGGAAGAACGAGTAGATGACAAGGATCTAACAAGACAAGAAATTATTATGGAGGAGGTAAAGCACACATTTGTTCCAGAATTTTTAAATCGTTTGGATGAAGTTGTAGTATTCAATGATTTGACAATGGCTCATTTAGATGCAATTTTAACATTACAATTGCAACAATTGGAAGAACGTCTTTCAAAGAAGAAACCTATTACAATCACATTGACTCCAGAAGCAAGACAATTCATTTTATATCAGTCCTTCGATATTCAATACGGAGCTAGACCAATCAAACGAAATATTCATACTTTTATCTCGTCACCATTAGCTAAAATGATCCTTGAAGGAAAGTTAGAACAATGTTGTAATGTCTTAGTGAGTGTAGAGCAAAAGAAGAACCTTTCCTTTACCATTCAAGTCAATGAAGAAAAGGAAGAAGAATATAGATCCAAACAAAACATGACTGAATTGGATGAATTGATTGAGCTTGAATATCATTACAACAATGCTTTGAAGAGCACTTCCAATAATTCAAATACTGAAAATCAATCTTCAGATTGTCATGTTCAATAGAAACTAAATTGTACCTTAATTTATTCACATAAAATTGAAACTTTCTTAAAATTGATTCGTCTCTACTTTTAATGTCAAGTCAGAGTGTGAATGACTTGGTAAAAGAAAGAGATGCTTCAATCACATCACAGGTATGAAAAAAATGGAAGACTTTGTGATTTCCAATCTTGTTCCATTAATAGAGGAGACAAAGCTCAAAATCAATGGCTGTTGCCAAGATGATGAGCGCCATCAACAATTCAAAACTCTTGAAAATAGCATTCTCTCATTTACGAACAAATTTATTGATTTACAAATTCCGATCGTGCAATCTCTACAAAACTTGATTGAAAGTATCAACCACTCATCATCAACCCATTCAAACCACACCACAGCCACAGTAATACCATCATCTTCCATAGAACCCTCTTCAAACGTTTCTCTACAACAAGTCTCTGTTCTTGAAACATTGCATCATTGCTGTGAAATTTTAATGTTACGAGTTCGGAAAGAGGATTTTTGGCAGAACCATGATGATAATGGTAAAACTATGAGTAACACTCAAATTCAATCATGTTTGTTGAACACCATTCACATGGAAAACAATCCTAACAGTAATGAAACGTCTGAACAAACACATTTCTCGAGTCCACTTGAAATATCCAATCAAGACATTTCATCCTCTCTCATCATTATTGACACTTGTTTGTTGTATTTCATTCTTCAACTGCTCCTGAATCACACTTCTCCAAAGCAACAAACAAAGAGTACTGAAAGCTCCAAAACGAATGCCAAAACTCTCGACTCGAACATTCAACGATTGAAACAATTGCTCACTGGAAAATATTTGCAATTTGCACTCTTGACCTTTCTCAAATTTAAATTCTTGAACAAATTGAGGTCATTGGGGGAAGAACAAACGATTGAATTATTTAATATGAACGAGTTAGATTCAGAAATTGTTGAAAAGTTAACTGTTGCTACGAAATCGAACCATGACACTCAACAAGTGAAAATTTGTCTGAACAAACCAATTCATATTTGTGAATTAATATTTCAATTACTGTTAGTGATACCCATTCATTTGAAAGAGGAAGAAGACATATTCAATACCATGTTGAAATATTCTCCCACATGTCATGCTGATTTGGCTGTATGGTATTCCATTTCAAAGTTTCAGAAATATTCACATGAAAAACAAATGAGTCAAATTCAAAATTCACAGAATTCAATAACATTTCCATCAATTCTATTGAAGTTGAAGGAAAAGCTCTCTTCCTTTAATTTGCGGCATTGTATGAAGTTAGTTCGTGGAACTTTATTTGACAAACAAGATGAAATTAAGAAAGAGTTGCTATTGAGATGGATTTCTGCATGCACTATATTACACACCCTCTCCAATACACAAGGAACTGATTCAAAGCATTTTACCGAGATTTCAAAGCACTACTTTTCGAATGTCATTGAAAATGGACATGAATTGTTAAAGTACCCGAGTTCGTATCCATCACATTCTTTTCACTACCTATTTCATGGAATATTGAATGCGTTACGAAATTACATAATTGCACAAACAGGTGCTGGAAGCAAATATGCTCTAATAGATAGAGCTCAATTTTTTTCAAATATTGACAAGTATATTCTTGATAATGACAAGATGTCAAGTTGTGAAAATTTTAGAACGTATTTGGCAATATTGATGAAACTTTATTTTACTACCTCGTCATTTTCTAGTTATCAACGATTGAATGGAGCGCTTTTAAAACTACTTCAGATGGTAAATACAACCAATGATATGATAAGAATACTTACCATTACTGAATGTGAACAGAATAGAACAATAGATCAAAACAATGCATTCTTCACTGTTCGAAATTCCATCGTGTTTCAATTAGTATCCAACAGCACTGAGATCAACAAGTTGGTTTCGGACTCCATCGATGAGGCTCGACAATATGAAATTAATGGAAAGCCATGTGTCCAACGATACAAACATGTGAGTGAGAATATGATTGCAAATTCTAAACAATTATTCACTCATGTACTGAAAAGCTTTGTCACTCAATATCATTATGTGTTTCCAACAAGTTTGAGAGAAATTTTTGCAACGATCGCATGTGTGAAATTGGACTTTAAGCACACAATAACTCCACAAAGCATGGCTACATTGATTTGCGATCATTCTTTTGCGTTATTTTATGTGTTTGAAGGTTATAGAATTATGTGTTCCAGTGTGACCTATAAGTACTTGTCACAATTAACAGATTACTGTATCGCATATATGCAACACGATGATATGAGTTTTATTGAACAATCTAAGGATGAACACGGTTTGTTGAAACCCATTCCTACATTTTCGTCGTTTGTGAGGGAATTATGTTACCTTAATTCAATATTTGTAAATACCTATGGCAAACATTTTCATGAGCGGAAAAGCTTAATATGTGGCGTGATGGAACGGATTGTGAAAGAAGGAGGTAGTCCGTATTTTGATGTAGAAGTGATCACTGTTTGTTGAAGATGTCATGAAGACTAAAAGAATTTTATTTTTTCTAATTTAATATTTTCCTTTCTGTGTTGTTTCTTCTGTTGAATTTGTTTGTCAATTTCTCTCCACAAGCATAATTCCTGGGCCAAAGAGTAAAAAGTAGCTCCCATGCCGGGAATCGAACCCGGACCTCCTGGGTGAAAGCCAGGTATCCTAACCATTGGACTACACGGGATTTACATTATAGAAAAATGAGGTTCTCGTTAATTTATAAAACTGGCAACCTTTTCTGTGGTACCTGCAGGTCTTTCGGGGTCAAAGTCAACCTCAAGAAAATGTTTGTACAGCGGCCTCGAAACACTGCCGCCAACAATAGCGACCACAAACAAGAGGAGCATCCTTCCTCCAATGTTGAACAAGCCACAATAACGCTCAGAGAATTATCAAAAATTGAAAAAACTCTCGCCCTGCATAACGATGAAGCCATTGTTATGCAATTTGCGATTTACTCGGACGGAGAGAAGTTTCAACAACGATTTCTTTCCGTTCGGGAACGATTAAATCTGTTTTATTCGGATCTCGATGATGATAAATCCAATCAATCCTTGCATGATGTTTTTACCAAATACAAATCCAGTTATTCGTTTTATGAATATGAAGGAGAAATTATTGATTTATTGAAAAAGAGATTTGGAATTTCCTATCGTAATGAAAATCATACACAGAAAATAATCAAATTGAACAAATTTATTAAAAAACACATGACAAGATTATCTGGAAAGGAATTGAGAAAATCACTGGCGAGAATTGATGAACATATGGTCATTGAAAAGGATGATTCAAAAAATCAGAAACGGTTGGAAGTTACCTTTTCGAATTGCAAAATCATTTTGGATGCTGTCGATGAATGTCTCTTTAATATCTTACAATTAAGCCAAACTTTGAAATATATTCAATGTGTGCTGTTGGAAATTGCACAGGAAATTTATCAAAAATTGAATATTGCGTATAGAACCAATGTCATGCCATGGATGATTTTCCAGGCAATCATTGCCAGGTTGTATTGCCTTACCATGGAAAATATGAACTTGATCAATTATGTGTACAATGAGATGAGCGCTTGGAGTGAATGTCTTCCAACCAGAGAGCAAATTGCAACCTATCTCATGAAAGAAGTGAGCATTATATTTGTCAGTGCCAACAATCGAACGCACGATTTTGCATCGCCGTTTCCAAAGAGTATTGAAGATTATTCCACCATGAACGAAAATAGGTTCACTGATTTGAAACAATACTTGCTTGGAGAATACATGTCACAAGAAAATCAACAACTCATGTTCACCATGCTGGCTGAAGAGAAGATTAAGGAAAAGTTAGATTCAGTCTCGCAAAAAACATCAGCCCCAAACGCCAAGCCAAAGAAGAGAAAGTGAAAAGGCAATTTCAATCGTTAATGAATTTTTCATTTGACCACATTTTAGGAAATAAGCAAAGCTTTTGTTGAGTGGTTGGTGCACAACAAATTTACAGAATATTTTTTGGATTTATTAAATAATATGGAAGGTTACTAGAGTCCCGAAGTGACCGTCAGCGCTACACCAAAGATATGGTCCTTCGTTTAACCACATAAACTTATTTAAGGCATCCTCAAATAGACTGTTTTTTTGTCGTCTGAGAGTCATTTAGAAGAGACCACCAAATGCGTCAGCATCATCTTCAGATTCAGTTTCGTCCTTCTTCTTATCCTCAACTGTAGTAGTGGTGGTAGTAGCAGTAGCAGCTGGCAAAGCAGAGGCAAACTTGCTTGGATCAGCAAGGAATTCCTTAACCTTTTCAGCTTGCTTGAATGAGAATTCGGTACCAGCAGCAATAGCCAACAAGTTCTTGAAAACGTTGGCAACAGAGTGAGGAATAGAAGCTTCGTTTGGAATATCCAAAGCCAAACCGATAGAAGCAACATTGTTGGCAGCATCTCTGACCTTCTCTTCCAAAACAGCATCAGTCAAGCTGAGAACAGATGGTGAGTAAATTGCACCATTGTCATAAATGTTAACCATGACCAAACCATATTCGAAAGGCTTAATGTTCATCATTTGCAACAAAGCAGCCTCAGAGTTACCGACCTTGTCTCCAGGCTTCAAGAGGGTGTGTTCCTTGATAATTTCGACAGTACCCTTGGTAATCTTGGTGTTAATGTTCAAAGCTTGGAAGAAAGAGGTCTTTGTTGGTTCCAAACCAGTGTTCACTGCTGGAATAATGACAGTGACTGGTGAGATGGCACCTTGCTTGGCTGGGGCACCGACCTTGTAGGACATGATAATGTCCTTGACTTCATTCAAATCACCATTGGTAAAGACCAAACCAACGTTACCCTTGAGGAGAGGTGGGATCTTGACGAGATCTTGAGCCTTGCTGGCCAAAGACTTGTACTTTCCTTCAGAGTCGGACATCAAGACCTTGATAGCCTTCTTCATGAGGGTGTTCTTACCCATGAGCAATTCACCCTTTCCTCTCAAACCGGTTCTGATATCAGCCATTTGTCTGGATCTCACATTGTTTGCTTCGACAAAGATAATCTTGGAGTACTTGTCAAGCATGTTGATGAAGGTTTCAATGTATTGTTCCTTCAACTTTTGCTTTTCATCCTTTGATAATTGTTTTCTTCCTTTTCCTGCCATGGTGTGTGGGTGTGGAGAGTCTCTAGTTTTTTTTTCGAAAAAAAAACTTTTCAAGTCAACCGACTTTTATTTTTTACAATGCTCTGGCCGTTCAACAAAGTTGTTCACGGATCAATTTGAAGATCAAAGTTTCAACTCTACAACCGATGAAGTACCCGTATCAATATACAAAGCATCCAAGTCCTCTTTTTCAGTAAAAATCCTTTTTAATTGTCAATGCTCCAACCAGAATTGCAGTAACAGCACTCTCAAGTACCTTAATGTACCCTTCCTCCTTCAACTTTTAATGAAATCAGATCAAGTCCTCATACGCCCATCTCTGATGTTCATGTAGTGAAAAGCACGTTTACTAACCTTAATTTAAAAAAAAATGTATTTCAGCGAAATTAGTCATGCCGTTGATCAAGATGCCGAGTTCAAAGAATTCTTCATGCCTGGTCGGATATGCTTGGTTGGAGAACATAGTGATTGGGCTGCCATTTCCGAGTATAACAAGTCGTTGCAACAACATCAGCGCTCCTTGTGGTCGCAATCATGCTGCACTGATAAAGTTGATACTGATCTCTCTTCATCATGTCCGTATTATGGTCTTGCTTTAATTTGTCCTACAGATCAAGGAATTCATATACGAGTGAGAGAGGATTTTATAACCACTACTCGTGAGGATCAATTAGAGTATGAAACAGAAAAGTCGAATTCCATTCCGAAATTACAATTATTACGTGAATTGAATTTTACTTTTGAAACAGAAAATACCACTCTCGTAAAATCAAATCGACTAGTTTTTACATTGAGAGATTTGTATGAAATGCCATTGAGCGAATTATTGAAACAGGATAATTTCTTTTCACATGTATCGGATGTAAAATTTTATTCTTACATGATTGGAATATTGAAAGAGATTTTTTCTGATTCACAAGTGGTGGAGAAAATTGCAATTTCTAAGAAGAGTTTATATTGTCACAATTATAAAACCACACTACCAATGGGAAAGGGTGTGAGTTCGAGTGCTGCAATTTGCGTTTTGATCGCTCGAATTTTCAATCAATGCTACAACCTAAATTGGAGTGTTGAAAAAGAAATTGAAATAGCCTTCTTGGGTGAGAGGTCAATTGGAAGTGAATGTGGAAAGCTCGATCACGCTTGTGCTTATGGAGATGTGGCTCTCTGCCTATCCATTCGATTTAATTCGGATTCATCTATGTGCATTGAGAAAATGATTCCTCGTGAAAAGAATTCTCTTCACATTTTGAGTGAAAATCAACAACAAACCATATATGAGCATGTCTGTTCAAGTACTACTACCAATAGTTTAACGAATACTACATGCAGTGACAATCTAACCCATAACCATGATGAGACACAAAACGACAATTTTTCAGATCGCAAAATTTACATGCTTCTCATTGATCTCAATGCCTCCAAAGACACGGTGAAAATTTTAAAAGATCTCAACAAAGCTTTTTCTCCAAGTGACGCCACTATCATAGATGCTCAACTTGTCAACAATGCTAGAGAATATCTTCTCGTAGAAAACGTGAAAATATGCCAACAAGCACTGGATTTTGTTGAACAACACAATGCACACGAATTGGGAAAGTTATTTAGCACAGCTCAGAATTTGTTTGACCGAAATTTGTCTCCGCTATGTCCCAGCGAGTTGACTGCCCCAATACTTCACTCGATATTGCACGATGTCACTCTGCAAGAATTAACCTATGGTGGAAAAGGAGTGGGTAGTGGAGGTGACGGCTCATGTTTGGTGTGCTGTAAAGGTAGTAAGGAGCGAGACTTGTTGCGCAAGTATTTGGAAAATACTAAGGGAATGTCATGTCTTGATTTGACACTGTGAAATGTTTTTACTGTGAAAGTGTCACTTAATTTTGAAAAAATCTGTAAACAATTATTCTGTTTCGGGAGGGAGTAGAATGAGTCGAAAAACAAAAGTCGAAATTAAAATTGGCATCTGCCACATCCTCCAGGAGGGCAAGGTGAAGATGGTGATTGAGAAAAACTGTCTTCAGATCCACCTTTCATATAAGCAGTGTCTTTTTTTTGTAATTTTTCTGGATCTACATATCTGACATCTACCCATTCCCCATCAATTTTTACATATTTTACAATACCATCGTTGTGAGAGTGTGATGTAGAGGGAGTGCCTTGTTTGGAGGTTGGTGTCTTTGGTGTAATCATTGTCAAAAATTGAAGAGCTTCCTCTGCTTTTTTAATCCAATTAGATGATGACGACACCTCTGTGGTATCTTTAAATTCTTTTTTAATTTGCTGCAATATTTGTTTTCGTTTTGCTTGGTTCGGAATGAATGATGCTTTTTTAATCAATTTTCGATACCATTCCATGACCATCACTGCATTGGAAGAAGAGGAATAGGTCGAGTAGTAACACTTGTTTGTGATGGCAGCACATGCTGTCAATTTGCTGAATTCCAGAGAGGAATGTCTTCCGAAGACGATCAATCGTGCGACTTTACCGCTTATCATTTTTTCAATTTTTTTTAAAAAAAATAAAAACCACAATTCGTGTGTTTTCGCTTCCTCCTTACTTTCACTCAACGTATTCAAGTGCACTCAAAAGTATCACGTTTTACGGTTTCGCTCCTTATGAATGCTATCTTGTACCGTGTTGTACTTGGCGTAGCTCGGCAGTGATTCCCGGATTGATTCGGTTCGATAAATTAAGTCGGCTGGACGACACTCACTCGTTGTTACAGTCTAACCCATTTATCGGTCATTTCCAATTTCAAACAACAAGAAGAATATTTTGCTTTTGATCGCAGAAAGGTTAA